CACTTACCTGATGAAATCCCTAGGGGGGGTCTAGATGTAGAACTCCCTACAACCGATGAAGAAGGTTTGGGTGTCGTTGCAGATGTCAGAGATCACTGGACCCTTGAAGGATCTCAATTGATCCGTCACCATAGTCGTCCCAGGAAATGCTTGTGCTGCCCGGTTGGATTGGACGATATTCCCATCCCAGCGGAATGGCTGACAGACACCCGCGAAACCCACGTGGAGACATCACAAGGTCTCTCCTGGGTTCACCAGGATCGTTGGAGGAAAAATATTCTAGCGCACCAGAGCATGCCCATGACCTGGACAGGAAAGACAGTGTTCACCATAAAAGAAGAAAGCTTGCCTAATTGTCCCAGTTCCCAACAATATGCAGCTTTATGTCATGAGACACCTGCCCGGGGTTATGAAATGGCTTTGACGCTAGATGCAGATGAAATACTCCAATGTTCCCGACAATCAGACTCTGAACAGATTGCCTTTCTGGCATCCAGCGCCAAAAAGCAAAGATCTGAAGTAAAGGAAAAAGATCTCAGTCCAAGTGAAAAGACTTTATTCCAAGCGGCAAAAACCAAAGAAATCGTATCTTGGCTTTCTACTGAGACAGTCAGAAAGATTACACGGAGTCAGATTCCAGAGGAACAGATTCTTCGCTCACGCTGGGTGTTAACTTGGAAGCCTGTAGACTCAGCAGGTCAGGGATCAGGGTCGCAAAAGGATGAGATCGAGATGCCCAAATTTAAGCCAAAAGCTCGTCTTGTGATTTTAGGATTTGAAGATCCCCAAATAGAAACACTCGCACGGGATTCCCCTACTTTGGGTAAAGACTCACGAACCCTAATCCTTCAATATGCTGCCTCAGCTCGATGGAAAATCCAATCATTCGACATCCAAACAGCATTCCTCAGAGGAAGTCGTCAAGATGGTCGTATATTGGGAATGGATCCCCCGTCTGAAATGCGGGAACACATGAATTTGAAACCATGGGAATGCTGCGAATTGTTGAAGTCAGCATATGGCTTAGTGAATGCTCCACTGCTATGGTATGAAGAATTAAAGGGTGCCCTCCTGTCTCTCAACTTTGTGGTTAGCCCTCTTGATCCATGCCTATTTGCATTACCTCGTCGTGATGGAAAGGGTATTCATGGTTTGGTGGGCGTACACGTTGATGATGGACTGGGTGCCGGTGATGAAACCTTCAGTCTGGCCATACAACAATTGGAAAAGCGATATCCCTTCGGTAGCAAATCAGTCAGCGATTTTGTATTCACTGGAATCCATATCAAACAACAATGGGATGGATCTATCACCCTTGACCAAACCAAATATGTGGAAGATATACCTCCCATAGATGTGGAACGAAATCGTCGCCAACGACCTGACGAATCCGTGACCGAGAAGGAACGACAGTCACTCAGGGGTTTGGTAGGAAGTATCCAATATGCTGCAACTAACACTCGACCTGATCTTTCAGCAAAACTCAGTCTAATTCAAGCCAAAATCAACCAAGCCTGTGTCAAAGACCTTTTAGAAGCAAACCGTCTACTTCATGAAGCCAAAGTCCATAAACAAACAACCATCACGTTCAAACCAATTCCACTTTGTGATCTCAGGTTTGTTGCCTTTTCAGATGCCGCATTCGCCAACAGGGCAAACTCGCAGTCCCAAAAAGGATGCCTGATCCTTGCCGCATCGAAATGCATTGGAGAATGGAAAGCTAGCGATGTAAGTCCATTGCTTTGGTATTCCCGAAAAATCTCCAGAGTTGTAGCAAGTACACTGGCATCAGAAGCATATGCGTTGAGCGGCTCTGTTGACCTCTTAGCATGGTTGCGGATCCAATGGTCATGGATGTGCCAGCCAAGTTCACTATGGAAAACGCCTGAAAGGTGTTTAGCCCAATGTCCCGAAGCCTATGCCGTGGTAGACTGCAAAAGCCTTTACGACTTAATTCAGAAGACGACAGTACCTCAATGCCAAGAATATCGTACGATGTTGGAAGCATTGATTATCAAGGACCGAATTAAAGAAGGCATCTGTATTAAGTGGGTTCATTCTGCAGCTCAATTGGCGGACAGTCTTACAAAATCAATGGATTGCTCTACACTGCGAGAGTTCTTGGCCAAAGGTCGATGCATCATTCATGATGTGGATGAAGTTTTGCGGGCCAGAGCCGACAAGCGAACAAAGAAAGCATGGATGAGTCATGTTGCAGCTCCCTCAGAAGTTGCCAATACTTGCCAATTAAATATGTGTACAGTTTTGGAAAAACACAAAACACACTTTGATAAAAATACTTTTTGACGAGTGTGATTTGCAACATGTGCAATGTCCAGCGGAAGGGTCAAGGTAACACTTTCCTCTGCGATTGCCGAACTAGGCTCGAATGCCCAGGGGGTTGTGGCACTTGGAGTAAAAAGGTCTGTGTCGCTGACCGAGCCATAGGTGGGACAGGGTGCCCCATTTGGTATCATTGGATCAGGAGGTCCTACAAACAGTATTCAACATTAGGCCAGGCGGCCTCATTCAATTCCATTCAGTTCATTTGGTCTTGGGAAGACCTCCAGCCTTTTGGTGTTGAAGAACGCTACCAATCCAACAGTATATATATATATCATTAAATATCTCTATGTATGGGGGGTAGAAGGGGAATCTCATGGGGGATTTCTGGTGATATCAGCTGAGAATACATACATATATATATATACACATACATTTGACAAAAAAAAATGTGTATATATATAATTATATATGTATGTATATATATATTTATGTATATATCGGGATGTGCAGTATCCCATGGGTAAAATTGTTTTCATCATGGGGATTAATGCCATGGCATAATATATGATTTGTGTATGATGGGCAATAGGTCTGCTGAATGCCAATGGGGGAGTTTACAGCCTATTCACGAAGAAGTCAGCAGGGGTTCAACCAGACTTGGAAACCTCCCTGTACCCTCTGGTAAACTAACATAGCTATTGAAAATGGCCATTAAAAATGGTGATGTTCCATAGTTACGTTAGTTTACCAGAGGGTATCCAATCTCACAGCGTTCCGCAACTTTTCAGCTTTTTTCACTGCGCTTGCGACACAGCGTTGGAATCCGCACCCCACAGCATCGGAACCTGAACGACTCCTTTTTTCCACCATGCAGGGCATGTTGAGAACTGAGAAATTATGCAAAGAGGCTGCCCGGCTTTTCAGCTATGACTCAAAGAAAGTATGTCCCAAGCAGTTCATGAAGCACTGCCCAGCTACGTGAGATCCACGGGCTCATGGAAATCCATGGGTTTCATGAACATTTACCTGCTTTGAATCATTCTGAAGCCCCTCTGGTAATTTAACATAGCTATTGAAAATGGCCATTTATAGTGATGTTTCCCATTAAAAATGGTGATTTTCCATAGTTATGTTAGTTTACCAGAGGGTAAATGTCGATATCTTACCAGCCTGAAAACTTCAGCAGCATCAATCCAATGACGTCGCAGTGAGCTTCATGGTTTATTTATCCTGTCGCAAATTGCGATATTTTTTTCAATTGATGAATGGTGAGTTTCATCGCTTTGCGATACATTTTTCAATTGATGAATAAGGTGAGGTTCATATAATTTATCCATATATATATAATATATTATATATATATATATTATAGATATATATATATTACGATCCTTACTTGTTGAGCTCATCTGAACTCACCAAACCACCAAACCACCACCATTCGCTCCACGGAATCTGCTCAGGTTCCACGGCCACACGGCACAACTTGTTCAGCACAGCCCGTGTGGTCGAACGCAAAATCGTCAGGAGTGAAATAGTTGTGATGCATATATCATGGGGATAGCATCTCCAACAGATACTTGAAATAAAGTGATGTTCAAAATCACCAACATGGAAAAGTTTATACCAAGCCCTGATAGACCAGTACCCTCTAGTAAACTAACAGTTTGCGAACTGGAACATCACCAAAATCCTAGGTCAATCGAGTATACATACCCTCTGGTTGTCAAAATAGCTATTTTTCAAATGGCCCAGTCGAAATAGTGCATTTTCCCAGCTACATAGCATGGTGGATCTTTCCATAGTTTTTTGTAAACGTTTACCAGAGGGTAACCATGTTCAAGGTCGCAACCTGATAGTCACCAGAGGGCATCTTCGCTTCCACCAAAGCTGATCCGGTCACCAAGGTCACCGCAATTTTTTGGGTAGTTTTGACAAATCATGGCATTGGATAATCGTATCGTATGATGCAAAAAAAATGGCAATGATATGAGGATTGTACCTTAAGTGATTAGGTAATCATCCACAAATTGTGATGAAAAGTTGACTTTAAAAAAGCGATAGACACGGTAATCAATGCGAGGGTAAATGAGGAATGTATCGATTCATACTTGTCTATATATGGCAACCTCCAAACCATAAATCATGCCCAATCGGAGGTTTGCTACTGATTTTATTACATTAGTATCGTAGAGTTAAAAACACACACAAAAAAAATAAAAGTAAAAAAAATGCAACTAGTCACCAATTCATGAATTACTCTAATGATTTACATTGGTTTACCATTTATATCTCTTTTCACTGTCTCAACATGCAACTGGAACAGATCATTGATTCTTGACTGAAACAACCCCATTACCCTCTGGTAATTTAACATAGCTATTGAAAATGACCATTATTTATAGTGGATTTACCCATTGAAAACGGTGACTTTCCATAGCTTTTTGTAGGTTTACCAGGCCGGGTACACCTTTTCTATCCTTTTCTAGGTTTCCATGTTTGACTGAAACGGATGGTCATCACTGTCATGTCAATGTGACAGTTTTGAAACAACTAAAAGCATGCCGGTTTACATGACCAATTCACACCAATTCTATATTCTCCTGGTTGGGTACATTCCCACTGTTGAAGTCTGTTGAATACAATTCCTCAAAGTTGTCAAATTGATCGACCTACACCACCTGTGCACCCGCGACGCGTCCAACGTGGCCCCCTCAGCCGTGTTTGAAAAGGTGTCTCGCCTTCTGCAAGAACCTCGGAAGGCAGGATCGTTGCAAAAATCCCGCGGCAAGCGATGATCTATGGTTATGACATGTTATCTGGTTGGTGGTTGCAACCCCTCTGAAAAATATGAAAGTCAATGAGAAGGATTATCCATATATTCTGGAAAAAAGAATGCATGTTCCAAACCACCAAACAATCATTATTAACTAACCATCATTAACCACTATTATTGGTATATAATCCCATTATAAAGATGATTATCCCATTATATAACCAGTTTGGCATTCCTAATTCTTCGGATTCCAAGACACTTGATACCAATCTCACGGGATAAATTTGACCGAGGTGCCCCGGAGCTTTTCTTAGTTCCGTAAGTACGACACCAACAGATGAACTGGGCCGCAACCCACCGACACCAACAATGTTTGTGAAACAAAACAGCCCTGCTTTCAGGGAGCTACACCAATCCTCTAGACTTGGCTGCTAGAAAATTTTGGATGATCTGGCATTATCTCTACATGCTGTATGTGCAGCAAAACGCAGGATACACATTTGGTGACCTTCGACAGTCGAAATTGCGAAGAGAATCACATCGGATCACCCATGTAGCCCTCTCGAAAAAAGCTACTTCTGCATCCCAAAAAAAGAGGACAAATCTGGTTGGTGGTAGACCTACCCCTCTGAAAAATCATGGACTTCGTCAGTTGGGATGATGACATTCGCAACTGTTTCTGGAAAGTCATTCAAAATTCCATGGTTCCAGTCACCACCAAGCAGTGATAAAAAAAACCATTTATAACCATCATAAAAACCACTATAAAAATGGTATAATCCCATTACAAAGATGATCCCATATAATAACCATATATCAACCATATATTAACCCATCATTCACCTGAAATAGTTGGTACACATGACCTGGGAGGATCATCGACTCAGTGGTTCCTGGAACCCCACGCTGGCTGCGAATGGGAAACATTTAACACATGTTGAAAACATTGTTTAACCATGTTTAACCAACAATATCCAACAATATCATTGGTTTTGCCTCAAAAAAAAACAAATCCCTAAAATTAATGGCCAAATTTCCCATTGAATCCCAAAAAGAGGGATCATTCTCGTTTTTGGAAGATATTGGAACAGTATTTCACTCTGATGCCCAACAGCCCCAACGCTTCACCCGGAATGGCATCACTGAGACACTGAAAGACGGCGGTGCAGACTTGCACGCGATCCACGTTTTTGTCCGGGTGCCATTCGCGGAGTAACTTCTTGAAGGCCTCAGCGGCGGGAAATGCGGAAGTTGATCAAGTCGTACAAAAAGGTGTAGATATATATGAATATATATATATATACATTATATATAATATTATAGCACAAGATCAAGCCGTAGTTAATATCAATATATCCACTTCGTTGATCCCATGGGGAATCCCCGAGATCCGCCAAGGGACTTTCTCCTTCTGATCCGCTGTGCCCTGCATGTCCTGGACCCCAAGAATTGGATGGTCAAACGATGGTCAAACTGTCATGGGAAAATCCCAGAAAATCCCAGAAGAACATGTTTTTTACGGGGGATACCCTCTGGTAAACATACAAAAAGCTATTGAAAATTGCCATTTTGAATGGGAAAATCCACTATTTCTATGGTCATGTTCAATAGCTATGTTAAATTACCAGAGGGTAACGGGGGATAGGTTTATTTTAGGAATTTTAGGACACCTCCAAAAAACTAATCCCCAGTTATCCATGAAAGGAAACCTCCAGTTAGAAATAAAATTATAGCTATAATTCCATCTGTTTTTGATAACCTCCATTTTTTCTATAAAAATTATGCCTCCATTATTAGTGATGCTATAAAATCCCAAGCTCCATAATTCCATAGAAATATCCTGGAAATCATAGGGCAATGGAAAGCATCATCTGAATCACTTCATAGATCCCACAACGATCTGCCATGAACAATCCCCCCAAAAAAAATCGCAGTAAACCTCTATTTAAATAATGGTTAAACGGGATTCAATGAATGCCAGGAACAATCCAAAAAAAAATCCCATGACAAATCCCAGTAAGTCTCTGTTCTTGATGGTTAAATCATATCAAAAAGGTTAACCAATGATCTCCCGATGGAAAAATATCGTTTCTTGATGGTTAAGTTGAGTCTAGAGCCTATCTCCAGTAGATTCGCCAGCAATCTGGTGGATATATCCTTTTTTCTTGTGGGAAGAATCATAATAAATCCCAGTAAATCACCATTAGACCCCAGTAAAATCACCAATCTCAGGAAAAAACATGTTGATGGTTACAAGTAAATCATGTTGAATCCCTATTATGTCCCACTGAATTAAAAAAACAACATGAAAAATCCCATCGATACCAAAGGGTTTCCACTCCACCGCAAGTCCTTGATCTCTTCTAAGCGTTTCACCGCCTGCGCCTTCGCCTCCATAATCTCCTGGGCCAAGGAGGTGTAACCCCAAAAGAAGGCTAGAAACTGGAGGACTTTAGCATGAAAAATGGAGATTTCACACATATATATATATCTTTCATCATCAAAAATAGCGATTTAACCATCAACAATAGAGATTCAACCATCAGCAATAGGGATTTAATGACCCAACATACGGGAAAAAAGTGTTCTAAAGGGGATTTAACCATGACAAAAATGAGATGGTTAAGAGGATTTACCAAGAAAAAAAAGGATTAGGATTTAGAGTGGATTTTCCACGATGGACGCGATCAAACAAATAGATCGTGAATATCCTCTATATCTAGTAAAATAATCCATGAATGTACAGTGATTGTTTGCAAAAAAGCAATACAATACAACATATAGTAGTACTTCAATAAGCAAAAACATTGGGTGACAAAAAAAAAACTTGCTCTAAGATCGCCAAAAGAACGCGGGTTTAAGATGTTTAACCTACAACACACAAAGCCATGACCATGGAAGTTTCAACAGAAATGGATCACCTCACGAATGTTCATGAGTTGATATCCATGATGGAACCGAAGAAAGTAGGAACATGCCAAAGAAAAAACGGGATTCATTGGACAAACACGGGAATATATTGTGAATCAACCATCAAATTTAAATGCAGTGTTCAAAAAAGAACGACAAAAGTCATGAAGTTGGTAGGAATATGTAGGAATCGGTATTTTGGGCAGCCAAGGCGGGCGACAAGAAGAGATATAGGAAAAACATCGGTAGAAAGCGATGTCTTTCATATATATCTGCGTTCGAGTTCGGATCTGAAAGACGTTCGAAAGCACTCCAAGATGAGGTTCCAACCGATTATCCGTTGAGGGTTCCCATGGAGGCTTCCAAGTTGGATTCTGCACGTGGCCCAACTTGGATGCCAGATTCATGGCCAGGAATTGAGATACCCGGCATTTCCCCAAAAGCTGATTAATATCTATATATATATATATATACTGATTAATATATCCCCCCATAGCATAACTGGTTGGTGGTTTCAATCCCTCTGAAAAATATTGGTCAGTTGGGAGTATTATTCCCAACTGTTTCTGGAAAGTCATAAAATTCCATGGTTCCAGTCACCACCAACCAGTGATTAATCTATATATATTATATATACCATCTGGTTATTTAACATAGCCATGGAAAATCACCATGTTTAATAGGTAAACCATCTATAAATGGCCATTTTCAATAGCTATGTTAAATTACCAGAGGGTATATATTATACATCTCCCATTCATAGCATAAGGTTAGTACCATAAACTACCCATCCAACATTTTCCCCTCCCGCCGCCTCCGTCTCAGAGTGGGTGGCAGGTGCTTCCCTGGAAAAACCGTTTCGCCACGTCGTGACGTATACGGACTTCCCGGGAAGCGCATCGCCCTCCGGTAAATCAAATAGTGGTTAATAGTGTTTAATAGTGATTAATACCTGATCTAATGAATAATATATACTGGTTGGTGGTTGAGCTCGCCTACTCTGAAAAATGATGGAGTGAAAGTCAGTTGGATGATGACATTCCCATATATTATGGAAAAATAACATTCATGTTCCAGTCACCACCAACCAGATTTAGTTCCACTATTTCTATGGCCATGTTCAATAGCTATTTTGACATAACCAGAGGTTAGTTCCAGGATTTTTCCAGCCAACGAAACATACGAAAAATCATGAAAACCTCCATGGCTACTGGGATTTCCCACCTTTGATGACACCAAAAAACGGCGCCTGGACCGACTTCGACTACGGCTGCGACTCTTCGCATACCTCGAGGACGAGCTGGAACTCGACCTCATGGGGAGGTGCGCTGTCATGGGCCAAAAACCAAACTTTACCTGGCTGGTGACATCGAAAAACCATGATTTTTACATCAAAAAAATACATGCTTTTTTGCCCATGTTTGTGTACATGATCATCCCAGTCGAAAAAAGTGGATTTAACCCAATACACCTTAGTTTTATCGAATTATGAATTGGTTGTAAAGGTTGTAGCCATGTTTATTGACCAGGGCTGACATGCTGACCATATATATGGGACACACCAACAAGTACTCTGGATCAAAACCCAGCCTTCAGTGCTACTCTAGTTTTCACCAGTCACCTCCCAAGCCCCCGATCAGACTAGTCCTTCAGAAATCCCCAGAAAATGGGAACCCAAAATAAAGAGATGCACATAATGCACTTCTAAACTAGGGGTTCTTGGGGTGGTGTTCATTGTTACGGGGGGAGGGATTACATGAATTTTAACCCTAACTTTGATAAACTGAGATATCACTCATAAAAAAGCATAAGATGCCAGAATATAGTAAACAGCTCACTTCCTGAGTTCGATATGATCTTGATACATGTATATATATATACTCTACACATATTCATGCTCAAGATTGCGCTGGTCCTTGAAGTTGCGCTTGTAGAGCACAAACATATGACTCTGATACATCCATGGCTATCGCAGTTGCATCCCAGGAAAAAACATGAGGAACATGGTTTTCGCAAACTACCAAACATGGGGGTTCATGCCTCCTATTAACACACGTGGTCATGAGAAACACTGATCTTTACAAAAGTTATATAGCTAGATATATATATATATATACAATCGGAAAATCACCCGTAGAAAGTTCGTCATGTCCCAGCAGGTTTTGGTGGCGGCAGTATGAAACCGCGGGACTTATCAGAAGATACCAGCCATCTGAGCAATAAACAGGTGATGGGGGAAAAGTACAGAATAGAGTTCGCAAGATTTTGAGGTACTTAGATATCTCCTGATATCTCAGATACATTCAGATACTATATAGAATATACATAATCATATATATATATATATACATACACACCATAATATTGTCTATCCTATATATATATACACTAAATGATGCACATATACAAACAACAACCCCATCATTGCGTCGCCCTTGGGCCCTTGGGCGATGATGGTGGCTCGGGCTTCTTTTTGGGCTCGGGCGGTAAATGAGCACCTCAGAATCTGGACAGCACTTGGATCCAGCTGGATACCCATGGTTCGCCAAGTTGACTAGGCTTTACGGTGATTTACTAGGGATTTAATGGGATTTTATGGTGGTTTAATGTGGTTTAATGGGATTTTATATGATATAGCCTCTGGTAAACTAACAGTTAGCTATGGAAGCCATGGCCCATTTAGTTCGTTGATTTGCCGAACTTAAAAGTGGTGATTTTCCATAGTTATGTAAACGTTTACCAGAGGGTAGATGGACTAGATGGGTGATAAACCAACAACTGGGCACCAGCTTGTTTTTCAGCTGGAGCAAAATCTAGTTAAGAATAGTTAAGATCCATTGGTGAAATGCTGTTTAACCCATACAAACATAGATTTTGGTCATAAATGGAGTACCAGCGGACCAACAGATGGCTGGTTCTTTCTGATATTTACCGTTCTAAGATCTATAGCTTTTGAGACATAGTCACTTGGGAATATATATTGTATTTACATATATATATATAGTTCAATCTAGACACCCAATTTCTGATCAAAAAAAACGCTGCAAATGGCTGGCCGAAATGATCCCTACAAAAGTATCAAAAGTGGTATATCGCCATCAGGGTCGCATCTGGGCATCCGATTTTCAGATCAGTGGGTTACCCTCCAGTAAATTAACACAAACCCTGCCAGTCATCGGGGTTGGAAGATTGGTTCCTAAGAATTTGTGATTTTCAGGGTCTATGTTAATTTGCCAGAGGGTATCCTGAAGAAAATCCTCATGAAATACCCGCTGGTTATTTAACCTAGCCATGGAAAATGGCCCATTTATAGTTGATTTACCTATTAAAAATTGTGATTTTCCATGGCTATGTTAAATAACAAGATGGTACCCCCTAAATCATCTTAAACCTATTTTTCGGGCGTGAAAACATCATCTCCCCACGGACCCTCCGATGGATATCCTCATGATATTTCCATTGTGTTCCCAATGTATTCCCATTAACCTCCCCATGAATTTTGATGAAATTCTCATTATATTCCCATTGAAAAGTGGGAAATTTTACCATGAAATTCCATGATTTTCCCATGATTTTCTTATGTTTCCCATGATCTTCCCATGATTTTCCCATGATTTTCCCATTTTCCCATGATTTTCCCACCTTTTTGAACCTCCCCACGTTTCGTCACGTTGAAGGCATAGCGACGCGCGATGGACTGGGCGATCTTCTCCGCCGCCGCCAGGCCCTTCTGCGCACCGCTCAGCGGTTTCAGGGCGTTGCAGGCGTAGCAACGTCCTACGAGGATGTGCCTGGGGAACCTGGGGTCCAAATACCTAAGAAATATATATATATATATATAGGTGATATGATATGATATATATATATATATATCCCCGTTCAGATTGGACCCGAGGGGTTGGGAGCCCCATTTTGTAACTACAGAATGGCGTCCCCAAGGTGCCCTTCTTACAAGTTGGCAGAGCCCAACGTTCACCGAGGAAGCTTTTTGTTACAAAATGGCAGTCCAAGCTGACCCCTAGTTACAAAATGGTACCCCGATTTTGCTCGACTCGCATCCGCTCGCATCCGTTCGCTCGATTTGCCCTTTACAGAATGGTGGGGACTGGGGGTGGCTATACTCGCACTATCCTAGGATCCCTAGGCAGTAACCTGCAACAGCCCGGCCAACCCGAGTCGCGGTTCATTTTTCCCGTTCTTTTGTGTTCATCAGTCTGTTTTGGCGTGATGCTGTATGAGTGGCCAAACTAAACATTGAATACAACGTACCAATATGTCTAAGAGATATTTTCCAACAGTTGGATGTCATTGTCATAATCAAAAAATATAAATATCTATATATATATATTAAATATAGATATATTAAATTCTACATCTTATGCACAAAACTTGATGCACAAAATTCTACATTTGATTCTTCTTCTTCTTCTATGAGCAATGGAGTCCAAGACTGCGCTCAATGTGAAACACATGAAGCAAGCACAGCCACCAAAGCAAATAGAAAAGAATAAAACTAAATAAAATGAAAAATGGATGTGTCGTCTAGTCATTCTATCTAACTTCCATCCAGATTGTGGGGTCTATAGTTGAGCATTCTTCATCTACGCTTTGAATCCATCCAATTTGTATCAATTTGTAATGGTTGTTGATTAGCCCTCCAGACTCCGACAGAATGGTCGGGACTGGAGGGTAACAAACTCGCACTTCCAACGCAAAATTCCGGTACCAGGGGGGGATCCACTTACAAGATGGCAGAACCCAGGGTCAAAATTTTGCACAAAATGGTAACCAAAAACCATTCTGTAACGGCCCTGAGGCCTCAGATTTAGTAACAAAAATTTCAACGGGGATATATATATTAATTCTATAGATATAATGTGTAAATATATATATATATATAATTTCACTATACTATATGCATAAAAGGCACTAAATAACTATATTTATACTATAGGACTACATAATACATCCAGACATAAGGAGTTATTATCACAGAACGAGTAATGGGAAACGAAGGGTCATCATGGGGAAAGCTTGGCTGGCATACTTGGCGATTCACCCCACGAATTCGAGCCGGCTCGTGTTTGTGGGATTTCTTTGCTCATTGATAGGATAATATAGGATAGCTATTGATATATACTAAATCTATCTATGTATCTATGTATCTATGTATCTATGTATCTATGTATCTATGTATCTATCAATCTATCAATCTATCAATCTATCAATCTATCAATCTATCAATCTATCTATCTATCTATCTATCTACAGTATCTATCTCTATATATATATATACCACTATACTGTGGATAGCACATTTAGAAAATTTATGTTGCCAACCGGTTGCAATTCGTGGGAGGATCCTTCAAGTAAGATGAACCAGTTTGTTTGTTCTAGAACAATCATAAATGGGCAAAAATCACCAACAATACATATATCATATATTTAACAATAATACATATTTTTACACATATGTGTATATATGTATATATGTATATATGTATATATGTATATATGTATATGTATATATATATGGATAATTAAGTATAGTACCTAAGCCATATGCAAGGCCAATCTGGGATAGTTACCCTTTAGGCCACGTCCCCATGATCTGAGTTGTGATCCCGACGCCCTCATGGAGTCTCCATGGCTTCGCCGGCTGAAAAATTGGTGAAGAAAATGCTCCCAACAAGCCACACATTAATATGATAATATGGATAATATGGATAATATGGACAATATGGAAATATGGATAATATGGAAATATGGATAATATGGATAATATGGATAATATGGCTAGGGATGATATGGATAGGGATGATATGGATAATAACATATCTGAAACAAGGGATAATATGGATGTTTTATTGTTTCAGGGAGCATTTTCTGATCATATATCCTTTTTTAAGTATCGTCAGTTTCATAATATTATCCACAATTATCCACAAGTTTCATAATATGGATAACATTGTGAAACACATATGGATAATAACATAATATCATATAATAACCATGAATAACCAACAACTACGGTTGGATTATATGGCAAAGTATCATGGGATACAGCGGAAATATCATCAATAATGAGGTAAACCCAATCTTACTCCCAATATCGGCAAAACACAACCATTGCTTGAATCCCAATTCTATTCATGTCGCATCTTTATGCAAAAACATGGTGAGGGCGCCTCTAAGAGGCCGTGTGTTTCAGCACATGGATATATTTCTATTCAATGATGTTCCAAGGTTTCGCCACAACGAGAGCGGTTTTTCACAGATATCTATATTTTGTGGGTGTGTCAAAAGTCATGGAAGGGTATGGAAAAATGAGAGTCACGGTGTGATTTCAATGGTTTTTGTGGGACGAAAGCCATCATGTTGGAAAAGACAGCTGTACGCTTTTTCTTCTGCAGCGTAGCATATATATAACTTGAAGTCCAACATCAACTTCTTACATGATGTTGAACAAAATACTTTATATAATAACCATCTGCAGCGTAGCATATATATAACTTGAAGTCCAAAATCAACTTCTTACATGATGTTGAACAAAATACTATATATTAGAACCATCTGCAGCGTAGCATATACACAACTTGAAGTCCAACATCAACTTCTTACATGATGTTGAACAAAATACCTTTTATTAGAACCATCTGCAGCGTAGCATATATATAACTTGAAGTCTTGAAGTCCAAAATCAACTTCTTACATGATGTTGAACAAAATACTATATATTAGAACCATCTGCAGCGTAGCATATATATAACTTGAAGTCCAAAATCAGTTTCTTACATGATGTTGAACAAAATACTATATATTAGAACCATATTAAAACGTAACATCAACGTATAATCAACATAACATCAACGTAGCAACGGGGCATGATCAAAGTAACATCAACGTATCAACAGCGCAAGATCAACATATAATCAACGCATGATCAACGTAACGTCAACGTAGCATCCACGTCGCAGCACCTTGCACGCAAGAGACATGAACGTTATTACATCAACGTCTCCTCAACGTAGCATCAAAGTATGATCAACGTAACGTCAACGTAGCATCCACGTCGCATCACCTTGCACGCAAGAGACATGAACGTTATTACACCCCCCCACCCCACCCCAAAAACCTCAAAAACGCACGGCCTCTTAGAGGCGCCCATACCAAAAACATGCCCAAATATCTTTCTTGGCAAACCATGGCTATGTCCAAATATCGCACAACCCAAAAAAAAAAATGTATTATATATATATATATTATCATATATAATTATAGTCCATCTACATTATCTTGGTAACAGTTTGAGGAATCGGTCCATCACCCATTTCACCTAGACCCTTTAAAGCAGGAACATCTCGGTAGTTTACTGTCTTGCTACTCTACCTAAACCCCCACCAATCCTTGGAAAATTGCTACTCAAAATCTTGATACTCCTCCAGGATGGGGCCCCTATAGTTGGCTAAGTTGGTTTATAAGTCCAATATCCACTATAGTCATCTATAGTCACTATAGTTAAAGGGGATTATAAATCAACAAACATAACTAGGGGAGCACCATCCTGTCTGTATTATGTCCTTTTTTCTCTACCTATCCGCACTTCAATGGGGCATGGGCTCCATGAGTTTTCCAGCTCCTTTCATGACAAAGTTTTTGCCGCCGCAGGGACAAATCCATCCCTGTCCAGGGGGATTTTCGGCCCCATGGGGCACACCACTGTCCATCCCAAACAATCTTGCTGCAATCGACTACAAAAAACGTATTACTGCTTGGTGGTTTTAACTATGTTTTAACCATCTTGGAAAATATGCTCCCTGAAACAAGCCACACATATGGATAATACCCTCTGGTAAACATACAGAAAGCTATTGAAAATGGCCATAGAAATAGTGAGTTTTCCCATTTAAAATGGTGATTTTCCATAGTTATGTTAGTTTACCAGAGGGTAGTACTTTACTCAACTTAGTGGCATGGTCAATTTTGATTTCCAACCTAAAAGCAGCAAGGGTGCATCGGAACATCGGAAAATCGGAACGTCCGGAAACCTTTTTTTCAGGTTCTGTGACAGTTTTAAGGAAGCTATGTCTACTTCGCTTGTTAGAAATTGGCTGGTCATTCTGGAAATTTACTGTCAATGTTTGAAAAAAAAATGGCAATGCAAAATCTTGAGCCATTTTCCCACTAGGAGAATTTTATGCTTCACAATATTTCACATATATTTGTGTCAGTTCTCAACGATTGACAGTTTCTGAACCCCTCAGCACTCAATCGAATCAGGGAAAAACAAGATAATTTTTCGTTCGGTGGGACCTAAATATGGATGTACTATGCCATATAAGCCCATATTTTCTGGGGATATTCCTTACATAGGCCTTACATATAGGCCTTGTATTTGGTAGGAATCTCGAATGAATGGGTACTGGAAATGGATTTTGAAGTCGTAACTTATAAACATGTACCTTAAGAAAATGCCATTGCCATTGCTGAATATAGTTGTACAATACCAAATTGATATAAGTATACATACATATAGATACCAATACCAATATATAGATTATACAATAGATTATACAATAGATTATACAATTATATTGATTTGTTATACTCATAGATATACCAAATCGTACGCTAATTGCATTCATATCGTACGCTAAATGCGCGCCTGCCAGGCGTTCTCTTCCTGCTCTCGCTTTGCCATCCTGGCGGAATCAGCTTAGAAAAGCCATGGGAAAAGTTTCCCCCCTGTTCGGAGGGTATGATCTACATAAAAATGGTGGCTTTTTCACATCGAAGTCTTATAGTTTTCTGGAGGGTATATCACCGAAAGATTTTTTTTGGGGAGATAGTTCGGTTTTGACAATTGAGAAGAAACACATTCTTGGGAAAGTCAGAGCCATGGGTTTCTTTTTGAAGCATGCCGTAAACCAATCATCTCATGCTCGCCATGTTTGCCACCCCTTCCCACCTTGGAGATTAACCGCATTGCCAAGCCACCATTTCAGGTGGATGTGTTACACTCCCATGCTTTAAACACACCGGGAAACCATGCTTTAGTAAGTTTAGTAGAGGATTTACACAAATTTGGGATCACAGAAAGCGGTTTTTTAATATTGGAAGCATGGGATATATAGTCCCATGCCCCCAATTCTTGTTGACCATCCAAAAGGCCTAAGTCAATGAAACCATTTCATCTACCCTTCAACAGTCAGTTTATCCAAACATGAAGATAATAAATCATGGCAAATCTATATGTGAATTGGTCTAAATCCCAATTTTCATTGGGTAAAATGGTTGAAGCCGCATTTTTGTTTCTGCAAATACCCACTGTTTCTATCTTTTTCTCGGGTAAATCCATCTGAATTCACATCTTTGCTTGGGTAAATGCACATGTTCCCTTGGATAAATATCCCCCCTGACATAGTCACAAAGCCAGTCCACCTGGCCGCAATCTTGGCCTCAGTCTGACAGTGGCATCATCCCATGTCTGGTCATTTACCCGGCCTGGTAAACCTACAAAAAGCTAATGGGAATTTTAATGGGATCTAATGGGAATTTATGGGAATTTATGGTGGTTTAGTGGGATCTAATGGGTTCTATCCTCTGGTAAACTAATGTAGCTATAGAAAATCACCATTTTTCATGGGTAAATCAACTATAAATGACAATTTTCAATAGCTATGTTACAGTAAATTACCGGAGGGTAACCATCAACAATAGGGATTTACTGTATTTGGAGTTCAACTGGATATAGTGGAAAATATGATGGATTTAGCCTTTGGAAATTTAACATCTGGTGATTTAACACGAGAAATCTCCAATTGATCAATGGGAATTCCAGGATCCTACTGTACCATATAAGGCCATATTTTGGGGGCATATTCCCTTACATAAGCCTTATATATGGTAGGTACCTCCAATTTGGGTTCCTGGAATGGCCATTGAATTGATGGATGATGAATGATGGATGATGGTAATTTAACATAGCTATTGAAAATGCCCATTGATAGTTGATTTACCTCTTGAACATTGTGATTTTTTTTTTATAGCGGTGCTTTACCAGAGGCTATGAGTCATTTTCGGAATCTAGTGGTTTTCCTCAGCATCCCAACTTTCCATGGATGTCATAGGGAAAGAAAAACAAGGGATGTCACTAGCCATCACCCTGGAACCCTTGGTTAAGTTTAAATGTTTAGTCAGCTTAGTCCATACAAACAGGGTGTTTAATCTGAACGTGGGATGGGCTTAACTGCCTAGTAAAAATATCAAGACATAAACTAAGTTAAGCACCATTTTTTTCAATTTTTGCCCTGGCAAGTTTAGTTGCTAAGACTGCTAAGAATACAACTAGGCGATCTAGGATTGATTGCAGGTAACACATATACATACAAATAATATCAAATGATCCCTCTTATAATTAGACCCCCACATTTAAAGAATTTTGACCCCCCTAAAAAAGTGGGTACCTCATAAAAACACCCCAAAAAGCTGTACCCGGGTTCCGGTGGTTTATAAGGGATAATAAGAGGGGGATTACACATAATTGGGAGGGGCAAAAATTCTGGCAGTTGAAGGAACCGTTCTTTTCAGACCAAACTTTTCACCAAATTACTGCAGAAATCTGCGGAATCCCCCAGAAAATACCCTCCGGAAATCAAACATGGCTTGTTGGCAAACAAAAAAACATGGAGAGATGACTTTCCCAGCTCGAAATCTCCATATGTAGGTGATGTTCCACGTTTGACTAGCAGAAAAATATCTCAAAAAGATACCTTAATTCTGAAGATATTTCCATTGTCATATTCAATCATAATAATATCATTGGTTATTAATGTTTCATTACTTTCATTAATCATTATATATTAATTATCCATGCTGATGTGATGTTGTATCATCCTCTTTAGATAAGTATTGTAGGTGGTACCCAAGTGAGCTACTGAGTGTGCCGCTCAAAATAGCGGCTATTGTGGTCGCCAAAACCATGCAAGCCCAGCCATATCCCCGATGGAGGAAGATCATACAATTTACGTAGATTAATCTGCATTTATATCATCTAGATCATAGTTGGATGGCATGGTTTGTATGGTTTTCTCCATAATTGCTTCATGCCATATCCAAATTCTTGGATTCTACTGTCTGGAGGTAATTTTTACCGTTTGACTTGCATCAAAAAGAAAACATGCTACGTATAAGTGATGATCATAATTGGTTTCCTGATAATTTTACAGCCCAAGGCACATTTGATTTACCATTTTGGGCTATAGCAAGTTCAACCTCCAGTTACCACCATACTTTTAGTTGCTTTTCCCGGCCAAGATTTTTCAGCCCGAGGCACATTGATATCATCATCTCGTTGTTTTCGCTTCTGTTTCTCAGAGCTAGAGCTTGAGCTCGAGCTCGATGAAGACATGCCGAGGTTTTTCTTCGCCGCATCTTTCGGCGGCAACGCGCCGGGATTAGTGGCTGCTGGCGCCAGTGGCTGCGGGGCAAACGCGGAATCCCAGGGAGACTGGCACGGAATTTCGTGGAGTTACTGAAAAATTGAGATATCCTCTGGTAAACTAACATAGCTATTGAAAATGGCCATTTATAGTGGATGTTCCCATTAAAAATGGTGATCCATAGCTATGTTAAATTACCAGAGGGTAAAACTGGTACTTCACCAAAGTGGCTTAACTGCGTATGGCAAAGTGGATTTTTCACATCCGTGGATGAATCGAATCATCGCCTTGATGATAGTCAAAACGCTGGGAATCCCCCTTTCGGTATTGACCTATCTCTATGTAACTCATAAAAAATTGGAGCAAACCGAAAGGCTCTGGTAACTTTTTGCCTTTCAGTTCCACGGTTCACGACATGTCCAGGACCTTTCGGGTTCCTAGTTCCAAGCTATTCGCAAGACAATCAAACTTTGCAATCATCGTCAAACACGGAACAGGAAACCGGACATAAAGCAAATTTAGCGACACCTGGCTTTGATCTGCATCTACTTGTACTCCCAACATGTGACAACTATGGTACACTATGGACTATGGTGCAACATATCTGCAGGGGATGCAGTGGGATACCATCAAGCAGCTCCCAGGTCTAGCCTGCCAGAATCGTATGGCATTCTCGGAGCACCCAGCCTGAAAGGAACCCCAAGTGGCTGTGTCTGGACATGGGGCCAAAACGTTTTTTTTCGGGAAAATGATCATAAAACATGAAATTTATGGGCACCTTCTTTTCAAACAAACGCAAAATCGATAGTCTTCACGGTTCATACTGCACATTAATGATATATCAATGACATATTAATGATATATCATGGTATAAATCAATGGTATAAAAATGTGTTCCGTCTCTTTTGGGGCTGCACTGCATACTTGGAAGAACATGCCGCAGACAGTTGCTGATGAATAAAGTGAGTCTTGTGTCCCACGTTCTACTTTGATAATCAAGTGAATATGTGCATCCTATTTACCACAAAAAATTGTTCGTACCATGGATGTTTACTGTTCGTCGAGTCTTGGGCCCATTGTTTTGACCTTTGAGGCAATATATGAATTGGGATGAACCATAGCTTCACTGAACCAGGTAACCAGTTCCATCCACATTTGCGGATGATTGTGTCTGGTGACAACCCCCTTTGGGGCCGCTGGTTCTTTACTCATCAGATCAGCCATGGCCATAAAAAAGGAGAATCAATTCACTGGGCTGCACAGAATCACTTGGGTTTGTCTGAAAATTGCGTGCTCAAAAATCTCAGGGTATTATTACATGTTTTTGCCTGCGGACCGAAAACCGTTCCCGTAAAACGCACGTTTTTGAATATCGCGGGTGGGGTGGGGTGGTGGGGGGGGTGGGGTTGGGGTGGGTGGGGTGTGGGGTGGGGTGGGGTGGTGGGGGTTGTGGGGGGGGTGGGGTGGCCTGGGGGGAACGTTACTATATATTGCCATGCTGCTAAGATCTCTGGGATCGTTTACTACGTTACATACATGTTGCTACGCTGCTGAGATCTCTGGTATCGTTTACTACGTTACATGTTGCTACGCTGCTGAGATCTCTGGGATCGTTTACTACGTTACATGTTGCTACGCTGCTGAGATCTCTGGGATCGTTTACTACGTTACATGTCGCTACGCTGCTGAGATCTCTGGGATCGTTTACTACGTTACATACATGTTGCTACGCTGCTGAGATCTCTGGGATCGTTTACTACGTTACATGTTGCTACGCTGCTGAGATCTCTGGGATCGTTTACTACGTTACATGTCGCTACGCTGCTGAGATCTCTGGGATCGTTTGCTACGTTACATACATGTTGCTACGCTGCTGAGATCTCTGAGATCTCTGAGAGCTTGGCAATGGAGATGCATTCACAAGAATGCTGACTGCCAGCTGTTTACTACGCATGCGTTGCAGCGATGACGCTGAAAAACGAAAAAACGCGCCCCAAGTTTTTCCAGGATTTCCTATCATCAAATTAGCACGGCACTGTAGTAAAATCACCATTTTTAAAAAAATGTGCGTTTTATGGGAACGGTTTCCGGTCCGGCGGGATGTTTTTGTATTGAAACTGCCAAAAAATTGGTGTATTCGCGCTTTTGGACAAACCCAAGGATGGTTGATTGTCTGCAGCCAAGGGTTATGCCACATGCAACCAGAATCACCGAATGCATGAACGGATGGATCAGGGGCGGAACCTCTTCCTCTTTTTCCTAATCTGACTGGTTGGTGGTTTACATTCGTTTGCGTGGTTGATGGTTTACCTTGGTTTGTGGTTGCCTAAGATTCCCAAGTAGTCATTCACGCATATATCATTATTTATATAGAGTGATAGTATATTTAGATATGGTTGTTGATCAAAATTCCTTTATCCTGGAACGGCCATTCTTCGCGAATAAAAATTTTACTTTCGCGAAACTTTCGCGAACTCCATGTTTATCTTTCGCGGAGCCCATGTTGGCCAACAACACCTCTTATGAAGATTCGTTCACCACCTGCCAAATTACGCCAGAGAATCACGGATCACTTCTTGGTAGCCTTTTAAACATGCAGCTAGCATCACGGAACCCCTTCTCAGGGCAGATTTTTTGTTGCACAGTTTACTGGCCCACCCCCTTCAACATGCACTTTGACTTTCGCCAGCTCTTTCGCATAACTTTCGCGGAACTTTCGCGAAAATATCCCTATTCACAGACCCCGGCCATCAGCAGGGGGTGCACTGAAGGAAAAGCGAAGACCAGGGGCCTTGGTGTTTGGCTCTCGCAAAGCCTCGCTTTTGGAAACTTGGCTACTGCTACTCGCATTCTCTGGTGCCCTTCTCCTGCCGGACCCCGGGCGGCAGTGGGTGGCAGCCCTTTACATATAATGATTATAATGCCCAACTTTCGCGAAACTTTCGCGAAATAAAATTTTACTTTCGCGAACTCGAAAAAAAACTTTCGCGAGGGTTTCCAACATAACATGCACGGCTTTCGCAATTAAAACTCCTTACAAGGACCTTTAGATCGATCACCATATGTAGATTGGTTGGTTGATGGTTGAAATTCCCACAGCTATGATGAAATTCCATGTTATCGTTGCCGTAGATGCGTATATTCATGTACATGTATAGTTTGTTTTTGCCATTGGTGATGCAGGGGTGAGGCATCAAAAAAAATAAGGCATCAAAAAAAAAATCCCATGGCGATCAAAAAATAGATATTTGTAAATATTTAAAGCATCAAAAAAACGATATTCCCCTGGAATCCCTTATTTCTAGGGCCCTTGCAAAAGTTTGGAGACAAAACCGAGCATTTCTGTCGTATTTGCATCGTTTTGGAAGTGGAGCCTCTCGCCCGTAAGGTTTTTGCAGGACATTGGACCTGGAAATCGAGCATTCACAGGGCTCAACCCTGCCGTTTCGACAGCACCTGCAACACTTTGGAGTTCGAACCTTTCATTTTCGATGGTTGCTATGAAACTTACGTTGGTTTAAAGTTTGTTTATGTTTGGTTTAGGGTTGATTTAGGCTTGGTTTGAAGTCTATTTCAAGTTGGTTTAGAATCTAATTACGGTTGACCTAGGTTGGTTTACGGTTAGTTTAGGGTTGGCCTATGGTTTACTAGGTATCTATTCAGGGTCGGTAAAAGGTTTATTTAGGTTTCGTTCAAGTTTTATTTAAAATTGTCTAAAGTTGTTTGGGGTTTATGTAGGTTTGGTTTAGGGTTTATTTCGATTTCGTTGAAGACTTTGTGGTTTAAGGTTTCGTTTGGGATCTATTGAGGGTTGGTCTTTTGTTTATTTAGGGTTGGTTTAGGATTTGTTTAGGGTATATTTAGGGTTGGTTTTAGGGTTTGCTTAGGGTTGGTTTTAAGATTTGTGTAGGTGCTGCTCAAAGTTTATTTAGGGTCGATTCAGGATGTATTTGGGATTGGTTCGTGGTTGGTTTAGGTGTTATTTAGGTTTGGTTCAGGGTTTCTTTAGGGTTGGCTTAGGGATTATTTTGGGTTGGTTTAAAGTCTTGTAGGTTTTGTTTCCGGTTTTTCTAAGGTTGGTTTAGTGATTTATTTCTGGTTGGTTCAGGGCTGGTTTAGGATTTACGTAGGGTTGGTTTGTGGTTTATTTGGGTTTGCTTAGGATTTATTTAGGGTTGGTTCGTGTTTGTTTAATAAGTGTTCTTTAAGGTTTATGTACGGTTGGTTTATGGTTTCTTAGGGATACCTTTGGGTTTATTTGGGGTTGGTTTAAGGATTATTTGCGGTTGGTTCAAAGTTGATTTTGGTTTCCCTTACAACTTATTTAAGGTGCGTTAAGGTTTCGTTTAGGGTTTATGTAAGGTTGGTAAAGGATTTAGAGTTAGTTTAGGGCTGATTGAGGGTTGGTTTGGGGTTCGTTTAAGACTTACTTTGGCTTTGGGGGTGGTTTAGGGGTTATTTAGTTATTTAGGCTGATTTAGGGTTTTTTACTGTTGGTTGAATTAAGGCTTATCTTCAAAATGTTTTAAGGCACTGTCACCAAGGACAGAAGGACCAAGGGATCAGAAGACCAGACCGGGGGACCAAGGGCCAAAGCATTGCACCCGCGCAGGATTTATTTTTTGATGCCTTAAATATTTTTCTTGGAACCCCATGCCGATATGTCCCATACATGGTTGCTTGGTTAAGATTCCTATATAATGTGTATATGTATATACACACATATGGAGAGATTGTGGACAACATACCATCACCAATGTGTATGTGTAGGTAAATACATATGGGAGTTGATCAAAATTGTTTCATCCAGAAACAGCCATTCACCCATTATATCAGACCATTATTCCCACTATAGGGTTGCTTGATTGATATGGTATACTATAACCACCAACCCTCTGTATATACAAATATCATCATTCCCAGTTATATAATTTGTTGGTCCATGGTTGATTGGCTAAAAATCTCCCTATCACAAGGTTTGGTAAGATCACCGAAAATATTCCTGTCATATCGTTGGTGGCTTCGTTCAAATAGATACTATAGAAATACATTAGTAGACTATATTCCTACCATATCACTATCATATTTCCATCCAGATTCCCATTGCACTACATCTTCGGTACATGTTTTAGTATCCATTGAAAATATAACAAAGTTAATATGCGAGTCTATTTACATATTGAATATTTTATATCACCATTCCGATTACTTGTATCATCGGTTACTTGATTGGTTGATATCCCCCCCAAAAAAAACAACTATGAATTATATGTCCTTAACGTTGGTTGGTTCCCTATCCCTATCACCAATACCTATATTTATTTTACAGTTTTTCCCACTGATTCATTAATCAGATGCTTGGATGCTGGGATGCTTGGATAGTGGGATGGTGCGGTGGTTGGAGGGTTGGGTGGTTGGTTCGTTGCTTTTGGCTGGTTCCTTTTTCACAGCTGTCTCTTGTCGTATGATCTGCTTCCTGTTTCCTGAATCCTTCTTCCTTCCGTTTCCTATGTTTTGGGTTCTTCGTCTTTGTCCCCCATATCTGGACTGATTTGTATCTCCTGGCGTTTGTTCTTGATGTTTGTTTTTTTTGTTGTTGTTACTCTTGTGACCTCTTCTTTGAAGAATTTGTCGTGTTTTTTTAGATTTTTTATTAATTTGGTTTGCCGTTTAATTTGTCTGTTTGTTTGTTCTTTTGCTTTGTTTATGTTTTTTCTTGTGTTTTTCTTTTCTCCTGATTCTTTCCTGCCGGTCCACTTTTTAGGTGTTATTTTCTTCGATTTATTTTGGCATCTGCCCCTTTCTCCCTTTTTTGTTGCTAGAATCTGAAGAAAAATCGCCTACAAAATCATGTTCTCTCTTTTTTGTTGCTAGAATTTGAAGAAAAATCGCCTACAAAATGCTGTTCTCCGTGTTTTTGTTGCTAGAATCTCAAGAAAAATCGCCTACAAAATCCTGTTCTCCGTTTTTTGTTGCTAGAACCTGAAGAAAAATCACCTACAAAATCCTGTTCTCCGTCTTTTGTTGCTAGAATCTGAAGAAAAATCGCCTACAAAATCCCGTTCTCCGTTTTTTGTTGCTAGAATCTGAAGAAAAATCACCTACAAAATCCTGTTCTCCGTTTTTTGTTGCTAGAATCTGAAGAAAAATCGCCTACAAAATCCTGTTCTCCGTTTTTTTGTTGCTAGAATCTGAAGAAAAATCGCCTACAAAATCCTGTTCTCCGTTTTTTTGTTGCTAGAATCTGAAGAAAAATCGCCCACAAAATCCTGTTCTCCGTTTTTTGTTGCTAGAATCTGAAGAAAAATCGCCTACAAAATCTGTTCTCCGTTTTTTTGTTGCTAGAACCTGAAGAAAAATCGCCTACAAAATCCTGTTCTCCGTTTTTTGTTGCTAGAATCTGAAGAAAAATCGCCTACAAAATCCTGTTCTCCGTTTTTTTGTTGCTAGAATCTGAAGAAAAATCGCCTACAAAATCCTGTTCTCCGTTTTTTTGTTGCTAGTTTGCTCCGATTGTCGCCCCCCGTTTTTTTTTCCAAAAAATCACTCCGCGTCACTCCGCGCAGCCCGGCAGCGGCAGCAGATCCACCGCCAGCTGCGTCGCGGCCTCCAGCGCCTCTCGGGCCCCGATGGCCTCGCTGCAGAGCTCCACTGAAAGACGCGACAGGAGACCCACCTCTCGGTGGAGTAACAGGTCCTTCAGGTCCTCCAATGGTCGAGCAATGGAGCAAAAATCAAGAGATTTTTGACGAAAAGTTGGAAAAGTTGGAAAGTCAAAGCATGAAAAAGGTGGTTCATCACCTGCAAGGTGATAAATTCACAAGAACATGGGATGTAATCCGGGTTTATTGGAGTTACAATAAGAAAATTGGGGGTTAATGACGAAACAAATGGAATTTGGCATGATGCAACGCGCTAAATTCATGATTACTGGTTTTAAGGGCCGGAAAAAGGTGAATTAACCAGCAGCAAAATATACAAAGTCAGGATAGAATAAATGAACTAAAACAAGAAGCGATGGTAAGAATAATTAATATCATAAATCGTAAACCAATGTTTGAGAATCATCTGAAAGACACACCAGATGCAAAGAAATTACAAGGTTTTCAACACAAAACAGTGGATACATGATATGATTCACAGTCCTCCTTCTCATTATGATGAGCAACCCTGGTCCAAGAAATACACACACGCCTATCATATCATTTAGCTACGGAGGCCAGCGTTATTTTGGTATACCCTCTGGTAAACTAACATAACTATGGAAAATCACCATGTTTAATGGGTAAAATCCACTATAAATGGGCCATTTTCAATAGCTATGTTAAATTACAAGAGGGAGGGTATTGATGATTGACATCCTACCATGCGAACTTTTGCGGTTCAAGAATCCCACGATTTCCGGCAACGTTGGACAGCTATGGGCAGCTACCATGTGGTTGGGAAACTCAACTCGTATAGTTTCTTGACTTCCAATGGCGCATATGGATGCAACCATAGCTGCCATGGCTCCTCATCACTGCCTCCCCATTTCTGCCGGGGATTTCCCAGCTAATCCCTTTCCCCTAATATCAAAGACATCCCAAAAACATCCCAAAACCATGGTGGCTGCAGGGGATTTACACATATTTGGCACCATTTACGGGGTGTTTCATATACCCTCTGGTAATTTGTTACAGTTTGCTATTGAAAATGGTGATTTAATTATAGTGGATTTTTCCATTGATATGTGTGTATATTTGCCAGAGGGTAAATCCCATTAGAATCCATTAGATCCCATTAAACCACCATAAATTTCCATAAATTCCCATTAGATCCCATCAAAATGTTAGTTTACCAGGCCGGGTAAGAGGCATGGGATTCGCAACACATGTCTTCCTTAGAGATGCCAACTTCACGTGCCACAACTGACGTCCTGTCCTCGTTGAAAAGGTCGAAGTCATGAATCTGGCCGGAGATTTTTTTGAGGATTTTCTCAACAAAATAAAGACATGTGGTTACATCATAGTGGCTAATAGCGGGATAATAGCGGGATAATAGTGGGATAATAGTGGGATAATAGTGATTAATAGTGATTAATAGTGATTAATAGTGATTAATAGTGATTAATAGTGATTAATAGTGGTTAATAGTGATTAATAGTGATTAATAGCCTGGCCTAAAGATAAACATGTGGTTACCCTCTGGTAAATTAACAGTTGGACCCGGGAAATCACCAATTTTTGATGGAAACTAATCTTCCAACCCCCTATCTGGCAGGGTCTATGTTAATTTACTGGAGAGTATATCTTAGGGAAATAAAAAGAAGGTGGAAGACCCGCTGTTTCCCCGAAAACATGATCGACAAATTGTGGTTCATCGATGTTTTAATGGTTTCGCTTTTTTCGCCGCGCCTCAAATATCAAAATTACTTTACTTCGTGTGATCCCCACCATGACATTTATACATTTTCTTACTGGCAAATCTTCTGGCATTCTATCTGGCATTCTATCTGGCATTCTATCTGGCATATCTTCTGGCATATGTTCTGGCATATCTTCTGGCATATGTTCTGGCATATCTTCTGGCATATCTTCTGGCATTCTATCTGGCAAATCTTCTGGTATTCTATCTGGCATATCTTCTGGCATTCTATCTGACAAATATTCTGGCATTCTATCTGGCATATCTTCTGGCATTCTATCTGACATATCTTCTGGCATTCTATCTGACATTCCATCTGGCATATCTTCTGGCATTCTATCTGGCCGTTGAGGTCCGGCAGTGCCCACTGGGATCTGGAGCTCGTGGTTGAGGTCCGGCAGTGCCCACTGGCATCTGGAGCTCGCGGTTGAGGTCCGGCAGTGCCCACTGCGACCTGGAAGTCGCGGTTGAGGTCCGGCAGTGCCCACTGCGATCTGCAACTCGCGGTTGAGGTCCGGCAGTGCCCACTGGGATCTGGAGCTCGCGGTGGAGGTCCGGCTGTGCCCACTGGGATCTGGACTGCGAGGAGGAGGCGGCGGGTGAGGAGGCGGAGGAGGCAGAGGAGGCGGAGGAGGAGAAGAGCTCTGTTAAAATCTAGCAACCCTCACCTGGCAGGTGGGGAATAAACATGATCAAGATGCCTTAATTAAGTCGCACATATGACTTCCTTCGCAACCAGCAGGCATTAATGTTGCGTCCTGATTTGTGTGCACCTCCCCCAACCACCGCAGGTGCTGACCATCACATGCTCGTAGCATCTGGCAACCATATATAGTGATACCTATATGCCCAAGTAAATTCATACTGTTGTTCAAAATCTGAATGCCAGTAAGTATGGGTAATATTCAAATATGGGTATCACATACCATATAGTATGGGTAATATAGTAATGTTCAAATTTACCACATCATATACTATCATAAATACACGTTGAATACCAGTAACAGTATAATATACTATTGAATGTTTCAGACAACGATGCAATTCATGCTCAAACCTGGTGAATTCTATTGATACCTCAAATCTTCTACTGAACCCCAGCTACACAGTTCATATCAAATTCTTCAGGTTTGGGTTTGGTACCTTCAATGAGTACCCCCCAATTCCAATATGACTTTGAATATCATCCTTTTCTATCCAGAATGGCAGTAGGATATACAGTATTTACACTCTTAAGATATCGACAAATTGCCCATTTATAGCTGAGTTCTCATGATTTTCACCTATTAAACGCGTTGCTAGTCATGGATCTTCAAGTTCGCTATTCCCAGCAGCTTTTTGGACCCTGGAATTTCTCGCGAATTTTGAACCCAGCCGGCCTTATCCAAGACTCGATCCTTGTCTGCCGGCACCGAGGCCTCGGCATTGCGCACGTCCAAGGAGGTCACGGTCTGCATGGATTTCTGTAAGGAACTCTCGGAGTGGACGATGGGAAACTGCTGCAGGCGATGATGTCGCGCCTGAGATAAGAAGATGTGGAGAAGATTGGAGAAGTGGAGAATCCACGAAATATATATCAACAATGGGTGCTCAAATATGCAACAAATGGATGAAAATAGATCTGAATCTGAGAAATCTAAATATGTCCCTTCATTCTAACATGTTTGAGGACAAACTATAATGGATAATATATTGAGGATCTGTCCTATAGCCTCTGGCAATCTAAGGCGGCAGCTGAAAGTCCCCATCAAGAACTACAATGGTCTACAACAGATGTTTCCATTTACCCTCTGGTTATTTAACATATCCATGGAAAATGGCCCATAGAAATAGATGATTTTCCCAGCTATAAACCTCCATTTATGGTTGGGATTTTCCATGGCTATGTTAGTCATAACCAGATGGTATCATCTATAGTTTTCCATGTTCCTATACAGATTTCACAGTGCCAAATTCTATTACCAAAACAGATCCAAAGGATATGTTCGCATGTTTTATACATGATAAATCCGGTTGAAATCCCTAAAGAATTATTGGTTTTTATTATTGGTTTTAGAATTATTGGTAGATAGATAGATTAATTAATCCCTATCAATTAATCCAAGAATTGTTGGTAGATCAAATTTAGCTCCCACCTTGGGGGAAGGTCAAACGCAAATTATGGTAGATCTGGTAGATGTTAAATCCCGATTTCTGGTAGACTTACCGTGATACACACAGACGCTTGGTAGAATTGCCACAAATGGGGTAGATCAAACATCTCAGTCCTGTTGGTTAATTGCCTTATGAGTTCATTTAAGTATTTCCGAATGGCAAATGCCCATCATATGCCCATATTTGGTTTATCAAACAGCGCACTTTTGTTCGTGTCAGTTCTTATTTTGACTGTAAGTATTGTTAAATGCCAATGTTTGGTCCAACAAACTTGCGTTAGAAAAGGAAAAAAACATCGTTTCCACTCCATCAGCCACATCAGCCAGCTATCCCAACAGAAGTTACTTGTTTCCCTGGCCTCCACGAGCTCTGCAATACACCACACACGCGTGAAGACCATGAAGTTCATGTCAACAGCCACGACCTGCCGCATGGCTCTACTGTGAAAAGACATGGAGGGCTCAACAGTCTCAGTTATAAGTTAATTATAGAAGCAACATCTGGTTATTTGACATAGCCCATAGCTATGGAAATGGCCCATGTACGAATGACCTGTGATGATTTACCTATCAAAAATGGAGATCTTCCATATGTTAAAAAGCAATTTTGGGTAATCAGATGTAATAAGTCGATCTAAAACTTCTGGAAATTTTATGTATTTCTCTGAAAGTTGGGCATCCCGTTTTTCACCCCTTTTTTATTTGGGGATAAAACATTCCGTATTTTCACCCAGTATAGTGGGATGTTACCCCTTTTTTCGGGATTTGGGCATCCCGTATTCCCATCAACCGTCGGATAAACCGAAAGGGATATTTGACCAATGGGACCCAGGAACGCTCATTTCCGTCAGAATGACTGGAGGAAACATCCCACTGGGTTAATGTCAACCCCGGCGTTTGCTAAACCATGGTTTATGACAATTAGGGTGGTACTCCCCTAATAGTCATTTCATGTGATACTTTTTTATGCTATCCCCCCAATGAAACAACCTGGGGGGTTCTTAATTCAGGGTTGACATTACAGTCATTAGCCATTCACCAACTGGGATGCACATCCAAGTTGGGGCTCCGAATCCGAAAGCATTTTTGGCAGCCACAAAATCGCGATGTGGATCACCGAATACGGGTTTGATATGGTTTGACCATTAAATGTGAGAAATAATATCCGCAAACCATAGGAGATATACACATTGACGGATATAGAAATAGATTTCAGCTATACTCAATCGACTCCTGACACTAATCATGGGAATGACATGTTGTAGCAGTGTAGCCCGTGAATTTCTGGATATCTAGCCATGTGTATCCACAGCCACGTTAACAAATGATGTATACTGCATTATACTGCATACTAGTAGCATGGTAACATCGTGATACATGGTCTAAAATCAATAAACCGAGACCAGTGGTCAAGTTTGTGGTTTTCGACCTCAAAAATATCCAGCCATTCTCATCCCACTTCCAAATTCAAAAATACTCATCATAGCTGCAACCACAAATCAGGGGTGTTTCAAAAAGATAACCAATGCCGACCAATGCCCGATAATTCACCATGCAATTGAAGATTTACCAACAAATTCTCTGCTTTGTTTCACCATTTCCCAGCATGTTCCAACATATTCCACTTATCAAACCATTGTTAACCATTATTAACCATTATTAACCATTATTAACCATTATTAACCATTATTAACCATTATTAACCATTAATAGATTACTGTGGCCGTGGTTGGAAAACCCATCCCTTTTTTTTTGGCGACCCCCGGGCCCCAAGGCTTGATTCGTCACATCCTGGATCCCACCAATCCTCCATTTCTTCAAGCATATCTTAAACGTGTGCTTCCGGTAAACCACGTCAAAACCAGAATCCAGCCCAATTTACATAATAAATCTATATAATGTACATACGTAAATCTATATAATGTATATGTACTTATATATACATATGTTTATCTACATGATGTTATGTATATATATATATACGAATAATGAATATATAATAATATAATATATGCATACTTCTACTTACATTCACAGAGCCAGAGCTTCCCGCCCTACCCCCAACAAAGTATCGGTATCGTGCTGGTTTCAGCCAGCAAAAATAACTTAAGTACTCACTTTAGATCCTCCCAATCAGTTTCACAAAGGGAGAAGCATCTTTGAAGGCAGCAACCTGTTTCCAAAACCAACAAACAATAACAAACCTTCATTTTTCAGCTTTCCAGATTTTCCAGGTATAGCCGGTATAGCCTTTTTTTTTCATCATCCAGTCATGGTCATTACCATGACTTCGTCTTGCAACAATGGGGATCCCCCAGCCATGGGTGACCTGGCCTGGCAAAAGCTGGGCACCACGGCTGCCAAAAATCCGATCATCTCATCGAACTTGTCCATCTCACAGTGTGCCCCGCTCCAGTGCTTCGCCACTCCGCAGCTGCACTTCACAATCGGCACCTCGAAAAAACCAAAAAAAAACGGCAGAAACGCACGGGCGATTTGGTCACCCAACGAAAAAAAAAGGCGTTAGTCATCGGCAACAAATAGAGGCTTGGAAATTGGAATTAAGCTAATTGAATCTAATTTAGAAGATTGGGCAAATACTGAACTCAAAATCATAATCCATCTATAATCATCTATATATACATATATAGATTCGGTTCAAATCGTCCATGGGTTTGAGCCACAAACAAGGTTTCTATAAGCGTACCTGGTGCTTGGATCAACCCATAAGTGGTGAACGTTACAACTGGCTGAACGTTACCCTACGAAGACTAACCACTTGGCATTGGGGTGAAGCACCAAATCATATTTCCATGCTTGTTTGATAAATTCCACGTAATTGTCTTCCTTACGTATCTCCATTTCGATGAATTTCAGGTAGTCAAATCAAGCTAGTTGATACTGAAGTCCCTAATCTTGATGTTTGTATCCCATTGATCCCTAATACAATTCCATCAAAATCCATCAACATCCATCAACATCCCATGGAAAATCCCATGTCAAACTCGCAAAGATCATCCCATCCAAGGCTCTCCCATGGAATCCTGTGCAGGTCCGGTGTCACAAATGCTCGCATGCTGATTCACACAGAAACAGCAGATCCAATAGCGTCGGAGTAGCGACGTACCTCAACGGATGATTCGCCTTTTGGGGGAAAGAGCTGAGTTCGCTGGGGAAAAGAACGTATGTTTTTTTTTATAGGTAAACCATATATGGGGCCTCACGCAGATATATATATATATGCAACCGCCCCCCCCCCGAGACCGACCATTTTCACTCATTTCGCTTGCTCATGACATATTGTCCTCTAAAGCATCTCTCACTGAATCTACCACGTTGCATATGACCCAAGAAGGGTATGAACTAACTTGACCAAGTACCATATATATATATTATAGTTGGTATAGTTATTATTTTTATTGTAGTTATTGTAGTTATTATAGTTATTATAGTTATTATAGTTATTATAGTTATACCTATTATGTTATACCTATTATGTTGATGTGGTATATATCTTTTGATAATAGTCAATAGATCTAACTAATAGCTAATCATTAGTGGTGTATAATAGTGGTATAATAGTGGTATTTAATGTAGATGTGATATATATAGTTCTTATAGTCATTATAGACAATAGTGGTACATATCTATCAATAGTTCAATAGTTGTTTTTGTAGTTATACTATATATGTGATATAATATATATATATAGTTATTATAGTTAGTATAGTCATTATACATAATAGTGGCTTATGCTTAGTGGTGTATGGTTAGTGGTTATATAGTTAGTGGTATATATGAATAGTGAGTATAATAGTGGCATACTAAAGTATAACACCACTAACTATTATGATAGTTATTAAAGTCAATTATTATCACCACTAACTATAGTTATAACCACATAATTATATTGTTGTAACAAATATATTTTTTCCTCCTGCCCATTGGAACGATCTCGGTATTAGTAGAGTTATTAGTGGTATATATCTATCAATAGTGCTTTTTTAATAGTTATTAAAGAGATTATATGTAGTATAAATATATATATATATATAATCACATATATGTGATATAGTTGGTGGTATCGGTATGTGTATAGTTATTATCTGTATGAATATAGTTTATATTAGAGATATGTAGTGATATATATATTAGTTAATTATCATAGAGAATAGATAATAGTGATTGTCGTGATTATATACTAGTGGTATAATAATATAACCACTAACTATATTAGTAGGATTTTCATTTAGGTAATAGTCATTATAGTCATTAGAGATAATTGTGGTATATAGTCATTATAGATAATAGTGGAATAGTCAATAGATCTAATAGTGAGTAAAATAGTGGTTTTAACATTCAATGATCAAACTATCTAATTATCTAATAGTGGTATAGTGGCATAGTGGTATATTATATATATATGATATATATGTTTTCCTCCTGCCCATTGGAGCGATCCCGGTATTAGTATACTTATTAGTGACTAATTTATTAGTGGCATATATCTTTTTATAATAGTCAATAGATCTAACTAATAGTTAATCATTAGTGGTATATAGTTAGTGGTTATATAGTTAGTGGTTATATAGTTAGTGGTATGTATCTTTAGAATAGTCAATATTTTATATATAGATAGTGGTATATACAAATAGTGAGTATAATAGTGAATCTAAAAGTTGTATGTATATATATATATATATTGTTATTATAGTTATTGTTGTTATTGTCAATATATCCAATAGTTATATACCCAATGTATAGTTTGTGATTATATACTAGCGGTACAATGATATAACCACTAACTATGCCATGAGTATATCTCACCAGTAGTATATCTAACTAACTATATTATATGCGTGATACCGCTATAGTAATAAGGGTATATATATAACTATAGTAAAACCATGTATATTTTAATAGTATGGTTATATACCATATTACTATAGTTATACAGTTTCATTGATATGATATAGTGGTATATTGGTGTATACTGTCAATATTACTTTGATATTATAGTCTAATATTACAATGGTGAGTAATCGTGGTTTTATATATAGTTATATAGATATTATAGTTGATGGGTTTTAGGTAAATCATCAAAGGAAGACCATAGGTTGCAATTGAGCACTTCGGGGGTTCCTAAGTGGTTCCTAAGTCATGGGGGTACCCCCCATTTGGATGATCTATAATGGACAATTTCAATCAAACATAGATCAATGGCCATGACTCAGGAACGAAAAAGAGATTTCACCCAACATTGATCGAGCATAAAACCCATGATACTGAATGTTAAACCAATTTTTCAATGGCCATTTCAGGAACCGATTGATTGGAGGTACCGATTCCATATATTTTTGGTCTATTTTTCAGGCCTAAATTTCAAGATTCAAGATTCCCAGGAACTCTCTGGAGCAAATCTTGAATCCAACCACTGGATTCAAGATTCAAGATTCAACATTCCCAGGAACTGTTTGGAGCAAATCTTGAATCCAACCCCAGGAATCAAGATTCAAGATTCAAGATTCCCAGGAACTCTTTGGAGCAAATCTTGAATCCAGGATTACAGATTCAAGATTCAAGATTCCCAGGAACTCTTTGGAGCAAATCTTGAATCCATCTTGAATCCTGGATTCAAGATTTCCTGCAAAGAGTCCCTGGGAATCTTGAATCTTGAATCCTGGATTCAAGATTTGCTGGAAAGAGTCCCCAGGAATCTTGAATCTTGAATCTTGAATCCAGGGATTGGATTCAAGATTTGGATTCAAGATTTGCTCAAAAAAATCTCTTGGAATCTTGAATCTTGAATCCTGGATTCAAGATTTGCTGGAAAGTCCGTAGGAATCTTGAATCTTGAATCATCTTGAATCCATCCAACTTGCAATGGCATTGCAACGCCATTGCAAGTTGGATAGGTGTCAAAGAAGTCAAGGCAGCAAAAAGGTCGGTCTTGGGGGGGGGGCACCATATATATATAACCATATATAATCAGATATAATCACATATCATCAATTATAATCAAATATAATCACACACATATATAACGGGTTGGTGGTATGTTTCTACCCCTCTGAAAAATATGAAAGTCAGTTGGGACTTTATTATTCCCCAATATATGGAAAAATAAAAAATGTTCCAAACCACCAAACAGATAAACTGATTTTTGATGAATCCTTTTCCACAGTTTTACCACAGTTATATGAGTTATATGCTCAATTTCTGGAGAGCAGTTGGAAATCATAGACAAATGTTCCAACAACATGACTTACCCATTTGGGATGGGCAGGATGGAACTAAAAGTTACCCATTATGACCAGCATGAAAAATGGTTGAAACCACCCCCACTATATACACTGGATCCAGCCGCCAAAACTTAGATCTTAGCCAATTTTCTCGGATTTCTCGGGGAAAAGCTGATCAGTGACGACGAAAAGAGTCAGAGCCACCATCTTGTGGTGCCATTTAAGACTGCCTGAGAATCATCCCAGCGATACACCAGCGCTGGGGTCGTAAACAAAAGTAAAAATTGATTGATGAAATGCAAGAAATTGCTAGAAATCAGGTAGTGCGATTGAGATACCCTTTAGGAGCCCGCTTTCAGGTTCAATCAATCTGTTGTCTGGCATATGTGCAAGCCTTAGGGACACCAAACCCAGCCGTTTCCCCATCAAAGCTTTCTGGAATATGTTCAACTTATCTCATGCTTGGCCGGCTATCCGTAACTTGTTGCTATAATGGTAAAAGTACTATAATGTATGTAGTATGTATGTATATATATATATATATTCATGTACATATAATTGTATATGCAAGTAACTTATTTACATAACTGATACCTACATTTCATACACCCATTGTTGCTTCAATATCAGCAACGCAACGTTGCCCAACCCGAGATCTCATCGAAATCTGCTCAGCCACGCAGTTCTTCCTGCAGAATCGCGGTCTGCTTTTGCGCCAGCAGCCGTGCGGTGGTTTCGTAGGTCCGGTGGGCCAGGGCCTGGAGATAGGGCCCAGGATCTGCAGTGCCATTCTGAATCATGGGATCTAAGGAATTCAATCATGAGATTTCCATCATGTTCCATCATTTTCCATGTTAATCAAGTGCTTGATACTTTCCATGTGTGAAAAATCAGGGTCAACATGAGAAAATCATGGAAAATGCCGTGATAAATCACGGTGAACGCTCATGGGATTACCAGGATTCCACAAGTGAAATACCCTCCAGTGTCATCAAACATGGCTTGCTGGAAAATCCGCCATTTAGTTCGATACCCTCTGGTAAACTAACATAACTATGGAAAATCACCATTTTTAATGGGAAAATCCACTATAAATGGCCATTTTCAATAGCTATGTTAATCATAACCAGAGGCTAATTGTCCCATCAAAAGTGTTCAGGTCAGGGATTTCCCAGCCAGGTTAACGGTGATCGCAGGGGAGCCCGGGAGCCCCACTTGGAGGATCATCCCACGTTTGAGGAAAATCTGGCGAAGTAATGAGGCTGGTGAGTTAGTCCTGGTAAAAACATGTACTGGTTGGTAGTTGAGCCCTACCCCTCTGAAAAATGATGGAGATCGTCAGTTGGGATGATGACATTCCCAATACATGGAACAAGATGAAGCCCACGAACCCGAATGCTCACACGTATGTTGAAGATAACGATGTTAAAGTATCGATTATGATATGAGATGCAAATGTCAATGCTCAAACCTATTGCTCCGGATCTGTTTTCTCTCCGCGACAGCAGCACTGGCGTCGCAACGACACTGTGTGAAATCTGGATGAGTCCACACAACAACTTTCCACCTTCAACATAATCGCACTCTTGCCATATCTTTACAAACCGCAAGCCTCACTGAACCAACAATCCAGTACATTAAAAATTTGAAACCTTGGCAAAGGAGACATTTTGCAACTTCCCCCATAGACACGGCGACGCCACAGGAAAACCAAAGACTTGAAACGAGACACGTACGTGCAGAAAAACGAACATTTTATGCGAGACTTCATCCAATTTTAACATTTTCGACACGTTATCAAACAGGTTGGAATGTCACAAAGTGCCACGCCTGCCATGCAAAACGACATGACAACCTGCTTGGAAACATTCGAAAAGGAGAGGTTTTGCGACTTCCCCCATAGACACGACGACGCCACAGGAAAACGAGAAACACAGACAAGACACGTGGATGCAGGAAAAAACAGCATTTCGTGCGAGACTTCCTCCAATTTTGCAATTTTGTGAACATCATCAAACAGGTTGGAATGTCAAAAAGTGCCACGTCTGCCACGCAAAACAACATGACAACCTGCTTGGAAACATTCGAAAAGGACAGGTTTTCCAGCTTCCCCCATAGACACGGCGACGCCACAGAAAAACAAACGCCTCGAGACAAGACACGTGGATACAGAAAAACCAGCATTTTGTGCGAGACTTCCGGCAATTTTCACAGTTGGCAACATGACAAAAAGACAAGTTTTGCAGCTTCCCCCATAGACACGGCGAGGCCACGGGAAAACCAGACACGCGAGAAGAGACAGGTGGGAGCACCAAAACAAGCATTTCGTGCGAGACTTCCTCAAATTTTCACACTTTGCAGCTTCAAAATCGACGTTTTCCTACGAGTTTTCCTTAGAACCCGAAAATTGGCAACATCAAAATCGATGTTTCGTGCGAGGCTTCCGTCAATTTTCAGCACATCGCACAAAATGCCACGCCTGCCACGGAATTTGCACCTTGTCGCCACTTGACGCAGCCCTGCCAATGCGATTTGCAAAAAACACGCAACGCGACACGTCTAAAGTGCTGCGCCTGCCACGAAAAATGACGATGGACGCGCCCAAAGTGCTGCGCTTGCCACGAAAACTGCAACACATCTTCTGAAAACGTCGCAAAAGTATTGCGCCTGCCACGCAAAACGATTTTCAACACGCTGCAAAACATGTCTGAATGTCACGAAGTGCCACGCCTGCCACGCGAAACGAAGCAACGACACGTCTGAAACCTCCAAAAATTACCACCTCTGCAGAACTTCCCATAGGCACGGCCATATGGTCCTCGCGCGGACGGTTGCGGACGGTTGCGAACGGTTGCGCTCGCGAACGCAACGTCGAGCGAACACACCCTCAACCCCCAGACCCCCAGAGTGAAACGGGAACCCTTGCTACGCATTCGGGAAAAATAAAAAATGTTCCAAACCACCGACCAGTGTAATAACTATGGTTACGGTTACCAGTTGTACCAGTTACGATCCGTGGAATATGTGGAATGATCCTCCAAGCAGTCATGAGTCATGGCGCGATGTACTGTACAATTATTATGATCCAAATGTATCCAATGGATTCCAATGGTATCATAGATCACAGATGCCTTCCAGTCGTAGACTGTTGGTATAAAAACATATCGACATTATCAATCCAATATCTATGACTATACCAGACTGTATCTATACTGAGATGCAAACCCCAAAAACTGTAGCGAGTTGTCCGAGTTGATAAAACTGTTTTTTAACACAGCTGGGTGGGGAAGAAACAATCCTTCAACACACGTGGGAAAGACAAGACTTGTGAAAAGTTATTCGAACGTCTATTTCTATCCATGTGGGTCTCAATAGACCAATGTCAAGACGCGTCAAGTGATCCTGCTTCAGATCACTCAACACGCAACAACGCCTCTCAGAACCAACAGTAATCAAATGTTCCTCTTGGAAAGTGTCATCAACATGATAATATGGGTTCCATGATGATCCATGTATTTCTTTCAGGGAATGGATTTACACGAGTTTACATTCATTTGTTGGAATTGGGACTCGAATCCAACTACTCTCATTGATAAATTTAGGTACAGGATTTCAATCCAACCACTATAGTTTCTCGTATACTTTTGGGTATAAGTATCTATAGACATAGACATAGCTAGTTCAGATAATTGTTGCATATATCAAAATCTATCGAATCAATCTTAGCTTGGTAGTATGTCAACTATCATTTAGGTAAAGAAGTTTAAACAGTTTAGGCAGGTAGATTCTCCATCAAGGTAATTTCGACTTAGCTATATTTTAAAATTTGGGACTTTGGTGATAGTTCAGCTATAAACCTTTACTTTCTCTTCATTCTACAGGGTTGTTCCAAACACCCCAGGTACGTTTGGAGGGGAAATTGGGCAGCGGTGGTTAAATGAAGAATTTCGCCCCAAAACGTGGCTATCATTGACCTACGATGGCTTGGAGCAACCTTGATAAATATCCCTTAAACATCATTAAAGCCTATTAAAGTCCCATTAAAGCCTATTAAACCATCATTAAAGCCTATTAAAGTCCCGTTAAAGTCCCATCAAACCCCATTAAATCATCATTAAACACTATTAAACCATAATGAAACACTATTAAACCATCATAATCGCGCCCATGAATTCCAACCTTTCACTCATCCCATTTTTCCTATGATTTCCAGCTCCTTCGACTTGGCCTCCGACAGGATGGCGGCCAAGAGATGGGAGAACTTGTTGCCCCAGTTGTGCGTCACCATGACGTCCTTCGACTTCGGTACTTCGCTGAGCGTCACGAAGTCAAACAAATCATCAAATATAAACAGAGCTTCTTGTTTAAAGTATATCTAAAAACTTATCGTATATATATATATATGTATGTATGTATGTATGTATGTATGTACATATATATATATATATATGTATGTATGTACATATATATATATAATATCATATATATATATATTATTATATATATAAGTACCAATATGCTCCATGTATGGTATATGTACCTACATTTGGTTGATTTTTAGGGCAAATTTTGGTAAATATTGCATACGTGGAGCATATGGGGTATCATATGTGCTTTAAAGTTTTTGTTAGACATCTTTGAGGATAACCAAGCGTGTTACGAGATTTGGATCATGGATCTAAGTATAGCGCCTGCAGTTATTGTTGACGACATTGATTGGATTCAATGATGAAAAATGGCAACTAAGTAACTAGCAAAGGATTCAAAACTAGGATTTAATGATTTATTGGATTCAATTATTCAATGGTTTTAAGCAAAACCAGGATCTTCATTGGAATTACAATAAACCCAATAAACAAAAGAATCAACAAAACACTGACACACACACATTGCATGCAAGAAGTGATGGGGGCCAACAGGGCAAACAAATCGCTGGATACCACTCAGCCATCCAAAAGATTTCAGCAACAAAAATGGGTTAAAACCAACAAGAAAACACATGGTCGAAACAAGACTGAAATGTTGCCAGCAACGCTGGAAATCATGATGATGGAATCTAACCAGCAAACATGCAATTTTGGATGACATGTGCGACATATCTCCCATCAGGATGAGAAATATACCCAACAAATCCCAAAAACCATGCGTATTGGTTGGATATATATGTTATCTTAGTCATATGACACCTCATTTTCACCTGGGAAAATCTCCCCCTTCTCAGTCTACAAAGGTTGCTGCTACAAACAAACGACAAATTACTATGATTGCTTGATATTGGCTGTTGCTGATTTCGAGTATCTCATATCCACCTCTTGAAATCTATAACCTTGATTAAGTTAATCCATAGCAGCTAGTTGCATTAAATATGAAACACAAATAAAGACTACATTGATATATATATATATATATATATATGTTGTATGCATGTATAATTCGATATACTGGTGTATATATGGTGTCTAATAAGCACCATATACCATTCCAATTGTTTGCCCCCCTTTTGGAGCCAGGTATCGGGTGGTCGATAGTTTCCTCCTGCCAGCATCGTCGCATAGGCGCAAGAGGCTTCAGGCGGCTCAGCCTTCCTTCGTAGCATCAGGATCCAACGGGATTAATCAACCCCCAGCCCAGGAAAAATGCGTTGGCAATACTAAAATAGCTTGGTCCCCCATGATTATAGTGGATTGATATGGTGTTGCTATGATATAGTGAATTTTGGTGATATAGAAACATATAGAAACATATAGAAACATATAGAAACATATAGAAACACGTTCGCAAAACCACAACTTAAGTCTGGCTGAAAAAAAAACATAGGCCCAAAAGTCCAAGAAATTCTCCAGTTGGGATCAACATTTTTTGGTGAAATCCCCCGTTTTTGTTTGGGTGACCAAACATGTTCATGGTCAAAAACTCCTCCAAGCTTCGACATCGGAATCACCACCTGCCTCACCACGTCATGGGTCGTGGCACTTTCATCAAAGTGCGGCATCTTCTCTGCGATCTTCTCCCAGAAATGCAGGAGATCAGCCACTGAGACGCTACGCGAAGCTAGGTCCTGAACAACATCGGCCATCGGCACTAGGTGAGTTCGATGGTTATGATAGGTACAGTATATGAATCATTAGATTAATCTAGAATTAATGGGACTTAGTGGGAATCTACCAAAAGTGGCTGGTAAAATATGCTGAAATATGGAAACTTAATGACACGTATAGCTTATGTATGCTTACTTCAGCACCATTGTAAAATGGGGGGTGTAGTAAAACTGATGTGTTTTTTTTCCGGAGCCTAAAAAGGACGGGGACACTAAAACCAACCCTTTGGTTTTATGACCCCTTGGTTTCCTCGGCATCTAAGCAACAGTCTCTAGCAAGCGTTCCGAGGATGAGTCGGCGCTTGCAGTGTGCTTGTCACGAATCAGAGCGCTTCCTGTGTGGAAACGAATACTGTCACATGTTGACATTGATGCTTTTGCTTGTGTGCAATTTTGTCTATGGTTTGAGCCCATGCATGCTTGCAATTTTGGTTGCTTTCAGTGTCAGTTTGAATCGCGCAAAACACTGCAATCGCAAAGCATATCTCATCCCTTGTCGTCGGGTGGGAGGAACCAGAGTACCCATAGTACCCATGGTGCGGAAACGAAGATGTCGAAACAAGATGTCCTTGAAGATTACCAGCTTTGTGGCATGTTGCAACCTTTGTTTTTCGATCTTTAATGAGCGTGGCAACATCAGAACCTTCCTGAGCTCAGTGTTTACTCATTGTCTTGCTTCAATGCAACTGATGTCGGAACATCGCATTTTCTTGGTGGTTCACCTCTCCATGTTTTGTCTCTTCACTTTCTGTGTCTGGCATTTTTCGAAGCATATGAGAAATCGACTCATGCATGCCTCGTGTGGAAATAGAAAGAATCAAGGCCGTGGACAGAATACAGGGCGACAACGGAAAAGGTCGTGGCAAGCATGCATATGAACCTTCTCAACCATCGAACCCTTTGACAACTCTCCAAGTGGAACAACAGATTCTTCAAGATGCCGCTGAAAGACAATATAAAACAAAGGTCCGCGAAGCTCTTCCGGAAGCAGCTTGGATCAAAAATGCCGCAGTCCTGGTACCAGGTGAGTGGACGGCGCGTGCATGCCATCCTCATGAGTTGACGGCAGCCGGAGGTGTCAGCTATGTTGGAAAAGACTTGGTTCCTGATGTCTTACGCCGCATAGGGTATACACAAGCACCATGCGCCATAGTCACCACGCAGCCAGCAAAGGAGTTGGGGATTCCCTATCCCAGTGTCGATGTCAGATGCTCTTTAGAAGTCTCAAATCAAGAAGGATCCAGGGAAATCGTTGAAGTAAACAAGTTTTTAACACAGATAGGATACGGAAGTCCCGTAGAGTTGGCCACAACAGGACCTTGTATCGTGGCTCCGAGAACCATGCACAAATGTGTTGCCAGATTCGACCTTCCAACAGGACTCCAAGAAGGTGAACTCACAGGAAGAATCGTCGCTGAAGCCGTCAGCAAGCATATCAATCCAGCATATTTCGTTGATGTGAATGCCAGACAGGACAATACGGCTACGTTGATGGTCCAAGATGTAGCCGTACATGATTTGCTCAGAGCGAGCGGACAGGATCATGTTTACTTTCGTTTGCATTCAACTGACCCAGATGCTGGTACGCTTGAGATCATTTGGCTTCCTGAACAAATCCCGCACAGTGATGCTTTGCAACTCGTGGCAAAAGAAAAGACTTTTGGACTGGCTCTCAAACGGGGTGCCAATGGTCCCCGCTATGGTCTCCGTTTCAATACAACTGAAGCTATGAACGCATATGCAGTCAAATACAGCATGGGTGACAAGCACAAATGGGGTCGTTTCCGAGCCAGCAACATCCCGTCCTGCGGGGACTACATGATATGCTATCACCCCTAGGATGGGAAATTGAAGAGGTCGAATTTTTCGGAGACACAGGAGCCGTGCTTTTGGCTAGTGGAAGAGGTGAACACGATCAAATGCACTTTGTTGATCACAACAAGAGGAAGATTCCTGTCATGATCAAGGCACTGAACTCATGTGCCAGAGAGATGACTAAAAATCATGCCCAAGCGGCTGCAGCCAAGGCCAAAACAGCCCCCAAACCTGCCGCATCGGCACACAGGGATGAGCGAGCTCAAGTTCAAAAAGCTTTATTTACCAAAAGACCAAATCCTGGCAAGACTGGAGAGACACCACCCCCGAAGCGTGCCAAACCTGGGGATCATACTCAGTCTTAGCTGAAATCAAACATGCAGCTAGTGAACATGCCAGGTATGCACGCAATGTTGGTGTGGCAGTCAAACCTGGACTTTTGACACAGCTCGCAGAGGAGAAATGCACAGTTTGTCTATGGATTTTTTCCAAGTACAGGTCCGAGACAGACAGCTTTGACGCATGACTCAGTGGTATTCAAGTTTCCGAAGTTGTATATGATCAATTACCCCACATCTACGTTTCTTACATAATAAATTGTGCATCATTGCTGGTATGTAGATCCTGGTTTGCAGCCAGAAAGTTTCGCAACCGTCTCATGCATACGCTCCATGGAAACACATCAAACATCAAAGTTTCTCATTTGAATATCAATGGTATCCAAACAGAAGGTAGGCTCCCTTTGGTACTCAGTCAAATGCCGGACTTGCTGATGCTGACAGAAACTCATGCCACAGGAGACTTGCAGAAAGCGACAGAAATGCAATATAAAAACCTTTTCTTTATTTGGGGAGGAAATGCGACAAAAGCTGGAATCGCAATCGTTGCCCAGCGTAGCAAATGGTGGCACTGCAAGGCAATTCAATTTACTGAGCCTGCATTAAAGTACTGCAAAAGAATGGTCGTTTAGCAGGCATGCAACTCTTCACCGGCGATGGCTGGATCAGCATCATAGCCTTATGTTTTTACGGTTTTGCCGGCACACGATGGGAAGCAAGATTGCAGCGAGAAAATGCCAAGGCACTTCAAGACATTTTCACATATGCTGCCTCACTCGGAAGCGTACCCGTGTTTGTCGGTGGCGATTTCAACCAGGAACTTCTTGAATCAGAATATCTTCAAGAAATCACGTCCTTTGGTCAGTGGCACAATGCTGCTCAGAGCGATCGCACACCCACGTGCCTCAAAGGAAAGCAGGGTTCATGTATTGACCTTTTTTTTAAAACACAGCTGCCAATTCCTTAAGGACGGACTATGAAGTAACCACAGGGGTTGAGGAAAAAGATCACCAGTATATCTCTATCACTCTCAAGTTGCCGTCCCCTGTTCAGCATGAGTACCGTTCCAAAAACAAAGATTCTAGAGTCGCTTTTGCCGAAACACCAGAAAATTATCAACCTCCTAATATTGTCATACCTAATTTCGAATATGCTATTACCAACCAGAATGTGGAAAAAGCCTGGCATCTGTGGTCCCATGCGAGTGCTGAACTGTTTGCTAAAATCTCATTCCATGGTGAAAGCAGTTGCAACCCTCATGTTTTCGCATCCAAAGGAAAAGTTAGATTTGCACGGCAACGCACTTTTCCAAAGCAATTTGAAGAATCTGCCGCAACATTGGAAACAGTGAGATGGGCGAAAATCCTGCGACAAGCAGAAGAATTGCAGAGGCTTGCCTTTTTCTGCCGCAGAGCTCAAACCACTGGGACCAATTGTGTAAAACAGATCGAGCTGACCCACTTTGATAGTGAACAAGCTCATCATGTCCGTCAAGTTGCCAAATCACCTTTCAGTAAGCCAGCAGTTCAAGAGATCGTTTCCCAAGTACCTGCGGTCATTGAGCAAGTACGAAAGCGAGAAAAAATTGACCGCATCAATCCGTGGAAGCGACGCATGAAAACATCCAAAAAGGAAGTACATAAGTGGCTACGTAAACACGAATCTATTTCCACTGGTGTGATGATGAACAAAGATGCAAAACCCACAGCCAATAAGGATGACATGTCTAATTTAATCTTATACGCGAAGCGTGGGATAAAGTCTCTAACAAATATTCTCGAGGGGAACCAGATTCAAACCTCTTTTTCCAAAATTTTGGAAGCCACATGAAAAGCCATCCGCAGTATCTAGATCCCTTAGCTGGCAATCGGCTAATTCAAACGTTGAATGATGTCAAACCATCATCCACCGGTTTGGATGGTTGGTCCCTAGCTGAGCTGGTTGCCTTGTCTAAGTGGTATCCGGTTATGTTTTCGCACCTTGCCAGCCTTCTCAATCTCATAGAAGAAATCGGTGAATGGCCAACATCTCTCGTCACAGGCTATACCACGATGCTTCCCAAGCCAGATGGACCTGCGGTTCCTGGTCCTATGGATATGCGACCTATAAGCGTTTTGCCCCATATCTACAGGCTGTATTCAAAGACTAGATTCCAAGACAGCATAAGTTGGCAGGCTCATTGGATCCACGACCGTGCTTTCGGTGGTGTCCCAAAACGATTAGCAGAAACGCTCGCTTTTCAGGTGGCACTTGCAGTCGAAGCAGCACATTCGCAATCCAAAATAGCCGGGGGCATATCTTATGATTTCGCTAAAGCATTCGATGTCATACCTGTAAATGTGATGTTAGACACTCTTCGAGCCAGAGGAGCATCCTGCAGGCTTCTAAATTCAATGAAAGGAGTGTACAGATAGTTGTGAGCAGAACGTGCAGAATCCAAGGGTCCTTTTCCGAATTTTGTGCCTCCAATGGCATCATCCAAGGGTGCAGCTTATCACTTCTCGGACTTAATAGTTTGATTGCCGCCATCTTAGAAAAAGCAGATAGCACTCCCAGGTGTTTAATTGGTCGAGCCGAGTCGAGCCTATGCAGATGACATCAGCGGTGAAGGTTCAGCCGAAGATCCAGCGGAACTCTTGCAACAGACCAGCATTTCCATGACATTGTTACATCGTATCAGCAGTGTGGACTTGGAGATATCAGCATAAAGAAAACTTTCACCTTGGGAGACCAATCACTGCAACGAGCCGTCGACCCTCATGTCAATGATTTCCGATTGGTTGGCGTATCCGTTGTATCACAAGTACTCACTGGTAGCTTCACCAAACTTGAGCAAAAACGATTAGACAAATGGAAAAACACAATAGCCAAAGTCAGATGTCTCCCTTTGTCGTGGCCAGAAAAGGCCAAAACTCTACTCAGCACCCAATCCCAGGCCACCTGGGGACAAGGTGCACATCAACTGCCGAATGACATCAAAGCATTAAATTTAGTTCGATCATCACTCATGCGAACTTTCTACAACGCTGATTTTTACTCCATGTCTCCCTTGTTAACCTTTGCACTATTAGTGCCTGTACAACTTGAGCCAACATTTGCTATGCAATACGCAGGTCTCCTGACCTTTCAAAGATGCATTTCCAGTCGTGCACTAAGCGCCAGGCTGGTTCAGTAAATTCTTGCATCAGGTGTTGCCGAAACAGTAGGACCTTGCGCACGAATCCAGGAGCTTGCAGATGGCCCTCTGAACGAATCAATCCAACAACTCTTGCTGAATCAAATTGATAACCTTGAGCTGTGGAAGCATAATCTCAGAGAACAATGGAGACAGAATCTTCTCAAACAACTTGAAAAAGAAAGTTCACATCAATATCAACATGCAACAAAGATTGATAGGAATATGACAATGATGTTCCATGACATGCCACAACAAGTCGCAGATGGCACAAGCCATCCAGGTCTACAGCTCACACCAGAAGAAGCATGGATGAAACTTGCAGTGTTACGCAGAATGCTTGCGGGGGCTTGCTGACACAAGCAAGAATCCGCAGACATCGGAGACATGGTGAAAATCATGTATGTGAATGTGGTCTTGGAGAGGAAAGTACTGTTGAACATGATAGCTGAAGATGCAAACATTTCGATCACATCCGACAGCCTATGCTCTTACAATTGAACCCCCATATCCAAAATTTACCAGTCGTCACTCGATATGCTGCCGTTGCTTTAAAAGACACTTCCTTGACACGAGATGAAGTTATTCTTTTGCAGTCCACTCTCGTTCAAATATGGCAATCGCATATTGCGAGGTTCTACGGAGAGGACAACGATACACCACCGAATGACCCAGACGTCGGTGAAAGCAGTGATAATCCCGAACCGCCCAAAAATACTAACCGTCATTCTCAGATTCTCTCGCGTTCAAAGCCGATGGACTAGGTGTGTTTTGCCAGAAGTGTGGAAAACATGTGACAAATACTGAAGATTACTGGCAAGCGTTGCGAGTTCGAACATGTTCCGCCTAGCCAATATGTTGACCAGCCTGGAAAACACAATAATCAGAACAGGTTGCAAAAAGCTTTTCAAGACATGAACAAAAAATACAATAAAGGGAATCATGTGCTCGAATGGAATTACAAAGTTGGCAAAAAGCCACCTGATGAAGGTATCCTTAATTGTAAAGCTTGCGGACGGACTTGGAAAATGAAAGACCGGGTCAACAACCTACCGAAAACTGTTTGCAAACCCATCTCTGTTGATAACAACATTAGCTCACAAAAATCAGAGTCATCCAGTGCACCCGAACCAGTTGTCAGGCGTAGATTGCGGGGCAAATAGACCATTTCTCAAGCTTCACCCAGTGCATTCTCCGAGCGTTGCAGCTACGGAATCCGAATCTCGAAAAGATCTGTTCTTCCGAACAGGTATTGGATGAATGTCACAGAACGGAGTCTCTCAGCTTGTGCTGGGTCACTCCGAGAAGTTCAAGCTTTTATGACCCTTTGGTTTTATGACCTTCGAGGAATGACAAACTTAAACCTGGTGACATCAACAAATGATGGTGACTTGACACTCAAAGCTACAAGAATGGGAAACATGAAACGTTCTGTGGGGAAAACAACGTCATAAACCAGCCATGACTGGGAATGGTTAGAAAATATACCACCTACAAAAATGGTGATGACTGGGGGATGTTTTTTTGTTTTACCCACATTAGGTTTTGATTAGAATGCCATTGAAACTGGAGGATTATTCCACTCTTAACTGCGTTTATGGCATTGTTTTACCCACAAAAAAAATCCCATTCTCCTGGAAATACAGATTTGACCCATTGAGTTGATGGTAAGCCAGTTCCCTTTCTCTCGACGTCCCTTCGAGGACACTTTTAAGAAAAGTTCAGATTTAAATAAAGGTAAATACATAAATCCGCCCACACCGCTTTGGCGGTGAAGGCGTGCTTATTGGGGGGCAACAGCAACACTAAATGCTCAATGACATTTGTTAATATAGCAGTCGCTATATCAGCTTTAGCTGGGGGGGGGGGCAAAAACGGTTTCGCACCGAGACCAGAATACGGTGGTGTTTTCGACATTTTTCGAGGATTTTTGGGTGTCTGAGCGCAAGAGGGTATTGAAATGGAATTTTGGGTCATTTTGGTAGCTTTCCGGCAATGGAAAAACGGCCAAAAATGAAAAAAACATTGTACATAGCAAGATTTTGCAGTGTTTTTGGATGCCAGAGCATTGAAAACACTGCAAAAACAAGTGTTTTGGACTGACGTTATAGCAGAAAACGTGAAAATTACCGTATGTTTGACTGGAAACATTACAAAAACACTGTCAAAAGCAATGTTTTGGAAGGATTTACTGCCTTTATTGCAAAAAACGCGTAAATTACCGTCTGTTTGACTGGAAACATTGGAAAAACGCTGTCAAAAAAAATGTTTTGGAAGGATTTCTTATATATATATATGTTGGAGTTGGCTACCGGCATTGGCACATGGAAAAATTGAAGAAAACACTGTAAATAGCGGTATTTTCAACGGTTGGGGAGATGGGGGAATTGGATGGAATTGGAAGCATTGTCGAACATGATGTTTTCGACCGGTTTTATGGCGACAAAAGTGTAAAGTACCGTGCTTTGAAGGAAACCATTGCAAAAACATGGAAACACAGAACACGGGATTTGGGGGACTATCTAGGCGTCGTTGTCTAGCTATTTGAAATTCCGCAGCTTGGAGAGCCTCCAAGGGAGGGAAAAGTGAAAATTCCATAGCTTGGGAAGCTGTCACGGAGGGGAAAAATGAAAATTCCCTAGCTTGGGAAGCCCCGACGGGGGGGGAAAAGTGAAAATTCCCTAGCTTGGGGAGCCCCCACGGGGGGGAAAAGTGAAAATTCCCTGGCTTGGGGAGCCCCCACGGCGGGGAAAAGTGAAAATTCCCTAGCTTGGGGAGCCCCCACGGGGGGGGAAAAGTGAAAATTCCCTAGCTTGGGGAGCCCCCACGGGGGGGAAAATTGAAAATTCCCTAGCTTGGGGAGGCCCCACGGGGGGGGAAAGTGAAAATTCTTAGCTTGGGGAGCCCCCACCGGGGAAAACCACCCTTAGCCCCTCTCACGGACCGAAATAAACTTGCGGTGTGGGCGGCCACCCCACGCGAAGCGGGGTGAATAACTAAATACATAATATAGATACATAAAATCATAAACACTTTTAAATGGATAAATAATCATAAATGACAACAAATGAAAAACATATATAAAAAATAGACATGAATATGCATCAAGTTGTGATTTTCTCTCCTTAAGTTCCACTCCCAAAGCCACTGCAGTCCTTGACCTTGCCCTGCGCCACAGGCAGTTGCACCTGGAAGTGCAGCCCAGGGTGTCCTTCACCTCGCGGGGGAGACATGGAGACCTCTGGTAATGTAGCTATAGAAAATCACCATTACTAATGGGTAAATCAACTATAAATGGCAATTTTCAATAGTTATGTTAAATTGCCGGAGGGTAACCATCAACAATAGGGATTTACTGTATTTGGATTTCAACTGGATATAGTGGATTTAGCCTTTGGAAATTGAACATCTGGTGATTTAACACGAGAAATCAACCCAATTGATGGATGATGGATGATGGTAATGACTAACAGTTTGCGAACTTGAACATGACCATAGAAATAGTTGGTTTTTCCCATTAATAGCATGGTGGATTTTTCCATAGTTTTTCGTATGTTTACCAGAGGGTATATGGGGGATTTCCAAAAATGCTTGGTTTATTTCATGGAAAATCATCTAGAAATGGATGATTCAAATGTGGTACCCCCATGACTTAGGAAACCTCCATATGATGCAGATATAGAGATGGGTCATTTTTTTCAGACTTAGGGGACCATAGATTGAAATGTCTATGTCTAGTATTAACCAGCGATTTTTTGGGGGTACCCAAATTTGACCCATACCCATATCATTTACAGCGTGAAAAGATGTGAAAAGGCCCTAAGCTCTGGAAAATATTTGAAAATACCATTTGATTTACAAACTTCTGTTGAAAAAACAATGCGTCATATTTGTTTGTTCCTATCTGCGGGGTCCGGTTTTTGTTGGGCCGGGTACAAAAAACATATATATATAATTATATATATGTATATATATATTATATGTGATATGGAATGATACCGTTAGGATTCTGATCAAACATAATGATGCAACATGAATTTGACTTATGTTTGATCAGAATCCTATGGAAACCCTAACAGGCCAACCTTTGACTTCACCGGTCGAATCCTCATTTTTGGTTGCTGAATGTTGCCCAAAAATACCCATGTTCATCCACATATATCCGCATTTAGCTCAGAAAAATCATGACATCTTCTCGGCGACCAGTCAACTCCAGCTGTTTCTTCCAAAATCCCAATGTAAAATCCGTAGAATCCGCCATTTTTCGTTCAAACCGGCCATTTCTCCAGCCCCAAACGCCGCTCCGTTTACGGCGCAATGCCGAGGTGCTGAAGAACTTGGGCATCCTGCGGTGCACCACAGTGGCGCAGGCCGCCAGCAGCAGCGCCAGGAAGAGCGGTTGCAGCAGAGACAGGCGCAAAATGATGGTGAGGAATGTCAAGATCCATTTCCTGAAAGGTTGATAGTTGATAGTTGATCCAAATGATATGTAACAGCTAGGGTAGATATATTGATGATAATAGTAATGATCCATGTCCTGAAAGGGAACCAGGATCTTCATTGGGTAGATATGTTATATTTATGTAATTCTATAATGATAATAGTAAGGATCAACCATTTCCTGGGGTTGGGCTTTTAATGATCTAAATGGGGGGAAGATATACATCTATCTGTATCTGTACGTATGTGTATGTGTATAATTATATATATATATGTATGTATATGTATATATATATGTATGTATATGCATATGATATATGTATGTATATATTGTATGTGTATATATATATATATACACACATATATATATATGTACAAATCTATAGATGGTATAAGACTGCAAAATATGTATATATATATATATGTCTATACAATGATAATAGTAACAATTATCCATTTCCTGGCACGGTTTTTAGTGATTAGTAATAGGAATAGTAATCTTAGTAGGAATAGTATTGGTCGCAATAATAACGACAATAATGATCTATACAGGCGTACTGCCTATGTAAATATATATATATATATAGATACAATGTGTAGCATATGTTTTGTTCAATCTATTGTTTGCTGCTGGGAACACTGAGGGTACTGCGTTTTATGCATATGTGATATGTATACTTTATGTATGTGCCTGGAAACCAAGTGATCTTGGTCTTGGTGGAGTCACCATTCAAAATAAGGACGGTTTCAACACTATTACTATTATCACTTGTTGTTACTAGTATTATACATACTATATCATCATATACAATCATAAATATATATATATGTTTATATATGGTTAAGTTGTTGAAGCCCCCCTCTATACATGTATAATTAATTATGTAATATCATGTATATAAAGTGGATGTCAAGAACCAAAATGGCTGATCCACAGATCCACAGCGGAATCCGGAATCTCCCATCGACCCTCCGAGTCGCCAATGGTCTTTTCCATTGAGGTTGGCGATGAAAAGCGCGACGTAAACGCAACAAAAGATGGTGTAGCAAAAGCTGAAGATCCACATGAAACAGTCCTGGACGGGGACGAGACGAGACATTTTTTTCCAACTTCACGAAACGACCATTTCTCAGAAGCCTGGATCCTTTGGAAGAGAAGTGAAAATCAAGGGCTGGACTTCGCAGATTCTGACAGATTCTGACAGATTCTAACAGATCCAAAATCCTCTTCGAAACTCAGAACCTGATTTCAGGGGAGATTCTGAGTGGTTTTCACCACAGACGGTTCCCACCAGACCAACCATGAATTTCTCCTGAAGCCGCCATCGCCACAAGTGTCTCTGCAGCACATTCCTTGGAAAACAGCCCTGACCCCGGAGATACCATTAATTTGACTGATCAAAACCCTGGTATCCAACTCGGTTCACATGAAAATTGCTGGTGTTTTTATGGATGTCCATTCCACCAATATGTAGGAAATTATAGGTTTTGACGAGTTTTTACCCCTTCCCAGGTGGGATTTTCCCAACCAAAACCTGAAAATATGGAGGAACATCTTTTCCATTTGCACCAGCTGAACCCGACAAAACGGTGAACAGTTGCTATACAAAAAGGAAACCTAACCCCTCCAACTAACCAGCTCGGGGAGTAATTAATCCGTGGTTGACATGGGGTTGTCTGAGACTAGGGTGTATATTAACTTTCAGACACAGCCACATTGTAGTGAAGCAGGCATCATTGCATCATCGATCTAATTAGAGAACCCCAGCCATTTCTCAACGTTCGCCAGGAGACACTGAGCTGGCGGAATCTACGAAGGATCGTTGCCAGAAGTACGACATCAGAGACACAGGGATGCTCACGAAGGAGGCTGAGAAGAAACCCATGAGGACAAACCTGCGCTCAGTTTCGAAGATCTTCTGGTGCCCTAAGGGCCTCCTTAAAGGGAACCTGCAAAAAGCCTCTGTTCTGCAGGGAAATCGAAAAAGAACATATAGAGTCTTCTGCAGATTTGCAGAGAGAGAGAAAGAGAAATGCTCAAAACAAATACATTGAAGCAAACTCTGGTAATCCAACACGCAGCTGGAAAATCACCACTTATTAAGTGTTCATGTGTTTTTCCTACAGGTAACTGTGAATTCTGTCGGGGAGAAATCCCGCAGCCCGCCACATTTGATCAGCGGATTGTGACCAAAAACTACTCACTAATCATCCAAAAAACAATGCCAAAGAACACCTGTCCTTAGAATTAAATCACATTAAATCTATTCATTTTGAGGGCCATCTAAGGGACAAGTTCATCGAGGGAAGTGGTTGATCTACTAACCTCTTTTTGAAATCCATTGAGTCTACAGTCAATATGCGGGTTCGTTTTAACATGGAATACTACCCAAAAGAAACATTTAACAAATCGTCGTCGTCATCATCATCATCATCATCATCATGGTTCATTCAAATGATAATAGCTGGTGGTAAATTCCCCATGGACAAGACATGACAAGACCGTTACACCGTTACACCGTTATATCATATGAAATCATATGTGTTGGCTTGAAAGAATCCACCATGTCGATCCACGAAATCAATGGTGAACATTCCCACTTTTCTATCCCTCATCTGTCACGATATGCTGTGAGTCAAACGGGTCTCTGAAAAACATGGCCCTACCATCGAAACATCTATATGAATTCTCACTTTCCCTAGGGCTCCAAACACCCTCTGAATGATGGAGTTCGTCAATGGGAAGGATGACATCCCATATATGAAATGGAAAGTAATCCAAATGTTCCAAACCACCAACCAGTCATCATTCCGACCCATTTTGGCCATCACCAAATGGCTACAGATCACCAGATCACGGCTACCGATGAACCCATGATTTCAACGCCGTGCCTCCACGGGGAGATGCTGCTCTGCGCGCAGGCCTCTGGGCTGGCGAAGCTGGTGCCGGACTCCGTCAGGGCGAAGAAAAAGGCGGAGACCGCCAGGGCGCCTCGGGGTCGACGGCAACGGCGCGGGGAAAGGAGGGGTTTGTTGAGGATGGCCATGGGGGATGGAGATATTATCTGTATACGTATTAGCGTAATTATAGATAGAGTCAGATAGAGAGAGAGAGAGATGTAGATAGGTAGATAGGTAGATAGGTAGATAGGTAGATAGGTAGATAGGTAGATAGGTAGATAGATAGACAGACAGACAGACAGACAGATAGATAGATTAGATCTCTGTAGGTGCATATATACTAGCACATGTAATTTACTTTTAAAGGTATTGGTTTATATATTAATATATACGTGTATATATATATATATACGGTGGCCATAGATATGTATAGATATGTACTATATGGATATATAATACCCGGGATTAACATATATATATATGGCTTTGTATGTGTATGTATATAATTGCATACATATATATATATCTGCAAGTCTGTTGAAATATGCACATGTGAATATGCCAATATACGAACATGTCAATGCGCGAATGTAGGCATGTGCAAAGGTAACACCGGCAGAATATGTGTATACATATGTAAATGTATTTTGCTTACTGGAGATGAATGGCTATGTGTTGGGTATCAGTCGGATATATCTACTGTAGATGATGTATATGAGGGTCGTGTTGTGTGTGTGTGCAAATACATTTATAGATACATCTACACAAAATCTGGCAAATGTCCTTAGCTGTAACCACCACTCTCAACAGGTCGATTTCAAGCTTGCCTTTAGATTGCGAATTGACTCGTATTCACTAGCCAGCCAAACTAAAGTGAAGTCTATCCAAAAAACATCAGCTGAACTTGGCACAACTTCCACCAGCGCTGCCAAAATACCAAACATCACATCAGCCTTGAGTTTCATGCGAATGGCCGGACTTTGTTCCAGGGAGAGCAGCACGGAGCTGCTGTAGGGGTGCAACACTCCTGAGCGCTGGCCATCCTGTAGTCTGGGTCTCAAAGCAAGTCATGACCCCAAATTTCATGGGATTTCATTATGGTCCGATTACAACCCAAAAAAAGTGCTGGTATCCCCCACTTTCAGGATTCAGACCAACCCACATCTTCCATATTGTCAAATATTGTTGGTTATATGCCGTTATAACCCCACAATAATGAGTTATTATAGCCCCATTAGAACCGCATGACAAGCTCATTATATCCCATAATTACCCATTGTAAATTCTGATCCCATGAAACATTCCCACTGAATTCCCACAAAATCTCCATCATATCCCTAAAGAATACCCATAAATCCATAAAGATACCCGATTCTTCATGGATCCCGATACCCCCCCAAACGATAGGCAAAATCTAGTTTGTAGTAAAAACACATAATCCCATATTAATCACATATGTTATCATGTTATCACCATGTCATCACGATTTTGCGGCGCATTTCACGGCCCCAGCGGCTGAGAAAAAGCCTGCAACGGCTCCAAAAGTCCATCTCCGCGAAGGCCAGAAACGCTTCGGGCACCTCCCGTTGCGCCGGCGAAACGACCGCGACGGCGATGTCTGTTGCCATGGAAAGAAACGGGTGGATTTTAATGTATCCCTAATATCTAAATAGTAATTAGGATATATCTAATAGGATATATATATATATAATATCTAAAATATCTAGTAATTAGGATATCTAAACAGTAATATAGAAATAGTATCATATCTAAATAGTAATTAGGATATATATATATAATAATAATAAGAATAATAAGAATAATAATAATACCCCATTATATGTAGATCTGGTTGGTGGTTGAGCCCTACCCCTCTGAAACATATGAAAGTCATTTGGGGTTATTATTCCCAATATATGGAAAAATGTTCCAAACCACCATTTTTCGGTCCATTTTTCGAGCTTCACACCTGCTCAGTTGGTGGAGCGAGGCGGACAGTCAAAGTTGAACCTTCTAATCGAGGCACACCTGCATCCGAACCAGCTTAGCTGCTAAGGGCAGGCTCTTGAGCACCCCTGCATCACGGGTGCACGGCCGCGTCAAGGCCGTCGACAGCCAGGTCTCAACTTCCTGCACCGCACGTGTGTCCCAGGGTAACGATGCAGAAGGCAGATACGCTTGCAGCAAATTGGAGTTCGGCCTACATTGTTGGAGAGCCACGGCCACACCAGTCGATTGCCAAATTGCTTTCATCATCTGCCGGAACCAACGTACCCGAACCCTGCTGGAAAACGCTTCCGGGGCAAGGTACGGACGCATGGCGGCGTCCACCCACTGCTGTTGGACCTTGATCGGTCCTGGGTGTCCCCATGTGAGCTGGAAGTCAATGTAGAGCTGATGAAACGAGATCCATTCCAGGGTTCCTCCAGCGCCAGTTGTAACTCGAGCACGAAACCAAGCAATAGCTTTCCGCACAATGTCAAGCCCAAAAAGGCGTGCAACCTGTGCAGGAATGTCTCCCGTCCATTGTCCCAGGGAAAACTCCTTGACAAAAACTCTCGTAGAGCGAACAGGTTCAGGCTCAGGATCTGCGGCAACATTGACGCTGGCCTGAACCTGTCGCCTTCCAACTGCAAGCTGTAAATCCCGCACCTGATGAAACAGATTGTCGGCTGTCACAACTGCACTTGCATGTCGCTCCCAAACCTGCCAAAATCCACTGGGCCTTGACTGGTTTGCAAGTCTGGCCGCCTTGTCCGCATAGTCATTGTGAAAAAACATCCACGCTTCCTTACGGCTGGTAGCGCTATGCAGAGCGCGGTGAGCCGGCACCTTGAACAGCTGCACATTCTCGCTCCCAAGCCTGTCAACTGATTGCAAAACCCACGTCCACAAATCTGCATTGCTTCGATTGGGATTGAGTCTGCTGTGGCCTCGCACCAATGCATGAAACTTCAAAAGCACTCCTTTGCAATCTGTCCAGATACGCACCGGTGTGTTTGTCGCTGCTGCACAATGAAGACCATAGGCAACAGCATACAGTTCTGCTCTGTAGGCGGTTTGGCACAACCCAGGTAGGTATGAGGCGGCAAGCATCTGCACCTGTCCAGGAGCCCACTCGGCTTGAAAGGGTGGAACCACAGCAACCGACCATGCAGCACAACGCAGCAGGGGGTTCGACTGACACAGACAGGAACCATCAGTGAACAGGTCAGTCCAACGGCCAGAGTCCAGGGAAGTCCACGGCACTGGGGGATCGGAAGGCAAGTCCAAGAGGAGTTGAGTCCAGGTGTGCCAGGTAGGTGGAAGCTGTGCCCATCCACGAAGCGCAAGGGCAGGTGGAAGAAAGTCCAACACGGCTGGAACGTCAGGAGCCAAAGCAGTCCGGAGGTCATGGTGTTGAGGACACTCCCAGTAACGATGCCGCAAGGTATCTGAGGCCCCACACCATCGACAGGTGTCTGGTTTGTCGGTCCATTTGGCTTTGTACCGCTCAGTGAACAGCCCGCCCGCAAGGCTCAAACGATAGAGTGCTTGGTCATCAACTGGCAAGCTTTGCAGAGCTTGACGTGTGGCTCTTAGATCCACATGAGCGAGACCTTGGAAATCAGAGCGGTGGGCAACCTTATGTGCAACAACTGAATTCCAAGCCCAAGCAAGGCGAAGTTCAAGCTCCATGCAATTGCACGACTGCAGACAAAACGAGCCAAACTGGTCACTGACATGGCCGGAACGCTGCACGGACCATCCAAGGGAATGAATGCGGTGGAGAACAACAGCCGCAGGGGAGTTGGGAGGCAAGTCCAAGTCTCCATGCGCCAGCGGGGCAACAACAGACGCCCAAAACTCCACCGGGCTGTGCACGCGCAACGCACGAAAAGTCCAAAGATAGCCAACAAACTGCGGGTCAACCATGTACTCAACCATGCCAAGAAGGACTGCCGGGTTGACACCTGGTTTCTGCCAGCCCAGCGCTTTGACCGCGCTTCTACGCACTTGGAGCCAAATTTGATCTCCGACAGGAGCACTAGAGACAGCATGGAGCCCACGTGGCCACGCAACTGCTCGAAGCATAAACAGCTTGGCAGGGTACCGAGCTTTGCTAAGGCGAAGCTTGTCCCAAAAGGAATCAAGGTTGGAAAGCCGATCAGTGAGGGTGCTATTTGTGTATTGCCTGGAAATTCCAAAATGGCCTCCAAGCTCACGGGCATGGTGAAAGACAGTGATACCTCCTTCCCGCATGATTCGCCTCATGTTGGGGCAGGTGGCCCATCCAAAAGTCTTGCGGCGATCGACAGTGAGATCAAGGTAACTGGCAAACTGCTCCACAAGGTCAAGTTGACGAATGGCAAAATTGGGATCCATCGTCAATGTCTGCCAATCATCAACATAAGTCAAACACCGAATGGAGGGAGCCTGCACCCGCATCCAACACGCAAAAAGGTGGTCAACCAGAAGCATGCCATAGACACTCAAGCCGCAGCCCTCAGCAAGTCCAGTGCTGGTCAGAAATCCATCCGAGTAGGAGTCACGCACTTTGAAGTGACGACACATCTGAGCCAAAGCGCCGCTCCATGCCGTGGTGACGGCATCCGGTGTTCCAACCAAAACCGCAAGGCACAACGCAGGAAACCGAGGAACGCAGTTGAAGCATTTCACCAAGTCAGCCGAAACGCCAGCCAAAGGAGTGGAAGTGGCGTACGCATTCTCGATCTCATGCACCAAGAAAGTCCAAAGGTCTGAAGCTTGGCGTCCACGGCGATTGCCATAGACACTTTCATCAACCCAGCTTTCTGCAAATCGCAGCAAGTATCGAGACTGGACACTGCTCCAAATGCGATATGGAAGTCCAAAGATTGTGATGGGTCTGTAGTCACCGACTGACGCAGCTGAGGTTGTTTTGGCCAATGAATGGACCTTGCCCGCAACAAGTTGACTAGGCCAATGCCCATCTGATTCCGCACGTGTGTAAAGATCGGCCAAGCTCTGTAGGGTGGAAGGATCCGCCGAGAGAAGATCGGCACGGCTGACACCATCAAGGCCAGTGGCTGCTTTCTTCTTTTTGCGTGCCCCTTCGGCTTGGATCAAGGGACCATCAACAACAAGGTGAGGCAGCCGGTTAGGACGAATAACCCGCTGTGCAAAAGCCACAAGTTCAGACCAATGTGAGAAAGGCACTCCATCATGCTTGCACCAACGCAATTGCCACTGCTCATGAAAAGCATCAAAAATGGCCTTCAGGTCGCCCACATGTCTGGATTGCACCAACTTCGACTTCGGATGAACATCTTCCACCTCAGTAAGCCAAACTTTGTCATGGTCTGCATGGATAACATTGCGTTCCTTGCCTGCAATCCACAACGTCTCACAAGGGTCAAGGCTGATTGGGCCAGCAAGTTCAACAGCGCTCTCAGACAAGTCAACATGAACAACCTCAGCTTCAACCCGATGGATCAACGTTTCAACCGGTTCAGGGGGGTCACGAGCAACTTCCCGGAACACAAGATGCCGATCATGGGCATGTTGGGCAACTCGGTGGGCAGCCCTGGCATGGTTCAACCTTTGCTCCAGCAGTCGGACTTCAGCAAGCACCGCATCAAAGATCTGCCGAGCCTGGCAAGGACTGGGACATATCTGAGGGATGTGGACAGGGTCAGCAGGACTGCGGTAGTGACGCGAATGCCACCACTCAGAGAAAGAGGAGCCAAATCCAGGGGCCCGAAGGATGGAATTCCAAAGTCCAATGCCATGCAAGCAATCAACAATGCCAGTTTGGGGACGCTGGTCAACCCACCGACAGAAGTTCTGCAGCCTGCGGAGTTGCTTGAACTGTTTGGCATGCACTGCTGAAAATCCAAAGAAGGCCGGCTGGATGTCGCCTGCACGTCCTTGCTTCAAGGGCACTTGGCTACTAGTGACCCGTCTGGGCTTGATTTGTGCAGCCCTGCCCGCCATACCCGGCATCCATTCATCAGCCAAGTCAAGCTGAGCTTGGGATTCTCTTTGGTGCCAAAGCTTGGAATACTGCTGGGTGGGGTCATGCGGGGAACAAAAGGGCACACTCTCAGACATGACAGAGACCTTGGACCATGGAACAGGTTTAGGGCACGGCCAAACAAAACGTTCGAGGTGTGCACGGCCACCAACAAAGGACGCAACAAGGACAGCGTGGTCGGCAAAGGTTTCGGAGTCCACATGGAGATCCAAAAATCCAAGAGCAAGCTCGGGCGAAAGCCACAGGTAGTCCTTTCTGGTAGCACCTTTGCAGGTATTGACAATGGGTCGGCCGGTCCGAGAGAGGCACAAGTCTTGGACTTCAACCCAGCCCAGTTGATGCAGCCTGTCAACGATGTGTAACGATTCGACAGGAAAATTCCAGTCGCCTGCCATGAACCGCGGCCCAGGTTGGAGCAAAAGTCGATCCAAGGCAAAATCCAAAAGCATTTCTGTCCTGGGACGCGCATTGGGGTGTGTCCGTCCTTCAGGATAGCCGTACACCACCGCACCAGAAATCCAAGATGCTGGGGTGTAGAAGGAACTGAGTTGGATGCGGCTGGTTTCATAGATGTCAGGAGGCCACGCAACAGCAAGTGACCTGCAGGGATAGGCCGACGTGAAAGCAACTCCAGACCAACTTCCGGCATCACTGGCATCAGATCTGGGGAGAAGGGGAGCTCCAGTCAGCACATGTTTGAACTTCGAATTGGTGGACCGAAAGGACATGGCAAGGTTGCGACGGGCAACCTTGGTGAGATGTGTCTCGGAGACGGCGACAACACCGGCATCGATGCTGGACAAAATGTGGTGCTTACCCTGCAATCCAGAGGGATTGCAAATCCCAAGCTTCCATGGGGCATCGGGCCCTGGTACACGTGCTTCGCCGACTCGATACAAGGACAAAATCAAAACGATGGACAAAATTGCCTTGAACGGCTGGAAGAGCCGTGGGATCGCTCTGGCGCCAGGCGAGCAGCCAGAGCTCCCTTGCCTTCATTCGGTCCTGGGTTTCTTCGCTAAAATGGCCTCAATGCGGCTCATTTGATCCGACAACATAGTGGACATATGCTGTGTTTGCATGTCAAGTTGCATTTTCATCTGTTGTTGCAAGGTCTGGACCTGGACCGCGTTTTGCTGGTGGTGCTCATGGATGGTGTTCTCCATGGCAACCTGCTTGGAGGTGAGTTGCTGAACTTGGGACTCAAGCTGCTGCAAACGTTGGTCCGGACTGTCCACTTCCATAGTCTCCATGGGCAGCTTTGCCAAAATGGACTGCTCAAGTCGCTGTTCAAGCTCATGCAAGACATTGGGTGCTGGCTGGCCGACGGGGGCTGCCGGAGTGAGGCTGATGGCCTTGGACCATGGGTCCTGCTGAAGCCAAGGGTCTGGGCTGGTGGTGTCCGTCTGGCGACACAGCTCAACCGTTTTGGCATGACCGACGATTCTGGCATCTGGCTCTGTCGGCAGGACCTTGGTATCCTGTCGTGTAATCAGTACCTGGCCGTGCTGCATGGCAAGCACCGTAACTGGTGGCTCCGTCACAGCTTGAACTGCCCACATCAGGCCTCCTGGGACATGATGGAGAGGTTGAACTGGTCGACATTCCCAGCCTCCAGTTTTCAGGATCCGAGCGATGGCTTTGCGGTCAGAGCCGAAGGGCCAGGGGCCACACTGAAAGGTGATGCGACTGCCAGGGGCAAGATACACAGCATCTGGCTTTGTGTTGGTGAAGACCCGCTGGAAATGGGTGATGTGAACCCGGAGACCAAAGCGTTTGCCTGATCGAGCAACTCCAAGGCAATCCAGCTCACACTTGGCCTGATGCGCCACTGCACTGAAATCCATCTGAGGGAGCCAGACCACCTGGTAGTCTGGATGGGGCTTCAAAGCATCTTCGGTTTTGGGCTCCACAAAGATGCCATGTTGGCCACTGGAACGGAGGACATGTTGCTCAAGGGCCTTGACATACCGAACCAGAACACCAAAGTGGGTGGCCTTGTCCCATTTCACTGATCGGCCAACATCATTGAAGAACTGTCGGCGGAACACATCAAGCACAGCATCATGGGTGTGGCCATCAGGAGGATGCCAGGCCGAACACTGACAATCAGGCTTGGAGCGACAAGTCTGCAAGCAAGTCAACACAGCCAGCACATGTTTGACAGGACGGGTTGCAAACTCTTCCCAAGAACCATCCCATTGGTCTTGGAAGACAGTGATCCTGGCACATGCAACCTCAACCGACAAGATGGCCGGGATGTCCTTCGCTGTGTACTGATAGACGGTGGTGCGTCCAAGTTGCACCAGCACACCTGACACCAGCATGGGTTCTTGATTCATGCTGCAGTGGGCCGCAAACCTGATGGTTGACCAGTGGAGGGGTGTCTGCAAATCACTCGGTGGATTCAAGACCAACAGCGCAAGTCCGTGGTTGGTCAGCAACTTGCCAGAAGTCAGGAACGGAACAGCATCAGAGAAAGTGGTAATGGCAACACCACTGGAGAGTGGACCAAGGGACGCAAATGGAACCTGACTGAGCGGTTCATCAAGATTGACACAGAAAGCACCATGCTCAATCAACAGTTTGGAGGGGTCCAGATCGGCTGGCTTGGCAGGTACAAGCTTCTTCGCAGCTGCCTTGCTCTTGGGTTTGCTGGCAGGTTTGCCTTGGTTGTGCTGCTGCTGCTCGTCAGGCAAGACCATTTGCAGAGGAGGGCTTTGCATGTTGGCAAGTGCTTTCAACGAACGCCATGGGGCAGTCCCTGTGATGGCTCTTTGAACCTCTGTTTTGCCCAAGGCTTGGACGACCAGCTTGGCACGTAGGACAGCTTGAGACTCCGGGACTCCATGTGATTTCAGCAATTCACCAGTGAGGACAATGACATCAGGAACTCCAAGACCCCAGCACCAAGGCTTGCGAGAGAACAGTTCAGCACGGGAAGCTTCGACAAAGCTTGCTTTGAGGTCAGCATGCAATTCAATCAACTCCGGCTCGGAAGAGGGAAGGTCCTTGCCCAGAAGTTTGTGAAAAGCAAAGGCAACAGAAGCCGCACCACAATAGCCACGGGCAAAAGAACGCCGATTGCATGCTAGGCTGAACAAAGGCTTACCCCAAGCTGTACTGACCAATCCATGCAAAGCACTCAACTCCTCAATCTCAACATCAACATGCTCCCACATGGACACACGCACTTCACTCATGCCCAAAGACCACATGATTGGCATCCAATGATCATTGACCGGGAGAGCCGTCAGGATGCTGGTCATATCTGGGTGCTGCTGAATCCATTCAGAGACTGAGTCCACGGTTCCGCATTTGAGCCATCCCAACGCAAGCAAAGGGTCCAGAAACTGCACTTCTTTGCGGCCAGACAAGCACAAACAGGCATAGAAATGCAGGGTAAGCTCGTCATCACCCATAGCACTACCCTGATTCTCAAGCACACGCAAACGAGAAGGACTGTGCACAGTGGCCTGGCGGAACATCTTACAGGATCGAAGGTCTGGCACCAGAGGCGGCACCAGAGCAGCAAGTTGAGCTCCTGAAAGGCTGTGAAATCCAAAGAGGGTATCCATGGACTGACCTGGTGGTGGAGCGGCATCTGCAGAAATTGCATCATGCCCAGTGGCACTGCTGGCAAAGGAGCTGGCAGCTTCTGGTGGCATCGGTTCATCCTCGGGCTGCTCAGATTGGTCATCGGCTAAGTCCAAAGCCGTGGAAGGCGGGTCAAAGTCCAAAGGAATCGAAGCAGAAAAGTCCAAAGGCACTTGGCTAGCACTCCCACTGGATGGCACATGACCGTCATGGGTGCCCCTGCAAGTCGATCCTGGTCGGTTAACAAGGATCTGTTTGCCAGCAACCAAGCTGTAAAAGTCCAAAGTCTGGCCGGTTGCAGTGTCAATCCATTGATCAGCCGGAGCCTCATTGGTCAAGGCAAATTCAGCCTGGAAAAGTTCAATGGCCGTGGTGGAGGCTTGAACCTGAACCCGGGTGCTGGTGCCATCAGGATATGTCAAAACCGTCCATGCAAGCGCCGGTGGACTGATAGGGACATTGGGGAACAACTCCTTGGCACAGGCAAACAGCATTCCCTTGAAATTGTTGAGAATTTCGACAGGATTGATGGGATCAAAGTCCAATCTTTTGCGCACCTGCTGCATCACACAAGCTCCAACCCAGACCGACTGCAACGGTGAGGCAAGTTGACCGATGGCTCCAAGACACAGACGCAAGTTGGCAATCTCACCCATCAAGAGTGCAGGCGGAGGTGGCATCGCATTCAAAATGGCAAACTCACAAGGGTGCAGATGCCTGAAGGTGGGTGCAGACTCCGATGTCACCTGAATCAGCTGTGCATACACACCACGTTGCTTGATCAGGGTTTCACTAAACGCCTGACGGCAGCCACAAGGGCAGGCATCAGCTTGGCTGCCCGCTGAGTGCAAACTGGTGGGCAGCTTTCCATCCATCTGCATGTGATACTTTCTGAGTGAGGATCCATCAAGCGTGAAGACCTTCTGTTCATGTGCAGTCAACATCAACTCCTGCATTGCTTCTGGGGACCAAGTGCGGACAAAGGGCATGACATCACGGATGCACAGACTAGGATTCTTCGGCCAAGCAGGGACAGACAGGGACCCAAGTGCAGGATGCGACGCAACCACCCACCAACGAAACCGCTTGGCACACCAGTTGTCCTCAAGCTTCAACGACACTTCACAGAGGTGGTAACCAAGTTGATCAGTCAGAACCTGGAGGCATGAGCGCACAAACTGGTTGGACCTGGCCTGTGTCACACATTCCAAGATGAGCAACGGGCATTGGCACAGGTGGCAGGCACGGATGGTGGCTGGCACTGTCGATGATCTGTCATCACTGGACCCGCCTTGAGCACCACCTGAGGAGTAGGGCTGGCACGAAAAACCTGTCATCATTGTGAACGGAGGCTCAACACGCTGCACGACCTCTTTGATGACGGACGGGTCAGAGATGTCTCCATGAATCACTGGCACACCTGGGTTGCAAGTCCGGTGGAGTTCAACAAGAGGGGCACGCCACTCAACACTGCAAGCATGTCGAAACCCTGCAGCAGACAATCCTGTACTGGAACAAGCCAGACCTGCACAAAGCTCAACGCATCTGAACATGTCTTCTGCCGGCCTCATTCCATGTGCTATCACCACCGTCTGATCTGTCAACAAAAGATCCACCTCGTCCTTGCTGGAGTCGAAGATGACGTCAAAAACTGACAGCCGCTTGCATCCTCTCACACAGGAGTCCACTTCCCCAATCACACGAATTTTCTGTTGACCTGGAACTGTAGTACCCAGCAACATCCCAGATGTATGCACTAAGACATCCATGACAAGAGAAACCTTTGTTCCCTGAACCATGGTGGGCCAGTTGGGGCACAAACCGAAGTCATGGCATGGCGAGTCCCAAGACATTGTGAAACCAAAAGAAAGCAATGGGGGGTCACAACCACTCAGATTTAGTGAGAGCGACCAACCCCTGGCAGGTATCTGAGCAAAAGGCTGTTCCAAACCACCAACCAGTTAATGTGTCCCATGGTATTCCTGTTGACTACAATATTATATCCTATAATATACTATAAGAATCTCCAAAGGTATAAGCCTCATATATACCCAATGAACAGGGGCATGATTTTTTTCAATGGCTCACATGAACATTATAGGAGCAGAACTCGACAATTACCAAACATTAAGCTGCGAAAAGGACTCAAGGGAAACCCCTCACAACTGGCTGGGGCGTGCAGTGAACACAGTGGCTTCAACCCTTCCCAAAAAACAATTAAGTGGAAGGAATCATTTTTCCAAAGCAGGCATGCAAGGATTACTGATTACTGGTGGTTGCACCAGCCCCTGAAGAAATATGCTTGTCAACGGGGATCATCATCCCATTTTGAGGTATGGATTTGTTGAAATTGTGTGAAACCAGCAATCAACACGTTCCCTCTACCAAGTCTTTTCCACCGCAAGATCACCCTGGTGTTAGTTGAGGACTGAAATTCTCCCTATGAAGGTAGTCTGAGAGGTAAAAGTGTTCACGAATTCCACTTTGATACTTGTACACAGTACTCATCATTGCTACTTGAATGGACAATTTTCGCTCATTAGATACTTAATGTTGATGGGTGCATTGTGATGGCTGATATGCTCAGGACTGGCACAGCCTTCAAATTTCTTGGTAAACCATCCGAGCCCTCTAATCTTTGATGGTTGCTGGTTATACCCTTATGTTTTCTTGCTTCGAGTCTCCAATATTTATTGAATACACACACATCTCTCTCTCTCTCTCTCAAATCTCCAGCTCAAGTTGTGAAGGTGCGCCTGAGCACCCAACTCCTGCAGCAAAGCTTTGACTTCAGCTGACGAAGTGGATGCCATGTCATAGTGGATCCTCAGTTGAAGCCGGCTGCAAGCCATGGGGGTTTAACGGATTCAACCTGGGCTTGTGCAATGGTATTTGTCACCTTTCAAACAGGATGCTGCCCCCCAGTGATGTGAATGTTGGTTTATAAATCCCATTAACTACGTATAGTTATATCTAGCATAAACCAATTAAATCATGGTTTTGGATGTTCCCCATCTGGAAAATGTGACCCGTAAAACCGCGCCATGGGCTGGTGGAAGCCACTGGCGCCTGGTCACATCCCATTCGGTCCAAGTCTCCATCCATCCCTGTTGATAAGATGCCTTCGCAGCATGGTCACAGAGGTACCGCTGCGGAGCGCCAACAAGCAGTGCACGCCCAGCAAGCCCACATACAAGGCCAAGGCCTGAAGGATGGTGAAGGGGATGATAAGAGGATTCTCCTTAAGACTCTGGGTCTGAGAATGGAAAGATTTCACACCAAAAACATGACTTAATCTGAATGGGAACTATGAAGATAACCAGCTGATTCATGAGGATGTGATGGGGATAGTACCGGTGCATGCGGAAGACATATGGAGTAGTTGGGGTTCTATATCTTGAGAAAAGAATAGGTTGATCTGAAACCTCACCGGCCGATCAAGCCAAAGAAAAAAGTATGCAGATTCACCTGATGTATTTGGCCATGTCACCCGCAGAAAGGGAATATTTACCTAGAAGCTTTGTTCTCATGAACAAGATCCTTCAGAAGGAAGCCACAAAGAACAGGAAGACTGCAGAAGAGATATTTCAGGAGCGGGGACAAATATCTGGGCAAATCATCATAATGCACCCGAAATCTGTGGATTTCTTCCACAATCACAATGGGGTTCGGTCGGGTTCGGTCAGCCAGGAAAGCGTTGCAGGAAACGTAGCTTTCCTGCTGCTGCTGTTTTCCGTAAATTCCAATCCCACTGATGGCTTCTAAGAGGTGCAGCAGCACCATGTTTCATGTTTAATAGGTAAATAAATGTAAATCATCTACACATGGGCAACTTTGGATAGCCATGCTAGATATGTGACATGGACGACTTCTTGGACATATCGTCCCACTAGGGTTGCTGTAAGGTATATGAATGGTTTGAAAGGAAATAGTATCTGGTAGAGTATGGCCCCAGCCCAAATAGTTACGTTGCTTTAATCCACTAGGCAAATTCTATGGTCTATGGTAGATATATCAAACTAGTTAGAGACCTGCATTGTAGGTGGTTTCACGTCATACCAAAACTATGAAAATCCATTGCAATCACCATCCTGCAAAGGATGGAAAAAGAACATGCTTTCAATCACCAACCGAATGAGCGGTGTATCTTCTGTTCATCCCCATGACTATCCATTGTGAACAAAACATGTTATTCCTGGTCCAATCACAACTAAATTGTATAACACCACTTATCATATTACCATCTGGTTGGTGGTTTTAACCATCTTGAAAAACATTAGTCAATGGGAAGGATGACATCCCATAATTATATGAAATGGAAAATAATCCAAATGTTACCACCAACCAGCCATTAAATGACATTTTCCATAGTAATTTCCATAGTTTTCCTCTGAAATCGCCGGCACCTCGTCCCAGTCCGTGCTCCGAGCGGAGGAGGTGAACGTCTGGACGCTTCGAAGTGGCGCGCAGCACAGGTCGCGAAGACCTTGACCGATCCCCTGCGAGGCGAGGCGGCAAGTCGTCACCGAGTGACCTGGAGAAAATATATAAATAGTTATAAACATCTATAGATATTAAATATAGAAACTATCTAGTTATAAACTATCTAGTTTATTTATTTATAGATTTGGCAAATCATGGAACATCTATAAATAGTTATAAACATTGCCAATGAGCCAGATACCCTGCAAAAAATGACCAATTCTTTGCTGGTGAGTATATAGATATTCCCATTAATACCAAAAGACTAGTTAGGATTAAAGTATCCATGTAAGATTGACCTAGTAAATTTACCCCCAAAAAAAAACCATGGTGTTTGAAAGTTTGACCCAGATTTTTTCTTTGACCCATCTATGGTTACATCATGCCAAAATACCAACCGCCCCCTCCGAAAAAGATGCTGGTCTTTCAACCAGCCCGCCTGGCAGTAGTGGCAACAAGTAGGCCGTTGGTGAGTTGATGGCACTTTCAATACCTCGCCGCTCTAACTGGCTTTTGAAAACCAGCCAGGTTGGTCACCCTGCAGTATCCAGATGTATGCTGTAAATTGATGTAAATTGCCTAGAAGCAACCCCAAAAATATGGAAAAGTATAGAAAAGTCAAATCCTATACTGAATAACTTACATGCAGTCAATTACTAGTCTATCTGTTTGATTCTGTTTGGGGGTTGCAATACATGACAACACCACAAATTGGTGCTGGTAGGGAGGAGAAGTTTCTTTCGGCCACTCAAACCCTTGCCATATTCTCAACCAAAATCTGCAGACCCAGAGTCTGAACATTGGCACTCGGTCAGAAATGTATTATAAATTATATCATATATATATACATACACACACTAATTCTATATAATTCCCAATGCATCCCCCCCCAAAAAAAAAAATGGGACCACTGTTGCTGGTTTCCCGATGTTTCCCGAACTCCGGTCATGTCCGTGTCTGTGGCCGCAAGCGAGGGGCGAAATTCTCGTCCTTCCAAGCCATGTGGCTGGCCAGGGTGCTCCCCTGCCATGCTAAATTCAGCAGGAGCAACCAACCACCTTGGCTGCCAGGCGTGAAAGGTCAATTTTGCTGGGGAAATCCATAGGAATCATGAGTTTTACCCCCAAATATCTCCAATCATCAAATAAAGGGGCTTCATATAAATTTGGTTGGTGGTATACCTACCCCTCTGAAAAATATTAGTTCGTCAGTTGGGATGATGACATTCCTATATGGAAAAAAAAAGTAATGTTCCAAACCACCAACCAGAAATTATCCAATCACCCAATACTACAACATTCTATGACAATGGGATTTGAAGGGGCCAAGACAAGCGCAGAAGGAGAACGAACAGCCAGTTGGAGTTACAAGATGTTTGTAGGGATAGGCATCAAAAAGAAGTGAGAAATGCAAATCCTGCCAGCCAGAAAGGAGACAAAACTCAAGTGGTGTCATGTTCATACATGACAGAAACATGGAGCATAGAAGTTACAAGCAAACGCACATATTAAATTGATAATCGCCGCCCACGAGGCCCTAAACAAAATGGAAAATACCAACATCAAACCAACAAATTCTGATTTCAAATCAATTCAAATCAAATTATGTAGATTATCTTCTAGTTCCACACTCCATATATCTTCATATTCTAGTTCCATATCACAAATCATCCAACACACTCCCAGATTGCTATAAGTCTTCCAAAGCTCGGCCATCAACGCATCAACGCCCGGTCAACTCACCGCGCGGCTCAGCAGGATCCAGAAGAGAATGGCTGCTGCGGAGATGTGCCATGGCCGGGAGCCAGCCATCTGGAAACTGGCCGAGGAAAAGACCTGCGCGGCTCAGCGGAATCGCTGGGGTGGTTATATTTTTTACGTTTGAGTTCGAGGGTTGATGGATGTTTAGGGTTGATATATGTGATACCCTTTGGTTGTGACTAAAATAGCCAGAGGGTATAGATGGTCCATAGAAATAGATGGTTTACCTATTGAAAATGGTGATTTTCCATGGCTATGTTAAATAACCAGATGGTATATATGCAATGTGATATATCTATAGTTGATATCAGTTGATGCTGTTTTTTTGGAGGAACACAGATGATGGATTCAAAAAGAAGTTACTATGTACCATTTTGAACTATTAGGATTTGTGGGGTGGATCACTAAGTAACTAAGTAAACCAACCATACATGATATATGGGTTAAAAATCTCATAAATATTCCATATATACATACGCATGTATGTATATATATATATACACAGTATCATATATACAGATAAATAGATAGATAGATAAATATACTATAATAATGTTATTAAAATAACTCCACACCTCTCAATGGCGTTTTCACCGCGTTTTCGTCTCTCCCGCCTGCACGTTGAGACACTCGAGCTGCCGCAGGATGGCGCTGAAGAGCGTCAGATGCGTCGTGGCGCAGATCAGCTCCTCCGGAGGGCCCTCCATGCGGACCACGCCTGGTGAAGTCACGTCTGACTGGTGAAACATGGCGGCCCAAGCTATGGGAATCAAACAAGTGGCAATGGGAAATCCCCTAAAACATGGGAATATCATGGGTTTTTGGACTCTAGGTCCCTGCAACTGAACATATTGTTTGAAACATCCAGTTCCATGTTCATTTGATATGATACGGATCATGATGATTGAAAAATGATAGTTGATGACACATGGTGATATTATGATATGATATGATATGATATGATTTGATGATGATGATAAATTCATCCCAACCTCTCTAAAATCATCATGTGTAGAAGCGAAAATTTGCTGTCCCAATGAGATAATCTTTCCAGCTGAAAGGAATTGCGACCAAACGGACGATCGTCGCACATGGTGACTGTCCAAGATCAATGGCAAGCTTCGGTTTAGGTATGAGGTCAATGACATAGGAAATAAGAAAGATATGTAGCACCCCTGGAGCACTGGATCTTTGTGCATAACAAAGATCAAATTGGTCAAAGGTCAATGCGGCATCATACTTCCAAACTCGTTACATGCATCCTTTAGACACCTCCGAGCAGCATGGAGCAATCTTTTCCCCGTTCAATGCCCAGGTTTCTGGTAGTGTAAATCCATGTAAATCCCTCATTGCAAGACATAAGCCACCCAGTTATATTGCTTTATACATGTTTATACCCATGTTTGCCAATCTATATATATGACTTTCCCATTCCATACTTTTTACGGGAAAAATCTGGCTGGCCCTGGCCCGGCACCTTCTGTGGACCATTGCTTCTCCGTCTCGTTCCAAAAGACGCAAGTCCAGGTCTCCAAAGGCCCAGAGGTCGCGGTCGAAGGTCTCAAGGTGATCAGCACCGGGTCTTCCAAGTCGCGGATCTCAGACCCAGGTTTCCGCAGGAAGAGTTCACCCAGAACATTCGAGAGCAAAATCCTAAACAATCCGAAACCATAGGGGATTTTTTTAGGATTTTGGGGATGAAAAAGGTTGGGACTCTCAAATTTCAAAGGTGAAGTTTCCAAAGTTCTGCCGTGCGATTTCACACATGGAGATGTAACAAATGGAGAGATGCAACAGCAAAGTCGACGGATTGAGCCAAAACTGCCCTGCTAGCGTCCTGAACATGGCAGGGACTGAGTAGATTGGCCATCCCAGAAGTGGAGAGCCAGCAGTGCATCTACAAATTCCAGCCCATTTTTGGCGGTCAAAAACCATTCAAAACGCAGGGTTCCAAGATAGCTGGATGCTCATCATTCCCAGATATTCCCCACAATACTTCACCAAATTGACCATCCGTCAGCTCTATGCATCTCAGCCACCACCAGTGGTGCTCCATCGCTGCCATACACCGCCACTCGCGCCATGGGCGAAAACGTCGCCGTTTCTTCGCCGCCGTCGCTCGTGCTCCCCAGCGGCGCGGCCTCCGGCGCGGCGCCGGGGGTGGCACTCTTGAGGGCGGCGACCACCACGGTGAGGGAGCCACCGGCCTGGCGTTGGGAGGTTGGGAGGTCACGCCAGGTGAAGCCCCAAAATAGCAGCAGGCTAGGTAGGCAGTGAATTCATCCCGCTTCATCCACAAAAATGTTACTCCCCAGATCTATATGATCTATCCAGGTTTTGACTCTGACCCATCTGAAACATGAACATGTCGAACGAACTCCGGATCGCCTTGTCCACCAGGCTGCTGGGAATGGAGCAAGACACATCGCCTCAGTTGTGGGCCATTTTTTGGGTGGGAATGTTTTTAAGAGTTTTGATTCGTATTGATCATTATTTAGTGTCTGAAAATGGTTGTGTTTTTATATACCCCCCCATGTTACGGCAATGTTCATGGGTAAGAGCATTGATAGTACATCACCGTACCCAGCTTTCAGATAAACCAGTTAAAAACTTAGTAGGATGTTCTCCGGGTGAAACACCGAATTAGCTGTTCACACTGATCTTCCTGCACGTCCCAAAAAAAATCGCTACCCGTTCACCTATACCATTTACCATCAGTTACTGCTCGCAATTTCCTCAGCTTCGGCCGGCTTCGGCCCAAGCCACTCATTCCCTGCCACTCCACTGGCAGATAGACCGCGGTGTCATCAGCGCCCAGCGCTGATACGGGCGCCACCAGTTGCTGTGCCATGATCATGGCCGTCTCCGACTCGCGAATCACCTGAGAGATGTGCCATGAGTCGGAGCCTTAAAAAGTGGATGGGATATGTTGAGCAAACTGTTGAAACAATTCTTAAACGAACATGTTGTGTTTTGTCAGGTATTTTCTAATTTGTACATAGTACTATAATAATGGGTTCATATATTATTGGTTTTTGTACGTTTATGTACCATGTTGGCCCTACAATGACGATCCGTGCATGGTATTTGTCGAACAAATTGGACTTATCAATGAATCTGTGGAGCAGGTGAACCAACAAACTCTGAGGCGTGACAAGGTCGACACGATGACCTGTACCAAATGGCAACTGCAACACTGTAGTTGATGATGTAGTTATTAAATAGGCTAACCCAATGTTATTCATTCATTGCTATTCTCAATAGGGTGATACTCCGGTTCCAAATCACGCTGGGTTAACACCAGAAAACATATTGGCGTAGGAACTGCATGCGAACCAACAACTGGAAAGGGGCACCCCCCGAAAGAAAACCAAAGGTAAATCAAACCCATCAAGACAACCAGCTGGATTGAATGGCACCCATTGTGGAGGGTAAGGATGTTGCAATATATCCAAATCCGACCCGCTTGCAAAATGACAAGCTTGGCATTTGGTGATCCCGTGGTGAAATCTGGCATATTTTGGAATGTTTTACGGATTTGGGTTTACCACACTAATATACTACTATTAATCCTGGCAATGAAATCCGCCCGCGCCGAAGGTGCCGAGGCGTGATACTGTAGTTTAGGAGCGGAAACAACCGGACAGATCTGCCAGACTGGTACAGTTTCAGCATGCTTCAGCTGGTGGGGGCCGTGTTCGCCCGGGCGAGCCGCCAAAAGTCACTTCGGCCCAACTTCCAAGATTGCGCAACTTGGCCCCAACTTGGACCCATTTGGGATATGGCTTCAACATGGGGACATAGCCGGCCCAATGCGAAATCCTCAAGACGCCCGTTTTCATTGATATTTTCCACGTTTTCTTGCTATCGCTGACGCTTCGTTTGAAGCAATGTTTCCCATGTTGTGTCTCCATTGGGCCCAACTTGGTGTGAAGCTGTGGCCAAAGGGCCCCAAGTTGCGCCAGGATGGGCGTGACTTGGACTTCCATGTGCATCACATGGCTTAACATGGCTTCAATTTGGGGCCCATCTGGGTCGATTTGGGCCCAACTTCAGCGCCAACTTGGGCTCCAGTTGGGTCCAAGATGGCGCAACTTGGGCCCAAGTTGGGCCGAGTCGAGTTTGGCTCCTGTCCCAAGTTGGGCCAAACCAGGCCAATTGCGCGAAACTCAATGCAAAACGCTGAAGACTTGCATTTTTTACCACTATTTCCAACATTTTTTGGCTTTGATGGGGGTTTGTGCAAGGCCATGCTGCCCACATCGGGCCTGTCTTCGGCCCAACTTCTGTGGCAGATGCCCCCACACAAACCAAGTTGCGCACGTTAACTTGCGTCCAATCGTGCCCACGTTGCGCCATGTTGGACCCCAATTGGGCTTAAGGCCAACTGGCCCGAGTTCGGCGCAAGTTGGGCCCAAGTGGCCTCCTGTTCGGCCCAACTTAAGGGCAAGAATGCCAAGTTTGACCCCAGTCGCACACTCCTTTCCTCTCTATTATGTCCAATTCTCTGGGTGCGGTCGGTTCTCGTCGCGAAGCGGCTCGAATATGATGTACACTTTATCAAAATAAATCTATATATGAAAAACGAACTTGTACCCAGCCAAAGCGCCTGTGTGTCCATGTTCGTCAACATCTCCGAGATGATATCGTCGATTACTTCGTCCATGGATGCGTTGGTCATGTCCATCTCCGTTCGCGTGGCTGTGGTCGTGGCGGTCTCTGTCGTTACCGTGGTGACAGTTGCGGTGGCGATGGTTGTGATAGTGGTGCCGCTGGTGCTGCTGGGGCTGGTGGTGCTGCTGCTGGTGACGGTTGTGGTAAAGCTGGTCACAAATGCAGTGGTCTGGACCACTGAAGTGATGGACCTGGTGCTAGTTGCAGTCGTACTGATGGAGGTGGCACTTGCAGCAGTGCCTGAGTTGTGGCTGGCAGCAACTCTTGTTTCAGAAAGTATACCGGGTAGCCTCTGCTGATCCGATCTGGAAATGGCAAATCACCATTGTTTTTACGTCAATTTATCAAGTTGCGACATCCTACATCTCTAGTCATCTCTGCTGGAAATTTCCCCATCCTTGATGGCTCCCCAAAGACCCACCCAGCTTCAGGTGCTGAGAGTTGTCGTCGTATTGGAGACGCTGCTGCTCGATGTGATGGTGCCACTCGTGACGGTGCTGCTGGTGCTGCTGTTGCTGGTGCTGCTGCTCTGGGTGCTGCTTGTGGTGGTGCTGGTCCTCGGCTGCATGTGACCTTAAGTAAACATATTGTATACAGGTACAGTAAATGTCATATAGTGAATCGTGTAGTTTTATATATGTATATGTATACATCGTCTTAATAACTATATGCAAGTCAGCATTTCTGCCCCAAAATATATCATTGAGCCCCCTACATTCAGGTAGATATTGCAAAAACGTTGCTGTTGCATTTCAGCCCGGTCTCCCACCCCCTGCATTTCAGCCCGATCGGCCAACTTGGATGTGCAAGTCAGGCATTGCAAACATAACCATGTCACACCCCATCTATGTGTTCTCTATATATATATACTAAACTAAACTAATATATTGGATTCCTCTTGGAAACTGGATAAGGATTCACAACTAGATACATATGAAATGGCTTTGAACATATAATTGACAAATAATAAATAATCAAATTTCCTATTCACAAGTATCTCGTCTGAGGTTCCATCGTCTTTTTTCATGGAAAAGCCACCATTGCTACATCACTAAGGAAACCATAGGTTTTCCACATCCTTTTCTATGTTTCCAGGGTATCTTCCCTCCCAAATCCTCTCCAACCACCGCCGGGGCTCCAAGTTCGGTTGTCACTGCCCGGACACAGACCGCAGGACACGGGACAAAGGTCTGCAATTTGCATGTCATGGTCTAAGTCGCTGATGAAGGAGCTGCACTCCCCCTGGCGCTGGTGGCAGAAATGGTGATTTTTCGTGGGTTTCAATGGGATTTAGGTGGCTAAAGAACCTAAAACCCGTTTCCAAAACAGGTTACCTATAAACAGATTCAATGGGAAAAACCAAATGTAGTAGCCTATGTTGGCAAAGTTGGTTACTTCGCTAGACTGTTAACAATTCATGGTGGATTGAATCATGATTATATCAAACTAGTTGGCTTTATAAGCCAAGAAACATTTCATTTCACTGGGGGAGCACTGCCGAGGTTCCAGGGAACCATTGGCTCAGGCGGGTTCACCTGAAATTGCTGATCAATAAACAAACAAACATATAGGTGACATCAAGTCAGCAAACTAAACATGGCTTTCCTGGCACATCCAAGAAAGTCCCACTGACTAGAGGTGACTAGTCTGCCAGGTACCAACCACTTGAATAAGGGTCAAACATGTTAGCCTTGATCCATGTTCCAACCGCAAACTCAGAAATTGATGAATAAGTGGTTAATAGTGGTTAATAGTGGTTAATAGTGGGAAAATAGTGGGATAATAGTGGGATACCCTCTGGTTATTTAACAGTTCGCCCTGGAAAATCACCATGCTATTAATAGGTAAACCATCTATTTCTATGGACCATCTATACCCTCTGGCTATGTTAGTCATAACCAGAGGGTATATACATAGCTGGAGAAATATGTGGAAAACATCATCGAACTATCATCCTGGTTCTGCATTTTTCGGCATCATGTTTGAGGCTTTGCTGTATCTCTTGAGCAATTTGTTAGCTTAGGTATCTGTATATTCCACCATTTTTAAGGCAACAAAAAATGATGGATTCTCCAAGATGACCGTTAAGTTAAAACCCTTGTTATTCGATGGAATGATCATCAACTCATGACTAATGATAATCAGTTAATAACAGATTATCCAACTAATGATAATTCAATGGATTGGTTTAAGGGAAATTCTTAACCGGAAACCACGGTTTTTACCATCAATTTTTTGGGGTTTTCCTGTAAATTTTCCCATCATCCAATTCTATGAATAATGGACTCTATCGAATCTCCTATGTTAGTCCAACTTTTCAACCTTTTTAGGTTCCTATCATTTCCTATCCATCCAGACCCTCACCTCCTGGAAGAAATCCTCACAGATCTCCGCAGCGACGCTGTTGCTGGGCTCCGTTCGGTTGCAGTCCTGGCCGCTTTGGGGGAAGAACACCAAGGATTGATGCCAACATCCTCTAAATCACATTGAATAACTATGAATAACTATAAATAACTATGATTAACTATGAATAAGTATAAATAACTATGATTAACTATATGAATAAGTATAAATAACTATGATTAACTATGAATAAGTATAAATAAGTATGAATAACTATATGCATAACTAATGAATATCTGGAAAGCATTGAAGGGTCTAATCCAGAATTTGGCTGGTACCTTTCAAAAATAGCCCAACTCGGTCCGATCTCAGGCCCCACTGCAGAATTTTTGGTGATCTCAAAAAAAGCCCGAAAAATTGGGATCATATAAGGAACCTCCCAACTTTCATTTGGGTGTGTCTGAAAATAGTGTACCCCTAAACCCAATGGTGAATGATCATTATCCCTATTAAATGGCTATTTGTTTGGGAATATACCCTATTTTCAGACAAACCCATTTGTGAGATCACCATTCTTACATCACAATATTCCTCCAGAAAGAGCTTGAATCATCCATTTTGCGGCGTTGAAATCGCATGAAATCACCATTGTTTAAATCCCATGTTGGTGCAGATACTCATTCTTATGGGCCAAGTTTGCCTCTGGTTATTTAACGTAGAGGCCATCACCATGTTTGATAGGTAGAAGATCTTTAACGGGTGGTAAAAGATCATCATAAATCGTCGATAAATGAGCCATGGCATCCATAGCTACTACAAATAACCAAAGGGTAAACCATGATATGTACCCTCCAGTAAATTAACATAGACCCTGGCAGAAAACGGGGTTGGAAGACTAGTTTCCATTAAAAATTGGTGATTTTCAGGGTCCAACTGTTAATTTACCAGAGGGTACCATATGTTGGTCCTTTTTGGTCCATTGAATCCCAGTACATCCCATGAAAAAGGCCTAGTGTTGATGGTTCAGACCCCCATATGGAGGTTTCCTGAAATGCGGGTACCCCCCAAATCATCTATGTTAATAGGATTTTCCACTATATCCATTTTGGGGCTACCCTCTGGTAAACCACCATTTTAATGGGATCTAATGGGAATTTATGGTGGTTTAATGGGATCTAATGGGTTTTATCCTCTGGTAAACGTTTACATAACTATTGAACATCACCATGCTATTAATGGGTAAATCCACGATTTCGACTGGGTCATTTTCAATAGCTTTTTGTATGTTTACCAGAGGCTACATCATATTAAATCCCATTAAACCACATTAAACCACCATAAAATCCCATGAAATCCCATAAAACCACCATAAAATCCCATAAAATCCCATTAAATCACTATAAATCCCATTAAAATCCCTCACATTTTTATCAACGCAACACCTCATATCCGAAGTCGTAGCGCAAAGCGCTGATTGCCAGGGGAAAAACGCCAGCGGCGCTGATGTGGCGCAGCTCGCGGCCTTTGATGTGGACTCGTGGAACTGTCCCATACCTGGCAGTTGAGATGATCTAAACGTGGCTTTTTCACCATGGTAATAAATCCGCATAAGTTGAGATGTAATCCCTACAACTATGGTATAATATATATATATATATTATAATATAATAATAATAATAATGATGATAATGATAATAATATATATATATGTAATTATCATTAATTATTACTATTGTTATTATCATTATTATAGTATATAGTAATATATACATTTATGATTCTTGTATTTTTCACGCCATCCCCATTCAACATCCCCATCCTGGAATTGGCCGCCCAGGCGCTCGAGTTCATCTAACTGAACGAGCTTCTGACCATTCGTCCAGTTGATTTGCAATTCCCAGCAGTTCTCACAGACCTAAAATCGGCAATCCAGATCCGAAAATCATGGAAAATCATGGAAAATCATGGAAAATCATGGAAAATGATGGAAAATGATGGAAAATCATGGAACATGATGGAAAATCATGGAAGATGATGGAGGTTAAAAAAAATATATCCAAACAAATCATGGGGTGAAACCAGCCTCATGTGACATGGTGATTTAACGTGATTTAGCTGTCAAAAACCATAAAAAACATCATCCCATGGTGGCTTAACGAATGGAAAAAGTAAAATAAAAATCGACTCTGGAGCAAATTCAGCAAACGAATTGCAGACGTCGGATGGGCAGACTGAAGGTAAAGCTGAAATTCACGTGACAACTGCTTTCCTGTCTGAGTGACTTGGAAACATCAACTAAAAATACTAAAGGTTAGGGCAGTGGTCTTCGAAGTCTCGGCTTACAAGAACAGAATGCTTGACCCAAAGTTTTTGGAGCTCAAGAATCTAAGAACTTGCCGACAAATCTTAAGTTCTTTCAGGGAGCAAATCTCCTACAACTTCGCGAAACTATGCGAAACTGGTTTTCTTTGTTTTGAAAGCATTGCCAATCAAAACAAATCAAAACTATGAACTTGAAAGTCCAACGTAAGCTCTGACTTGGTCTGAAAATGGGGTAGCCCCAAATCCATCCAAATCCACCATTGCCATCATGTTTTGCCTATTGTTTTCATTTTCGGAGTGGTATACATGGGTATACCATGGTATACCCCATTTTCAGACACGTGCATTTGTTTCATCATTGACAACAAGTTGTCTCATCCGTGTTTTTTTTGCCTGAGCAGAATCGGAAAAGTTGGCTGCTGATGTAATTGGAATGACATCATCCAAGTCGGAAATATACAGATGGAAATAGAAGTTCGCCTTGTGGCAAGTTGTGACTGCGAAAAGAATCCCGTATTTATTGCTACAATTAATTCAGACATTCGATATACAACCTATCCACATTCGTATACAAGTATAGTCCATGATTCCATGATTGTCCATGATGGTCCAAACATGTGTAAATGTGATCCAACCATATCCAACCCAGATTCGAGTAACTTTGGGCTTTCATCTCCCCATATATAAAATTCACGTGATCCCGATGAGCCCAAGAAGGGACGGACATGGGCGAAACGGGGCGACACGTTTGAAACCACGAAACCAGCGACAGCAAAAACACGATAGCTACCCTCTGGTAAATTAACAGTTGGACCCTGAAAATGACCAATTTATAGTGGAAACTAGTCTTCCAACCCGTATCTGGCAGGGTCTATGCTAATTTACCAAAGGGTAACTATCCTGGCTTCAACCCCACACCGTTTGGATTGACATATGGAGGTTTCAATACCTGGCGGGGGTACCCCAAGTCACCATCTTTGTTTCAATACCAAGTCATGGCCGAATGACTTGGATGATTTTGGGGTACCCCGTTTTAGGACAAGCCCGTACATCGAATGAAACAAGAAATATGCTGACTATCAAGCACAATAAATCAACCATACGCAGCGCGACTCTATGCATCGCAGCGAGGTATAACCAAATTTTCATGGGGAAAGTGATCTGATGAATATCAAACCATTGGTTTGTTTGGAGTTTCCCTCAATTAAACCCCATCCGCATGATTATCACCACACATTTGGCATTATTTTTTGTTGGTTGTCGTTATTTGAATGACTTCTCAGGGGTTCCCAAGACATTTTTGTTTAGAGAAAAGTTGTCTTCCAACTCTCCAAAAAAAACAAAGTCGATTCTTTAGTTGGAGAAGGGTCGGTTTTACCATATCTATCTTATCTATCCTCCATCATGATCACCAAATGTTCAATCATTATTTTGCTTGATTTTCAGTTCTCATTTAGTTCTCCATGTTCAGTTTTCCCAAACCATTCCATCGATTCCCAACATTTCTCCATGTTCCGTGTCCAAAATCTTCCCAGATTTCCCAACCATCCGACTTTCCCAGCCCATCCCAGGTTGGTTTTTCCCCATCCCACCTCATTCCAGCGGTGATTTCCCCCATCCCAGCCCATTCTCCTGATTCTGCTGGCAGGTCTGACACTCACAGGCACAGCCCAGGTAGTCGTCCGGGAAGCTGCCACTGGTCAGGATGAACCCCGGCGTTTTTCCCGGCGGAAAACCGTCGCAGCTCGCATTGGAGAGGTCCAAGAGCCAACCGAAATCCCTGGGCGGCATGCAGATGGTGAGTCTTCTTAAGTCACTTTGGTATACTTTTTATATTGTTTGATATGAATAAATATATCATATCACTGTTGATATTTATATTTCTGTTATACTTGTAGTCATTTATCATCATTTCAAGTTTTGTGAATATATATATATATGTATATAATATATCACTTTGATGATGTTGATGTGTGTTTACCCCACTTTGAGTTTCATTGATATCCGGTATCTTGCTATAAAAGTGATATTAATGCAGATTTTATTGATGAAGGTGTCATTCCCAAAATGGTGAATGTGTTGCAACCTATGTCTGTTCATGAGGTTTCTGGTGTGAAACATCTCAAACCGTCGCAATTTCATGAGAATTCTCCTCCAGCTGCCTCAGGTGTTCCGCTTCAAATGAGTTTGTCCACAAATGATCAGTATACCTTGAAGTGTAGCCATTCTAATGGGAAAAGGATGCAAAAGGTGATATTTATTTGACTTGACAAAAAAAACAAACGTGTTTGGTTTTTGCAGGCAACCCAACCTCCAGGCATGCTGCCATTAGTACACTGGTCATCGTTGAAGGGTTGTTCAATGGGGGTAACTCTTCTCTCGTCATGAAGCAACCAGTGCAACGAGGATAGCCTGCCTCAACGGAGCTGGAAAGGTGACTCGTGGCGCAGCACTTACGGCAGACAGCAGCAGGGCTAGCAGCCAGGGCATCAGCCCATGGCGCTGCGTCCGGCGGAGTTGGGTTGTTTGTCCATGGATTGCTTCGTCCAGTTTTTTCACGATTTAGACCTATCCCATGACGGATCCATGGTGCTGGTAGAAAAATGCTAACATGACTGGGTTTTTTGTTGATGGGATCCATGTCACATCATGTCACCATTTTTCTAGCAGCACCGTTAGGATCCTATGGCTATGGATTGGTGCTTTTTTATTGGGGGTAAACCATGTCTCCAGCAATCATCTCTGTATAGATCGGAGATTTTTTCGGGTAAACCATCGTGGGTTGCCAAGGTCCCAATACAAGACCACCCCTCTAGCCACTGTGGTCTGTCCAGCATGTCCAGCAGTGGTCCTTCGCATGTCTCCAAACTCCAGCCCGCCAGTGTCGTGGATTCGGCAAATAACAATGTGTGGTTTGGTCAATAATTGGATGCATAATAATAAACATGATGATTGAATTTGGAATGATACAATCTTAAGAACAAACAACAAATCTAATCTGGCAATGAAAACTCCGCTACTCTATCAAGTGATATGTCCTTTTTTGGTTGTACCATGTGGTACCTGTATGCAAATGAACGTTGGTCTTAATGATATCCTGGTATGCCTTATCCCCATCAGTGAAAAAGCCGCGCCTTCTTGGTAGAATACAGTATAGATCACTTCAAATTTTGATCTAAACACCCAAGCACTCTAGCAAATGATAAGAAACAAAAGACCTTGAACAAGCCTGCTTTGGTTTCCCTTTGGTTTCCCTAAAAAGGTTGTCAGATCATCCACAATTCTCTACATCCCCACCATGGGTGAAGTCGTTCACCCCAATTTTCTCTCTCGGTTACCTGCCAGAACGAGCTGGCATCAAAGTCAGGCAATAAAAAATGGGACCTTGGACCATGATATTCCTGTCGCAAATGACAAATTTGGGGGTCTGGTACTGATTTAAGAACATGAAAATTAGTTATTCATTCATCCAAGTGGATGTTCTAGATTTCATTAAGATGGTTTTGTCGAATAGTTCCCAAGAATCCATTGGTGTATCATCTGGATCCTTCACATGGACGCCGGCACCGACTGGCACCGGCACCGGCACCGGCACCGGCACCGGCACGGTTCCACCATGGTTCACCCTGCGCCTTGTCCAGGCTGCTTCTCTGAAAGATCTGCAGTTGGTGGGAAGATCTGTAGGAAACCTTTTTTTTTGGGGTGTGTAAAAACACCACGGTTTCCTGTAGGTGTTTCCTTAAACAATTCCGTTGACCATGCTAGGGTTGTAAAATCGTGAACGAAACCAGCCAGTATTACCATCTGGTTATTTAACATAGCCATGGAAAATCACCATGCTATTAATAGGTAAACCATCTATAAATGGGCCATGTTCCATGGCTATGTTAAATAACCAGATGGTAATATAGATGAAGTTCAGGGGCTGCAAACCATCAGAAGGGCGCAATGGCAGGGCTTTGGGAAGATGAGAACCGACTCGAGAGAGATTTTTTGGTTTTCAAACCAGCCAGGCACCAAAATCATCCATATAACACAGCCATGAGTTTCATGAGTTTCAAATCTCAACCCATACAGCACTTGCCAAAACATGTTTTTTTCTGCTTGGGGTTGCCCCATGATTTATACAACTGGTCAACGACAGAAAGCAGCTTGCAGGGCGCTGAACATCTCCATTAGTAGCATTCCCACCAGCTTACCCATCTGTAAAATCTACCCTCTGGTTATTCAACATAGCCATGGAAAATCACCATGCTATTAATAGGTAAACCATCTATTTCTATGGGCCATCTATACCCTCTGGCTATGTTAGTCATAACCAGAGGGTACAAGAAACATCAAGAAAGCCATGGGTTTTCACCATCCCAACGTTCATCCAACGTTCCAACGTTCCCACGATCCTTGGAAGTTGCGGCTAAAGCCTCAAGCCTTGTGGATGGGGCGTAAGGCATGGGCTGACTTCCCTTCTCTACAAGAAACCGCCAATGTTCCCATCATTAGGGTCATCTACAAATGGGAATAATTAATTGGCTTCGCTTTCTTCGATTGGTGAAACAAGTGGGATTCTCTCACCAGGGTGTCATGGTGAGTTATCACAGTTATGTTTCCACTGAGTCTGACTGCAGAAGCGAACCAAAAATCATCGCCTGAACTGCTTGGATTCAAAGTCTTAGCCTCGCTTAGAGGAATTTTGGAATTTTTTTTTGGTGGTGCACATGGCTTTTCTACAGGTCTAAAAAAAATATCTTCATGCCATGATAAACGAGGAATTAAAATATCCATGCATGTTTTTTCTTTTAAAATCTGGATCCTAAATTGCTAGTGTGCTGACCGTGCAACCCATGCGATCTGCAGATGACGGCCAAGATTCCACCTGATCAAGTTCGATGACATTGGAAAAACAGTTCTTTGAAAACTAAGCTGAACTTGCCGGTCAGACCCCCATCCCACCCATTCTTATTTTCCCCTGCCGCGCGTCAAGATGTACTCAACAAAACTTGGCCGAAGCAGCCAAGGCCGACATCTTCCTAAAGACTAAGACGCAACCTATAATACTACACAGCCGAAACAGCTGCTTTACAGCCGAAACAGCTGCTTTGCAGCCAAAATACGGCTGACTCAGTCCTCCAACGCGTCCCAAACATTTTCTTCTTCGTTTTTTTGCCCTTGCTCCGACTCACCTTCTTCTTGATCCTGGTCCTCTGCACCGTCGTCTTCGCGAGGCCGCTTGTTTCCACTCTTTGCTTTGGCCTTGGATTTCTGTTTTGCCTTTGGCTTGGACTTGGGCTTACTGGCAGCGCCTTTGGCTTTGGGCTTTGGCTTTGGTTTTGGGTTAGGCACTGTGACAGTCTCGGCCGTGCGATTTCCAAGGGCGGTGGAGTAGGCAGAAGAAAAGAGTGGGCTGCTGGGGTCCACCATCTCTTTCTGAAGTCGCTGCAGCATCCTTTTTTCAAGGGTTTTTGCGTGGGTGTCGTTGTAGCAAATTCCGCAATAGCCAAGTCGTTGTCTCAAGCACACGAACGCCAGCTTCCCGTCGGCGGGCGTCATGTCCACTACTCTTCACGTAGTATCCATGGAGAATCTGTCTCTTCCAAAAAAGCTTCTGGTGCGCTGTGGTAACAAAATGGCTCTGCTTCATTGTTTCCGCGGTTCCCCTGCTTTCCTTCATCGCCTCAGTTGTTTACCCCGCTCAGTATCACCATGCAGCTCCTTTTCGCCATATTTGTGTATGAAGCAATGAACGAAAGAGTAAGCTCCATCCACAGCGGTTTGGTGGAGATTGAAGTTGGGTGGGTGTTTTGTTTGCCTGTCTGACAGGACGCCACCACAATCCAGAACCAGTACCATACTTGGCCGAAACAGCCAGCAGCTTCCCAGTCGAAACAGCTGGACACACCGGCCGAAACAGCCGGGAGCCAGACGCGATGTTTGAACTGGAAATGGCTTCGGACAATCAACGTACTGAGCTATATCGATACTAATCGGGATGGCTTTACGACAATTTGTGCTTTCTTCGGGGGATAATCATTCATTTTGAGAAAATGGAAAGGAGTGCAGTCTAGTTCATCCAGACATAACAAATGCATGTCTCAAGTTCAGTGACTTTGATCAAGATTAGAAAAACTACGTTAAATTCAAAATTTGATCAAGATTAAGCTACGTAAGTTCACAGGTAGTCGATCTGAAAATTGTTTTTTTTGATGGTGGGAAAATAATAAATGTATGAATCTCGCAGGCTCAGGCGGGCAGTACCGCTGCAGACCACTAAGTGTCCGGGACCCTGTGTAAGGAGAGGTCAGTTCGCCCTCTCCGTACACAGTTCGGGGACGCGCCCAACCTGCCTAAGGAGCGGCAAAAAGAGGGCAGATGGTCAAAAAACCAACCCGCGTAGCGGAATTTTTGTTTCGCCCTCTCTTTGACAGCTCCTTACACAGTTCGGGGACGCGCCCAAGTTGCGTAAGGAGAGGTCAGGCCGCCCTCTTCTTACACACTACCCGTGACCCAAAGTGTACTGTCCACCCTCCCAAGTTAAGTTGGCAAATGCTCTCGCCGAAATTTTCGCATAAGTGAACGCACTCTGTTTATGATTTTTGAATTTCATCAGGAAGTTAGTTAACCTAACGTTGGTCCATGTTATTATGATTTTGATGCACTTTGGATGCCTCGATATATGATACCTTTCGATGTGCTTTTTTGCAAGTTTCATGTTATTCAAAAAAAACATACAGAAACATTTTCCAATTTCATCCATGCGTTAAATATATCAAAAACTTGTAAAGTCAATTTACTATGCAGAGTTACGGTTTACCCATTGTATAGTGACAATTTTTGCACCCGTTCGGGGACATCCCCAGCACACCCTTCCTTTTCTTCCGGTTATACTGGTCGTTGCTCCGGCTGAAGCAGCCCTGTAGGGGAAAATATAAATCAACAGAGCCGCGCGTCATCTTATAGTGCCAAGCCGAAGCAGCGGGCGAAAATCCTATTATATAATAAATGCCCTGACAAAGTTAGATTGAAGCCGAAACAGCCTCTGAAGCCGAAACAGCCTGAAGCCGAAACAGCCTCGACCGTCGACAGCCCCTGGAGCCGAAACAGCCCCTGAAGCCGAAACAGCCTCCAGCACTCAGCGCACAGAAGATTGAACCTTTTTGAACATGTCTTCAAACCATTCCTCCCGCATTTTGGACCAAGTGAAATTGCTAAACTCATCTGGAACATATTCCAAAACGCTGATGAGCCGGATCGCCACTTGAAACTCCTTTTTGGTGAAGTCAGTCAAAGGAACGCGTCGTTGCCCCGGTGACATCTGTGGCATTGCGGTCATGAGGTGGCTGCTTGGGCGCTTGTCCACGGGAAGTAAACGAATGGTAGTCAGGATGTCCAAATCTATCATGATCTGCCCTGCCCATTCGTCGTTCATCTCCTTCTCATCAGTTAAATGAGAAAAGCACCAAAACAATCCATTTCTGGTGCACTCGATAGCACTGTCCAGATCCTGAACTCCAAACACTCGGGCCGGCTGCTCTTTCAAAAAGAAGCGCGTCTTGTGCGCGTAATCCAAAAAAGCAGCATCATTTGGAGTTGTGGCCGCCATTCTGTTTACTTCTTTTGCCCAAAGACACAGACAGAATCGAATGTATTAGAAGGAACCAGGGACTGCAAATTATCTGGCAAATGACATGCAGAATGCTTAACAGGGTCAGGCCAGGACGACTCAGAGCAGTTAAGTTGAAACCTATTAAGTAAGTTGAGAGTTGCGAGCTTGCAGCCAAGAACCTGCAGAAGGATCCTCTGGGTTCAATGGGAAACGGCTTTGCCACTGTTCTCGCAGCCGCTCCCATTTAGCAGTTGCCGATTTCAGCAACATAACTCGTAAAAAAGGCCGAAGCAGCCTTTCTCTGATTATGGCCGAAGCAGCCAGTATCAGTAACTCTATGTAACTCTGCAACAGCAAACTGAAGCCAAAGATATGCGGGAGCAGAAAAACGAGAAAAACAAATATCTCCCCTCATGGCAAAACGAGTGTTTTTTAAGTTTTTGACAACAAATCCCAAAAATGGCCGGAAAAAATTACAAAATTCCTCTAAGCAAGGGCAAGAAGTGAAACCTCTCCAGTTCTGTGGCTCAATTTCCATGACCATGATGGTTTGTATCCCATGACCATGATCTTTTCTGTGCAAAGGACAAGCAATTCTGCAGCGACGCAACGACGTGGGGGCGTTGTGATTCAGAATTGATCGAGATTTATGGTTACACCCATTTTCGTACAGCTAGAAAATAAGAGTATTCAGATATATAAAGATGTATTTTAAGACTTGTATTGTTGAAAATCTACTGTATGTTTTTTTGCTGCCAAGGCCCATGATGAAAAGCTATGTGAAGCAACAAACAGCGGCGGTTACCACCATCTCAAGTGCTATTATACCGTCCTTAGATGGATAAGTATGTTGAAATATGTCACATAAGGTGTATACAACATATAATCTATATATATAAGTAATGTGGTCCAACTAGTAAAATATAATAATATATATAGATGTTTATGACTATTGGCTTTACCACATATCTGGGGAAATGATCATATTTCACTATGAAACTCACGGCCTGGGGATGATTCCCTGTACACCCCAGCATGGAACTGAGGTTCCTGACGGCTTCCAAAGGGAGTCTAGCATCTCTATCTGGGACCATGAGCCCACGATTCGTGGTGAAACGCTGAAACGACTTCTTTTCCAAGCAAATCTCATGGGATCTAATGGGATTATAATTGGATTCAATGGGGTAGCCTATTTCATTCTTCGCTAATCAAACATGAAAGTGTGAAAACCCTTGTATAATGGGACAACCACCAGACTAAAATGGTAGATGTTCCATTGCCATCTTTGAAAACGGGACGTATATTCTCGGTGAGATTTCTATGTCTAACAGGCACGTACAAAAATGAATAAGTTTACCCACAGATCATGAGGATATGGTTAACAATGGATTCCAACTGGTTTTCCTCGAGATTTTTTGGCGGAAAAAAGTCAGTTGTTTTTGATGGGATTTCCGCATGGATGAACTGTCATAAACAAGCCGCATCAGCTGGTAGCTTTGGTTTGTGCATCCCCCCATGAAAAACTCCCTGTAGGTGGCATGATAATGGCGAGTATTCATCCATAATCATCCAGATTCATTCACATGCTGACGCCAGTCTATGCATCAAAATCATTCAAAATCCACATCATCAATCCATGCAAATCTGCCCAGCTCCCTCTCAACTCCATCTCATATGGAATGAAATGCACTAAGGTGAAACAGCATCTCCCATCATGTTCCGCGGACTGCAAGGATTACAATTTCCCATACTATCTACTACTATAAACCATAGAATTCCCCAAACTACAACCACAATCTCCCATTCTAAACATATTACAGTAACCATGGATTACATCATCCATCTCCCCCTCCAAACCCTCCATTCCCCGCTGACCCAGGGGGAGGCAAGCCACGCGATCAGCTCGGTGTGAAAGAGCCTAGGATTCTTTTGTCTGATGGATTCAACATAGGGCCCCAAACAATAGCTACGTTGGTATAGCTATGGTAAAAAGTTCACTCTTTAGTGGAATTCAGTAAAGAAATTCAGAGTTTGACCCCGAAAACCGCCATAATTTCATGGCTTATTCATGTACCCTCTGGTTATGACTAACATAGCCAGAGGGTATAGATGGCCCATAGAAATAGATGGTTTACCTATTAATTTAATAGCATGGTGATTTTCCATGGCGAACTGTTAAATAACCAGAGGGTATATTTAACACATACAATTCAGTAAAGGACAGTTGGATTCCAACCCCCAAGTTGGCATCTGTGATAGCTGGATGGTAATGGGTGACGATTCCCCATTTTCCGGTTGGTGGGCCTCCGAAATGACAGGCAAGGATCGCTAAGTTGGTTTAGTTCGCGTTCGGTGAATTCTATGGTTTATGGTAGATATATCGAACTAGTTAGTAGTAGGGGTTGTAAAGAAACTAAAAAACTGGGGGGCACCACGTGTTTAACATTGGGCTTAGAATATGAGGCATTTCCCAACATTGGGTCTTTCCTAAAATTGACACAGGGTCCCAGATTCTGGGAGTGACTATGTGAGATTCACATACTGGCTTTTCGGAATTTTAGCGTTGGACAATCCATGTTGGGGATATGTCAGTAGGATTCCCGAATCCCTATGATGAGCTGATCATAGTTGGGGTACTTGCTGATAAATTTCGATTTTTTGTTGGCTCAATAGGGAGTTAAAATTAGAAATATTATTATGCCAGGGGTTTTCCAATAGTTGGATTTAATCTGAGGGATGGGGATATAGGGCAATGCAAGAATGGATGGAATATGATGGAATGGTTTCTAATGTTTATATGTGGAGTTTCCAAATTCACACAGTTGTAGTACAAAATTGCTGGAATCTGTGGAGTATCACTTCACAGCCATAAACAGCACCCCACAGCGACTCAGCGGCTGATGTTCCAAGACCTGCAGTCGCTCCTGCGGCTCCAAGACCTGAAAAAGCCGACCAAAGGTATCTCGGCGGTGTTTTTTTAATAGGTATATTTAAGCGGTATTTACCGTACAATAAAATATCTATAAATGGGGAATATAGCTATAGGGGAATATACCTATATAACATTATATACCTATAAAATACCTATATATACCTCAATGGTATTAAATGAGGGGAATTCTGGAAGTTATTTTCTGGGATTCCCCTCATTTAATCATTTATAGCCAAGTTGTACAATGCTATTAGTGCTAATCTACAATCTATACATGTTTTTGAAGTTACGTATGTATAATTACACTGGTATGTGTTTATTGATTATGTGTTAGAATGGTATAATCTATAATCTACAATGGTTGATTTTATGGGAACCAGCCAACAGTTTATATGGGAATCAACCAATGGTAGATGATCATGTATAAATATTCCCTCCTGTAAGTTAACATTGCAACATAGATGTGGAAAACCCATCATGTGTAGATCATGTTCCAAACGGGAAACCATAAACCATTGGCGTTCCACATATGTGTATATATATATATATATATTAGTTTACCCTAGGGTAATGGGAATATTTCATGGTGATATAGTGGGTGTTACGATGGAGATTTAACCACCTGAAATGGGTCATCAAAACTGCTGGATGATGTAAAGCCCTTTGGTCATTTATGCATTAAATGGCTTTTTATACACCCCAATGACATATGTTTGGAAAAACAAAAACATACATATCCGACACAACCTTGTTAGTTTATACCACCACTGATTACGGGTTTCAACTGAAAAAATGAAAGTCGTTTGGGATCATCATCCCAGGATAGAAACCCCATAGTTCAAGCCATCAACCAGTCAACCGGTATTTAACTATCCCCACACGAGGGTCAAGGATTGTTGAGTCATACCTAAGTGGGTCTGGCTCGAAAATTCAGTCTTTAAGAAACAAAACTGGGTGAGAAAGCAATGAAAGATGGACTATGGGCTCAAAAAACCATAAAGTATGGAATCAAATTGGTGTGTCTGGAAATGGGGATACCCAGAAAATGATAGTTTAATGGCGCAGAACAAGAATATACCCTCTGGTAGTCCAACATAACCATTGAAAATTTAAAATGGCCATGTTTCATAGATTAATCACCTAGAAATTTGTCATTTACCAGGGGGCAGAATTACTGAAATAATTGGATGCCCACTGCCCCAATCTGATTAAAACACTCTCATAGAGACTTAACACGGCGACTTGCGGGGTCTTACATTTGATGCAGAATGACCATGACTACCAAGTCCGGAATCGTTTGATCTAATGTGGGATCCACAATCATGAGCCATCCCCAATTAGTGGCTTATCACTGTGTATACCTCTACTTGGGATGATTTATAATAGCCTCCAAATGTTTGATGCTTGGGTATGGTTTGTTACTGATATCCATTTTATTTGTGCCATGGAAAATACCTTCCATCCCGTCCATTATACTGTCAAACAGCTATCTCGTTCATTGTGCATTGGTTCAGAATCGCCAAGAAACTGATTTGAACAACCCACTATTCATAAATCATCATCAGTTATATCCTTGCTGATGCTTAAAACCGTAATTGATGAAATCAGTGTTTTGCTGGTTTAAACACCAGTGTTTGCTGATAAAGTCACACTTTTTCCTGGTTGGGTCCTAATTTTGCTGGTTCAGTCCCTAATTTTGACGGTTAAGTCCTTAAATTTGCTCCTAAAGTCCCTGATTTTCATGCTTCAGTGTCCCAACAGCTCCGCCGGGTCTCCACCTGGGGAATGAAGAACCGGAGACTGATCCAGCCTGGATGTCGAGCTTGCGACTGGGGCGTCGAAAGGGGGGCTGAAAATGGGGACTTCCCGACAAAAAACACACAAAAATTGGGATTGAAGACATTGAAAAATGTGATTTGAAAGTAGGAAAATTGGAATTAACACGACAAAAGATACAAAAGTTACTTTTAAGCTTTTAAGCAACAAGTTCTGTAATCACTGGATTGTTTTAAGGGAAAATTGAAAACATTGAATTTCCCAAATATCCAAAGGGGAAGTATTCCCTCCAGGTCGACTTGAGGAGCCGCAGTTTCAGTGTAACCCGAGTTGGCAACCATACAAGTATCTGGCAACTAGCACGTCCCAATTCCTTGGATTCTCGGATTTCCGAGTGAATTATCTCACCATCTGATAACTTGAGGTCGATATTGGATTCAAAGCATACTGGTTGTTGATGTCATAACTAACCATATGTGTTTCATTGCAAGAGAAGGTCTCAGAATTCATTTGTGAAACAACTTGAGGTCCATAATCAAAACAACTTGAGGTCGGCGTCACAACTTGATTTTTTCCAGGCGTAACCTCTGGTGCCCCCCCGGAATCAAGCCAGTTTGACCATACCAGCAATCACCTTAGCTGGGAGTCAGGCTGACCCATCCCAAAGCTATGAGTTGGTTGACACCGGACTTCCCAGTTTTCACATCTTATAACTCTAATATACTATAATATATGATGATAATCCCCGATAGTTGCCTTTTGTATCAACCCTTTAATTTCGAACCCAAAAAAACACCATCAACCAGGAACTTGATCACTGCTGGCTGTGATGAATCCATCCCAATGGAACAGTCGTGGCTGGGGGATCTACTGAATGACCCAAAGGTCACCACTGGACACCCTCGAGAATTTGACATGGAAGCCGCTGGAAACCCCAAAAAAGTAGCTTTGGAAGCTGCTTTTCCGAAGGAGATGGCCACTTTGGGGTGCCAGGCTAAATTTGAGGGGTGTACACCCTCAACAATGAGTATGTGATCATCAACAATCGGTATTTAACCATCAACGATAGAAATGGATGTTGATTCCTGCACAATGAAATGCAGGTCCCTTCCCCCTCCATTTGCGGACCATAAGTTTAAATGAGTCAGAAAGTGGAGATCGTCGGTTGAGGATGCCAAAGTATTAATCCTAAATCCGCTTTTTCTTGGACCCTGACGCTCCCCAATCTCCCCATATGAAAAAGTCAGCCTGACTTTTCAGGTCACGCAGCCCATAATTGCAACAGTTCATGAATCTTGACCTATCCTCAAGAGTTCGCAACTTGGGTCGCCCATTACCCACGTATCAACAACCAGACTGTGCAGCGGCCGACTTCATATGGAGCTCACATTACAACTCGCTACTGCCATGGGAAAAATTGTAAAATCCCTGCACCCTTGCCCCATATCATCCATGTATATGTTCTAATGTTTATCCCCAAGATTAGAGATACATGGTCTGTGAATGGTATGAGATAGGCAAATATACTCCCTTTCATGGCATGTTTTATGGGAAAAATGAGGTTCTACACCTGGATTTATCTTTTAACACATGTTCAAAAAAATCATAATTTTATCAATAGCCACTTCAGGAACCTAAATTGGAGGTACCTACCATATATAAGGCCTATTTTTGAGGCCTAAATTTCAGGGAATATCCCCACAACATATGGCCAAAAATATGGTACTAACGTACCTCCATTTTAGGATCCTGGAGATCTCACATTGATTTTACATGTTGCCAGGAAGTTGGGGTGTCCGCTGTTTCTGGGCAAATCCATGATTACTGGTTAATCCCATTACCCTCTGGTAAACATACAAAAACTTATGGAAAATCAAGTTTTAGTGGGAAAATAGACTATAAATTGCAATTTTCAATAGCTATGTTAGTTTACCAGAGGGTACATCCTCAACAAATTTCATACTTATCCCACCAAATTACAGTTCGCCCGGTACTTTCCCACATGTGCCATGGTCAAAACACGGTCTTTTTTAGCTCTTGTCCTCCCACCATCATTAGGCACTCCCATGGCACATATGGAGGTTCCCCTTCCCATGCGGGTCCCCCAGACTATCCAAGTCATCAAACCATTTTAATATTGAAACCCATGGTTTTGGGGATCTCCGATTTTAAGAAACCTCCATATCTACTAAAATTACTAGTAGCAACCCACTTATGTCACTTATATCATCACTATAAATGATTCACGAAAAATGGAGCAATCTAGTGATAAGCATCTTCCATATTTACTACAGTAAATCGCTGCTAAGCTATCGTTATTTATAGTGACTAAGTATGGTACTGCTGGGCCCCCAGGCATTCTTGTGGATCCAATCCGCCCGTCAAGGCCAGCTCTCTGAGTGCATGGAGTCGCTCCTGGAGCGGTTGGTAGACTGGATTCCATCAAGCCTGGTTCTGCATGGATGTACATTCCAGTAAGTACATGGTGAATCACTCATTAATAATACCATATAATACCTGTTTTTTCCCGAGAGCGCCTGCGAAGGGTTCTTCGTAAAAAAGCAGCCGTTGTAATACATCTTCACACCCTCACATCTGCTGATCTAGATCTTCACACCTTCACATCTGCTGATCTACATCTTCACCCCTTCACATCTGCTGATCTACATCTTCACACCCTCACATCTGGAGATCTACATCTTCACACCCTCACATCTGCAGATCTAATCTTCACACCCTCACATCTGCAGATCTACATCTTCACACCCTAACACCTGCAGATCTACATCTTCACACCCTCACACCTGCAGATCTACATCTTCACACCCTCACACCTGCTGATCTACATCTTCACACCTTCACACCTGCGGATCTACATCTTCACACCCTCACATCTGCAGATCTACATCTTCACACCCTCACATCTGCTGATCTACATCTTCACACCCTCACATCTACCTGACGATTTTAGTTAGTCCATCGCAACCCTTTCGCACGAAATGGACGTTGGACGTCAAAAACTGAGGTAAAATTGCGATTTTGAGGTGTCACGGGCAACCCTTACACGCGAAATGGAGGTTCGACGTCAAAAACTGAGGAAAAATTGCGATTTTACTTGGTCCATCGCGACCCTTTCGCACGAAATGGACGTTGAACGTCAAAAACTGAAGTAAAATTGCGATTTCACGGGTCCGGTCTCTGTGTGTGAAAGTGTTTGTGTGTAAAAGCTTCTGTGTGTAAAAGCTTTGTGTGTAAAAGCTTCCGTGTGTAAAAGTTTCTGTGTGTAAAAGCTTCTGTGTGTAAAAGCTTCTGTGTGTAAAAGGGTCTGTGTGTAAAGGAGTCTGTGTGTAAAGGAGTCTGCGTGTAAAAGGAGTCTGCGTGTAAAAGCTTCTGTGCGTAAAAGCTTCTGTGCGTAAAAGCTTCTGTGCGTAAAGCTTCTGTGCGTAAAAGCGTCTGTGCGTAAGAGCGTCTGTGTGTAAAAGGGTCTGTGTGTAAAGCTTCTGTGTGTAAAAGCGTCTGTGTGTAAAAGGGTCTGTGTGTAAAAGGGTCTGTGTGTGACAGTGTTTGTGTGTAAAAGTTTCTGTGTGCAAAAGTTTCTGTGTGTAAAAGCTTCTGTGTGTAAAGCTTCTGTGTGTAAAAGCTTCTGTGTGTAAAAGGGTCTGTGTGTAAAGCTTCTGTGTGTAAAAGCTTCTGTGTGTAAAAGGGTCTGTGTGTAAAAGGGTCTGTGTGTGACAGTGTTTGTGTGTAAAAGTTTCTGTGTGCAAAAGTTTCTGTGTGTAAAAGCTTCTGTGTGTAAATGCTTCTGTGTGTAAAAGCTTCTGTGTGTAAAAGCTTCTGTGTGTAAAAAGGTCTGTGTGCAAAAGGGTCTGTATGTAAAAGGGTCTGTGTGTAAAAGCTTCTGTGTGTAAAAGCTTCTGTGTGTAAAAGCGTCTGTGTGTAAAAGGGTCTGTGTGTAAAAGGGTCTGTATGTAAAAGCGTCTATGTGTAAAAGTGTCTGTGTGTCAAGAAAGTGAGATAAAAAGAAAAAGCAAAAATAAGGGTCGAAATGGAAAAACAGAAAAAAGAAAAAGAGCTTCATCGAGGCAGAACCAAAAGAATAATGGGACCGGAGACGTAGAGACAGGAAAAGTAAGGAAGAAACCCTTCTTTTTTTCCCTTCTTTCTTTGGTGTAAAATCGTCTGTGTGTAAAAGCTATCTGTGTGTAAAAGCTTCTGTGTGTAAAGCGTTGTGTGTAAAGGGTCTGTGTTAAAAAGAGGGTCGGGATGTAACAGCGTCTATGTGTAAAAGTTCTGTGTGTAAACGCGTCTGTGTGTAAGGAGTCTGGTGTGTAAAAGCGTCTGTGTGTAAAAGCTTCTGTGTGCAAAAGCGTCTGTGTGTAAAAGCGTCTGTGTGTAAAAGTGTCTCTGTGTAAAAGCCTCTGTGCGTAAGAGGGTCCGTGTGTAAAAGCGTCTGTGTGTAAAAGTTTCTGTGCGTGTAAAAGCGTCTCCGTGTAAAAGTGTTTGTGTGTAAAAGCTCCTGTGTGTAAAAGCGTCTGTGTGTAAAAGCGTCTCTGTATAAAAGCGTCGCGTTTCTTCACATCCACGGAATGATGGTGCCGAGCTTTTTCGGCAATGTGTGCAGGAATTACCATAGTAAAATGAGATAACACACGTCATTTGCAGCATGATGGTACCGAGCCTCCTGTGCACTTTTGTTGCTCACATTATATTTCTTCATGTTTTCTTTCTATCTCCCTTTCCTTCTCTCTCTCTCCCTCTCTCCCCCCCCTCTTTCTCACCTTGTCAAGACACGTGTCATCTGATGCCCTTTACCAAGTATCCTCTTCTTAATCAACCTTACTTTTTCACACCTTATCCCTCCATAGCTCATATAAAATTCACCAACCATTCACCGACTATCTTTTACGACTACCATCCTCAGAGCTGCTTGAAAAGCATCTTTTTCGCTCTCGGGCCAACCGTCGTCTAGTTTCATAATCTAAGCCCAGACTATGATATGAGTATTCCCCCTCTGATAAACTAACAGTTTGCTATTGAAAATAGCAATTTAATTGTAGTTGATTTACCCATGAAACATGGTGATTGTCCATTTACCCAGCTATAAAATGGTGATTTTCAATCGTTTTTTGTATGTTTAGAGGGTATCCACTGGGATGCACCGACGTCATTTCCGGCGTCCTCCGACACGCTGCCCGGCACCAGGTTTTGCAGCACCAGCAGCTCCTGTTGGACCTGGCTGCCGCTGGGTGGAGCCACCAGCCATCGGACTTGGATTAAGATGATTAAGGGGAAACTGGAACCGTTTCAGGTCTCTTAAATTGCTTCAAAATTAAAAATTAGATAAATAGATAAAAAAAATCTATATATTTATTATCGAAGGAAGTTTAGAAGTGAAACTTCCGACAATATGGACAGTTGAAAAGCAGAGGTGAGAAGAGTCAGAAGAGACAAGATCAGAAGAAAGAAGAGGTAGATGCGCGAAAAGATAGGAAAGTCGCGAAACACTCTGTGTTTTTCCAATGATTTGTGGCTCCGGAGGGTCAAAAAGTAGGCTCGCTAAAGCGGCGGGTGCGGAGCCAGCTGGCCAGATGAGACATGAAAAAGTGCACGCCGTTGTGGCGCGAAGCACATTTCCAAGTCAAAATGGACAAAACACTAGAGGATCGGACCACTTTTGGAAGTTGCGATGTCGAAAAAAGTGCACGCCGTTGTGGCGCGAAGCACATTTGGAAGTCAAAATGTGCAAAACACCGCAACCTCGGACCACTTTTGGAAGTTGAGATGTCGAAAAAGTGCACGCCGTTGTGGCGCGAAGCACATTTCCAAGTCAAAATGTACAAAACACACCAGGTTCGGACCACTTTTGGAAGTTGAGATGTCGAAAAAGTGCACGCCTTTGTGGCGCGAAGCACATTTCCAAGTCAAAAGTGTTAAAAACTGGCGGTCTCGGACCACTTTTGGAAGTTGAGATGTCGAAAAAGTGTCAAAAAAGTGCACGCCGTTGTGGCGCGAAGCACATTTCGAAGTCAAAAGTGTAAAAAAACTCAGGGTTTTGAGCCTTTTTTGACGTGAAGATGTCGAAAAAGTAGACATTGATTAACTTAACTAACTTGACTAACTTAACTAACTTCACTAACTTAACTACCCTAACTTCGACGACAACAGCAACAACAACAACAACAACACCAACCACAACAACAACAACTACAACTACAACAACTACACAACAACTACAACTACAACTAGAACTACAACTACAACAGCTACAACAACAACAACAACAACAACAACAACAGCAACAGCAACAGCAACAGCGACAGCAACAACAACAACTACAACTACAACTACACAACAACTACACAACAACTACAACTAGAACTCCAACTACAACTACTACAACAACAGCAACAACTACAACTACAACTACAACTACAGCAACAACAACAACAACTACAACTACAACTACAACAACTACAACAACAACTACTACTACTACTACAACTACAACTACACAACACAACAACTACAACCACACAACAACTACAACTACAACAACTACAACTACAACTACAAAACAACTACAGCTACAACCATATGACTGCAACTACACTACACTAATTACATTACACCACAACTACAACTCCACTACGCTACAACTACAACTACAGCTGCAGTACATCACACTACATCCAGCAGTTGTTGGTGAGGTGACCACTGCAACCATTGCAACCATTCCAGCAAACACAACTCCAACCACCTTTCGGTCAATCAGTGGCTTCGCTCTGCCATCCCTGATTCACAACAACCAACTTCTCCTATAGGTTTCCTATTTTTGAAACTTCCGCCACCGCCTTGTGCGGTACTACTGGTATATAGGAATATCATAAATGTTATATTATCTGAATTCCCTACATGGCTAGTGCTGCCGGGGAGGCCGTTGATCAGCTAGATGTGCCAGGTGATCGTCTCAACTTTCGACCATGCAACAGGCCACGTGACCTGTTGCATCCTAAAAATGCTGGTAATCTTACAAGAAACTAGCAGTTTACTATTGAACATTACCATTTAGTTCGTTGATTTTCCCATTAAGAATTGTGATTTTCCATAGTTATGTTAGTTTACCAGAAGGTAACCCCCAAGAAGATTGAAAATGGAAAAACAATTTACGACTATTCATTAGTATTTCTAGATACTTTTAGTAAAAGTTAAAAGGGGACAGGTTCTTATCTTTTTCGGGGTTGCTATGAACAGAGTTGTTCAACCTCAGGCTTGAAAAACGTGGGCATACGTGGGCAAATATTTTTTCGTTGGCTGGTGATTTTAACTCTTGCCTAGCCAATAAACAAATCAATCAACTGGGAAGCCCAGGGAGAGAATGGAAAAAAATCTAAACAAACATAAAACGTGTTTATAACATAACAAAGGTGATTAATAATCTTGGAAATTCTTTAAAACTGCAGACGAGTTGGGAGGCCATCACCATCCACCAACCACATGAGATGTGCTCACAGTTTTTCACTCAAGCTGCAATTCAGGAGGCAAGGCATATTGGTAGATGCCATCTCTTCTGCTTGGAGACTGACCCTCAAATAGCATGCTCACATACATCGAGCTGCCATGAACCAGCACTGCCACCGGAACTAAGCCATCAGGACATTGCAAGACTTCTGTGGGACATGTGTTCCCGGGGCGGAAGGCCAACACCTTTCCTTGATCATGGTCCGCGACATAGATGGTGCCAGCTTCAGTGACGAACAGGCTGCATAGATCCGGGTCCTGCTCGCTTGGGACTTCTCCTACCACGGAAGGTTTCAATGGCTCAGCTGGATCAATGCGCAGAATGCGACTGCTTGCATGATCATGGAGATAGATCACTTCTTCCTTGGTGACGGCGATGGCCATGCCCTGGAACTGCAGGTCTGCTGGAAGAGTCTCAGCATCAATCACTGTCTGGAGTGTGGAACCCACCAACTTCTGCACAACTCTGCCACTCGAACGCAGAACGTAGAGCACTCCAGTGGGCGAGCAAAACTGGCTGTTTAAATCAATTTCGTCAAGAACAACTCGGCCAGAACCATTTTGAAAACTCACAATCCTCTGATTGGTATGGTCCGCTACAAAAATCTCTCCAGTGGGCGAGATGGTGACCTCAGAGCACCAGCATCCGCCACTGCTTCCAGCCACTGCAGCACCTCCACCTACGATTTCTCGCGCATCGGCAGCCGCATCACCAGGTTTCCAACAGAGCATGTTACCGAGGTAGTCGGTGCCATAAATGGCACCTTCGTGCCAGCACATAGAGTCCCACACTACAGACAGCACTTCTCGCCCAAGAGCATCAGAGCTGGCGCCTAAATCTGGCGACCAATGTCGTAAACAATTTCTCTTTGGTCGAAAATCATCTGAACTTTGGGGTCTCTTTCGTTGTCGGACTCGCAGAGCCTCGTTGACTTCTCTGTGCAGGTCGCCACCATCTGGACCGGACAAAATAACACGGCGCAGCCGAAGCAAATTGTCGACAGAAACCGACTGGAAATCGACATGTTGTAACAACATACCCAGAAGCGCATTCCTGTCCTTGGAGACACTGAGCCACTTGAAGATGCCTTTCAACACTGCTTCCTCTCGAGAAACAGCCAAGTCCGATCTTTTGAGAATGCGGGCCAGCTGACTAGCACTGAGCAATCCAAAGCCTGGCTGATGGATGCAAGACTCAAAATCCTGTGCGACCATCTCTTCGCATGTAGTTTTCAAATCATCAAGCGCGTGCGTTTCTTGTAGCACTTGCAGGGCACCAGTGCTGTCCAAGGACGCACGGAAACCTGCCTCAATGGCACCTGCTAACTTTGGCAAGTCGTAGGCTTCCGCCAGTCGTAGGAGTTCAAGACCAACTTCCAGATTCACTTCTGGTTGTCCGCCATATATGAAGTCAACCAAGGCAGACACGGCCGCTTTAGAAGCAGCGATTTCCACGGGGTGTCCTCGTTGCACCTGGCCTGCTTCAAGAAAGGATCCACTCAGCAGCTTTTTGAAGAACATGCTGGCGGCAGACAACAGGGCTGCGTGGGCACGATGCTCAGCACCATCACTGCTCTTCAGCACAACATCACAGAGATGGTCTTCCATCCAAAACTCCCGCAACTGCTGAACGATGCCAACTTGATGCTTGACCAGATTCGAGTGCTCAAGCTTCGCAGCGCCCATGGCGTTTGTGACTTCACCAGGTGACTGTTCCACCTGGACAATTCAAAAACCTTGGTGCTTGGATTCATCTCGCTACATTGGTATCTAGCCAGTTCCTGCACGGATTGCTGGTGGCATAATAGTCAGCCCTTCGAGGAGCATCAGTTTTTGTCAAGAAATCTAAAACATCCCATTTTAAGATAATATACATGAATATACAACATAAGGTGCTACAATGTCCTGAACTTTTCATCCACGACTTGAGCACTGCCTTGCACCGCAGCCTAGTCATGCAGAGGGAGACCAACCAGACACAAAAAACGGTAGCCCTTGAACCAGAGCAATTGGGTGCCTGGGTGCTCGATGATGGATGCCATAGTATTTCACGTGTACAGCATGTAGAAGGATATGGATGGGATGGATTGGCGCCCGCAGCATGGGTTGGTTGTCGGCGTTGTTGTTGACTCTGGCAATCAAATCTGGAATTGCAAAAAACATACATGTACAGGAAAAACCATCAACAAACAAAGGCTTCTCGCCGGATTTGACTGTTGGAAGCTATATGGACAACAGCGCCAGCCCAAGTCTGCCCAGCCTGACTCCATGGCACTTCCGTCTCGCTACAGGCCTGAGATGACACTGCCTTGCATGGACTTGCTATGTCTACATTTTCCCAGGGGACACAATACTTGAAGTTTGAAATGGTGGTGAATGATAGTGTTGGATCGTGAGCGAAGCCCCTAGAAAAAACATGTACATCCTGACTCATGGTGTCGAAAAATACCCTCTGGTAAACTAACATAACTATGGAAAATCACCATTTTTTATGGGTAAATCAACTATAAATGGCAATTTTCAATAGTTATGTTAGTTTACCGCAGGGTATATGATATATATGGGAGTGTGACCGACGAAAGGTTCAATATGATTTGATGAAGAACAATGGATCTGGTTGTTTCTTAGAACTGCGAGAACTCAAAGTTCAGAAATCATCTAGCCTGAGATGGTGGATATCGGCTGGGGCTTAGCAGGACCCTGTTTAGGATGTTTTGTCCTCATTTGTCGCATGGTTTTGACCTGCAAATTTTGGGGCAACTATTTGTCAACTTCCCTCAACTTCTGGATCAAACACTTCGGAATTCATGGGAAAAATTGCAGGAACCCCCCCTTTTTCTGGGGGCAAAAACCAATGGTGTCCAGTGAAAAGAATTTCCCAAAACCAATCCATTGATCTACAAAACTGGCGACACTATGGGCCGATGGTGGAAATCCATTGGAAAACCCCTACCTTGCAACAGATCTGACCTGAGTTCATCTGCAGGGTGAACTTACCATCAGCAGAAATACTAATATATGAATGGTATGGCTACCGGATACCAACAATGCAATGAAGATGTTGGTAAATCTCCCAAACTTAGGTGATTGCATGTGTTGAAACGTTGGTACATATCCAAGAATGAACAATATGTACGTATGAATATGTATACAGTGTATATATGTGACTTGTCCATCTTGCGATACTCATGTTGAATGGAGCAACACCAGCCACTTGGTTGTGATCTCATTCACATGGAATATACTGCGTTATGATCAATTATGTACAGGCTACCTATGAGTTCTTAAATGTTATATCACATACCACATTTGGATGTGCATCCCACTTAGCAACTGGATTGTAAGCCAGATAACTGGGAATATCCTACAAATATGTGGGTTATAAAGTTATAATAGTATACTATTTTATACCATGGTTATTAACCACTTGCAATGCCTGGGATGCACCCTCGAGCACAGCCGTGGTGAACACAGCTCCCAGGCGTCCAAAGCTCAGCCGAGCGGCGTCTAGGCCTTTGTTTCACAAGCAGGGAATGGAGATTCCCAAGGGGTCCAGCGGAGAAGGGCCTATGTGTTATCCAAGATATATATCTGGATGTGCTATCCCTTTCTGTGTTCGATATACAGTATGTATCCCACATAATACCCTCCAACTGAATATAGCCCCTCAACATAGCCAATATTTATGCAAACGAGTCTTCCAAGCCCTATTTGTCAGGGTCTATGTTGGGGGGAATGGTATCCCCTTGCTCTTCCCATCAACATGGTGGCTCCCATCGCTCAATCCCACAACGTGATATAATCCAACTCATCATGATCCTCCCCTGATAAATCCTGTCATATTGTTGCTATATCCCATTATACCACCATGATTTTATCATATCATCATTTTACATATTTATATGTGTAAATATATACATATATATATATACATATATATATACATATATATATACATATATATATATACATACATATATATATATGTGTGTGTGTTAGTATATCTATCCCAATCATATCCCATGAAATACTCCCATCAACATGGTTGGTTTTAACCAACCCTCCACATCTCCCACAACCCCGTGATCCTCAGGCTCGCGAACTGCCTTTCAAAGCCTCCACTGGCTCTGTGCAGATGCCAATGCCCTGTGGGACTGTCCCGGAATGCAGTGTCTAACGCCAAAAAAGATGTACGAAATACCGTGAAAATCAGAGGCATTCCCAAAAAATAGAGGATATCATACGGACAATAAATATCAATGATTCAATGAATATCAATGATAGTGGATATCAATGGGATAGTGGGATACATATAGTGGGTGGGATATATTCATAGTCACAGAAAAACGGGGTCCCCATCAAGATGCCCAAACTATCCCAAACTTATTTCAAGGATGGGATCGTCAGAGGATGTCTTCCATTGCTCCCTATAAATTCAAGGTTTCCAACCTTTCAATTTGGGGTTGCTGTAGATGGTGATCCCGCTGGATTCTTCTGGCTTTTCGGGCTTCTACTAGTTCTACTTCTGAAAACAGTTCCCGGATGGACCGTGGACGATCGTGGACGCAGGAGTTCCTCATGGTACAAAAACACACAAAAACCCTCCACCAGAAATACTTTGGTGAACCAACCGGCCGAAAGTTGTTTCCCAAACTTCCCAATCTGCTACATGGTGATTCATGGTGGAGATTGTCCACAGTTTGGGTGCGTCCGAAGATACGCATTCGGCATCCCCATGTTGAACTATATCTCCATACCATCTGATAAACATGGCCAGCTGAACCCGGCATGTTTAGATGAGAATCATCTATCGAATTTGAGATTGCTTGCCAGTTTAAAAATTGCATTACAATTACCCCCCAATTCCAACCCCATATGATAACAGTAGATTTCTTACCCTCTGATAAACTAACATAACTATCGAAAATCACAATTTTAAATGGGTAAATCAACTATAAATGACCATTTTCAATAGCTACGTTAAATTACCAGAGGGTAAGTCTTTCAGAACCGCAGTATCGCAGTATCATTTCTGTATCTGTCCGCTCCACGGCCACGGGACCCTCCAGGGCGCACCAGAATCAGCACCCAAGGGCTCCAAGGGCTGGGAGCTGGCCGTGGCATCGCCGTGAGGCTACCTGCCAAGAAATGGCTAGATGGCCATAGCAATATCATGGCATATAATAAATATATATATATTATATATTTATATATGTTAATTATATAAAATTATATAGATATATTTTAGCAATAATAATAATAATATATATATATTTATTTATTTATTTATATTTTGGGATATCATATTGATATTACCATACATTACCACAATTATGATTCTTTCACGCGTTTTCAATGGTATATAATTGATATATATATATAGATTGATATACAGAGGTAAACCCAATGAACCGTCCACAAGCACCAGCCATTTCGGGATCAGTTTAACTCATCCCAAAAATAGGAGCTATACCGTACAACCAATAAACAATGAAAACTTGTGTGGGGAGCGTTCACTATTGGGTCTACCTCATTAAATATCTACGAATGTTATGACCCCTCTACATGTGGATTAAGGGTCGTGAGAAACCAACAAATATTATATAGAGATATAGCAGGGATACTGTGGGGATATCACCGGGCATATCACCCAACAATGTATTTGGGATTATTTGGGTGTGTCTGCACAAATGTAGCCAACAATCAATGGGACAATGACATTTATTCTTGGGTTTACCACAGTTATTTTAAGACGAAACCATTTGCAGACATGTCTGGCCATTCAGGCAGCTACCAGCACACCAGTGGTCACCAATGCGCACAGCGCTCCTCATCCTGGGCACTGGCAGGAGCTAGCAGCTAATAAGCATCTGAACAGTTGTTCCAAAGCAGCTGATGGTCCGTTGGTTGATGCTCTTAGATCATCCAGCTGAGTAATTAATCCCAATAAAAACATGTGGAGAATTCCATGTGGCTGGCCATTGAAATGGCTGATCAAACGTGTCAAGCTGCTTCAGAACAATGTTTGCATTGGCATATGGCCCCTTGCGCATGTCTTTTCAGACGGCCACCTACAATGAACATGCGGGTATCATGCCGCCTTTGTTCCGGTTGCGTGGAATGACTGGCCATGTCATCAACAATTATTTTGGTGACTTTCACCCCAGCGACAATTTCTGGATATGTTGTTCGAGTGAAGTTGATCGTGCCAAAGCTTGAGCAAACACCAGGCGTGGGCATGCGGCGTGAAGACAGATACCGGGGAAACAACAGAATTGCAATCCTTGAGGTGATCCTAAACCAAAGATGTCAAGTTTCCTACCACCTTCATCCTTCAAACGGTGGCTTCTCAAAAAGCATGTCCTCAAGCTTCCTCTAGTCTTGAAGCAAGAAAGCCCTGAAAATGGGTGAGGCTAAGAACACTAGCGGCCCCGAGAAAAAGGAGTACAAATAAGTTGAAGGGACCCTGCAAACAGGTGATATCACATGATCATGCCATCAGCAGTGGAACTGTGCCCTTGTATAGCCTCGATGTCTGCTTTTTCACACATGAAACACCATAATTTGATCAACCTCACCCCAGATAAAGGCTGACTGCGCCTGGTTCCTGCGATCCCATTTGCTAGCCATAGCAGCATCCAAAAAAAAAGAACATCTCCCAGATACAGTAATGGTTAGCTATTCCTGGAATCAATACCTATTCCCTAAATATATCATTCTCCGAGAATATGCTTGGCAATTCTATATGGAATCATGCGTGATTAACATTGTTTAATCATTCTAGGAAAGTCCCAGTTGATATAATCCCGAATACCCTCCGGTGATTTAACATAGCTATTGAAAATACCCCTTTTATAGTTGATTTACCTATCCAAAATGGTGATTTTCTATAGTTATGTTAGTTTACCAGAGGGTATATCATGGTATATCAACAGTACTGTCACCCCCAAACAAATCATCAACCCAAGGTTCTGCACCAATTGCTACCTGGAGTGTTCATCCTTCAAGCCCCGTTCTCATCATAGTTTTTACATTGATGCTAGCATGATCCCTATCAAAGATCAAATCTATGGAATGATCCAATGAATAAGTGTATCTGATTATAATATATGATTTTATGTACTCATAAAATATCATACATCTAAAACATTAAGAGAAATAGAAGCCCACCACCATCGACCATCAAATACCACCTGCCCCCATCTCCTCAAACACTGGCTCCGGTGCTTTCTGTCGCCGCGCCCGCTTGCGCGCGGGGGAACTTGAGGCGGGAGCCGCGCGCGGTGCAGCGTCCTGATCAGCTGGATGAGCCCAGTGGGAGTACGCGACATTTGAAGTATCGAAAACGATAGGATTAAATATAATAATACCAGCCCAGTGAAAAAAACCTAGTTTTTTCGAGAAAAAACGGGTTTTTGTAAAGAACCCATATTTTGGTTTTTGTTGGATTTGCACAGATTTGTCCTAATCGGGTGGATCTGTATCAAATTTCTCCTCATTGCATGTAGCAATTTCATACTGACAACTTGTGAAATCTGTCAGACAGAACGCGCGATGGAAACCGAAGCAAGCGTTATCAGACACGATGCGTGCATTCTCCACCGGCTGCAGTTGCCTCCTATGCTGCCAATTTTCCCTTCAGCGGGACTGGAGTTAGTCAAAAAGTCACAATGGATATGCATGGCATTTCAAAAGTCAGCTTTTCAGATATGAACCCAGTAAATTGACAATAGCTCCGGTAATCTGCGGTGTTTTCTTTTTGTCTGGATCGGGCAACTACCGGTTCGATCTTGCAAAACCACAAGCGGAGCCTTAAAATAAAAACTTGACATCGCGCCATCAATTCGCAGAAGCCAAAAAAAAACATATTTTGAGTACGGGTTAGTATGGGTTAAATATGGGTTTAATATGGTTTAAATATGGGTTCCAAAAAACCGGGTTTTTTTAACTATATCAGAATATGGGTTTAGTACGGGTTAAATATGGGTTTAGTACGGCTTAGTACGGCTTAAATATTGTTTTTTTGCATTTTTTGGGTACAGACCCTAAAATTGTCATCCGAAATGATTAAAAACTGAAAATGCCGATTGATTTTTCATGATTTTGTTAATTTGTTCGATACTTTTCTTCGGCTGTTTGTTGGACTTTGGCAATCCAGCATCATTTTTTCCCAATGAAAAAAATACAGCCATGTTTCAATTTATGCTTCTAGGGGTGGTTCTTGGGAAAAAATCATCCAACGACTCCAGATTGACTGTGATCACACTTAATGTTGTCCGACATGTTCCAAGAGCATCGGGCCCTTTCTTTTGGGAACTGCCAGCCAAAGCCAGCGGGGTGGAAGTATAATCAACATGAAGGGTACTGAGAGGGATAGATCCAAGGCATCAATAAAGGGGTTTGAATCGTCTAGGGGAAGGAATCATGAGATGTCATGACACCAAGTGTGAGAAAAAGTAAGTTTTTTCCCTAGTATATAAAGAAAAAAAAATCAGAGAAAAACCGGGTGTTTTTCATAACTGAAGAAAAAACGGGTTTTTGGAAAAAGACCTACAAATGTGGGTTCTTGATGCGCTAGGTAGACTAACATTAGGTTAAAATCATCAATTCGTTTTTCATGTATGACCGTCTTAACTATGATTTTTAGGCATGAAAAATAGGATTCAACCATCGAAGACTGGGACTAAAGCATCAAAAAGCTGAGGTTTCAGCAGAAATTCTGCCTTGAAATGCTTTGAGAGTAAAAAAAAAAAACGGGTTTGAACCCAACTTTAGTATTGAGTTGGTTGGTCCAGCAGGGACCGAAAGAACTGCTACATGTGTTCAAACCGAAAAAGCAAGCGCTTTGCTACTCAAAACGTGCCTCTCAGCAGTTTGGTAAAAGGGAAAATCCACAGGAAATCAGGAAATCCATTGTTTTTACCACCTAGATTTAAGTTGTTCCTTGCATTTTTGTACTGACAAAAACCAACTATGGGGCGGTAAATAGGGTATGCAACTGGGATTATGAGGGGGAACTTGCATTAAACCCTGGATTTCCAGTGGGGCATTTATACATATTACTTATACATGGGACCCCATAAGCCCAATGAAGTCCTCGGGGTCCATCATTGTACTGTGAGTTGGATAAGTGTCTTTTCAGCCTCCTCTGGTGAAGCCAAGAGAAAAAAGGTTGGACTAAGATGGACTAAGTGACTAAATATGAATAGCTTGGATCGGGCATGGATGGTGTTTGATTCTTTTCCCAACTTTAATCCTTGACACGCATTAACCATTGTAGTGGTTCCAATTGATTGCAGGCTTACACAATTTCTATGGGTACTTTGCTGGCCCAGGAAGTTGCAAGCTGTTTGGCCAGGCCGCGCACAAAACCAACCAGACCAGAGCGGATGCACGAGGCTGAAGGAGGTATCAAGGATGCATGTGCCTGCAACAAGCACATCCTTCACCTAAAAATCAATTTTTATGATCAGAAATGAGTTGTAAAAACCATCCCCAAATGGTAGGTTTATGGCATCCTCCCTGCTACGCTCCTGCGGGTCCCGTGCGGGGCTGCCTGGTGAGGTCATGAGGCTGAGGTGTGTCACCCTGGGGTTTTGTCAGTTGCCAATCTTCCAAAGTGAGGCTGCGAGAAAACGGGCTATCAAAATTGTTCACTGATCCTGACTGGTTGGTGCCAAAAACATCTAAACATATCTAAACTACTTGGGAATCATCCCGAACGTACACCAATCACATATGATGAGCTTATGGCTTTTCACTCAAGCCGCAACTCAGGAGGCAATGCATATTCGTAGATGCCCCCTGTGCTTGGTCCGCTTGGTGAACCCGGGTCATCCACCATGCTCACATACATGGAGCTGCCATGAACCAGCACTGCCATCGGAAACAAGCCATCAGGACACTGCAAGACTCGGATGGGATGTGTGTTGCCCGGGCGGAATGCCAACACGCTTCTTTGATCATGGTCCGCGACATAGATGGTGCCAGCTTCAGTGACGCACAGGTTCCATCGAATGGCCTGCAAACGATTGAATTGCCCCACCACAACGGGCTTCAATGACTCAGCTGGATCAATGCACAGAATGCGGTAGTTGTCCATATCAAGAAGATAGATCACTTCT